TGTGGGATATGCTCCAATTGGCGGTAGGGGAGCTGGCTGCTGGTCAGTGGCCAGCGATGGTCAAGTTATTCCTGGTGGGAAAGCAAAAATCGATGATGATGAGGCTACCGCTCGTTGCAACACCGGTACATATGGGGACAATCGAGCCATTTTCATGATGGGAGCTTAGTGCGTTGCCATAATTGTGATCGATTGACTTGTTCTGGGGTGGTTGAATCTCATTTGTGTGTCAAGATGACTGGGATCATAATAGGACGGACGAGTAGTTGGTAATAATCTGTTCAGCTGATGTTCACATCAGCCTCGCATGTACTCGAGCAATACTGTTAACTAATATGAGACTATGGGATGGTGATTGCTATGCCATGTTGCTTTGTAAACTAGTAAGCTCAATTCAAGTGTATGTTGTAATTGCACTTGTATCTATTAATTGCAGTGAGGAGGTCATTCTCTGAAATATCCAGATATCTGGAAACTACACTTCGATCCCTAATACCATCAAAATATATCACCCCTCTCATCCCATAGGAACGCTATACCTGAGTACTGTTGTCCCTGCAGGATTGATGAGCATGCAAACAGTCTATTCTCTGCCAGTTAGACTTGGTCTGGAAATGACGTAATGCATATGAGTGCATTCGAAGAGACTTATTCGTTTCAGGCGTTACACAAATGATTCTACAGCATTGAGAATGGCTCTCAATCTGGGCTGGTTATTATCCAGTGATACTCCGATTCTTGATTATTAGATGCTCTATCATTAACACAACCTTGATGGGTAAATTTGCACCCCTTCAGCGAGGTGCATGCACTCTCAATACTGAAATCAAGCATGCACTTGATGCAGATATATTGTATGTTATGTTTTATTAGGAATGTCTTGGTCTTTGCGATTAGGTTTCGTTCGTTATCATCATCGATTGCCACTTTGTTTAATTGGAGTTATGGAAGTGCGACACTGCACCCTTATTTTACTTTGGTTGTCCAACCAAGTGGTGAGTTCTCTGAGAGTTAGGGACTTCCCTTTAATGCTTATGTGTGACGGAAGTGCGGGGGAGAATTGTAGTCGGATTAGTACATGTCTATCCTACAAACCATGCGAATCTTACCCTGAGCAAACATAACGCCCTCTCGATACAACGAAGTGCGCGAGAAACTATACATTCACCGTCATGAATATCGGTAGTGAGGCAGAGATATTCTCGTTAACTGATGATCCCGCTATCAACGTCTATGTCTCCACTGCTGACGAGATAATCGCTTTGCTTATCTTTTCACTCTGTAAATTGGTAACTGGGAAATCCTCCAGCGCGATCATCACATCTTCATTCTTCTCTCCCCTCAAACGAACAGACGAAGACCCTTCTCTCTATTACCCTACCCTATCATCTAGTATCCTCAACGTCCAAATCCCTCTCTATAGCGGGTCTATGAAAATAATCTCTTCCGCCAGCACAAACGGAATGAGATTTACCAAGTTCCTCCGGCCGGGGTAGCGCACTCTCTTCTCTCCTCCCCCTACAATGTTGTTTCCAACTTCGCAGCTCTCACATTCCTGTACTTGGATCCCATCGACTCGGAAGATGTAATACCGATTGATACTTTTGCGTATTTCATGGACAACAGCCTATGATGCAAGGACAGATTTCACATCACCAGTGTTCACAGCTCTAACATAGTGAACTTGAAGAATTTGACTTGATTTCGAAGTTGGCTGGGGATATGTGAGTGTAGTGGGTGTTGATGAAATTGTGGCTAGGGTTGAGAAACAGGGACGGGTGTTTAAGGTGGGGAATGGGAGGTGTGTAGTTCAAGTAGTTTCCAGATGGGACGAGATCAGGAAAGAATGATTTGTTGGCGAGATGCAAGGACTCACTATTATTAACTGATAGTGAAAGGAATGTTGGGTTTGAGCTGTTCTCTCAATTTTTGAGAACAATCGTACACTCGTACAAATTGGATGTCCCGTTCTTGGCAGAATGGATATGCGTTTGTTAAGCGAAGCGAAAAGGAACAAAAGTCCTTCTTCAAGCTGATGACAAAATTTTCTCAGAGGCAAATATCACATAGACATAATATAGATTATTCAAGATTGTCTGATTGAATGTTGCTTTGGCCAACCCGATGCTATTGAACAAATATCCTATTTTATGAACAGATACAGAGAGGAATAAAACAACTCGATCGATATTCTCGAGAGTGTATTTTTCTTGAACGCCGCCGTCCAAACCCATTTTCTTCCCATAATCAATTACCCAATCCATCCCCATTGAACGCCATCATCAATTCGTAAATTCGTTCAACCATATCCCGTTCGCCTATCCATAATTTCGACCGACAGATTCCTTCTAGCATCTACACTCCAGGTTGAAATAATGTCACTAATCCCATCGCCGCCGCCGCCGCTACACCCCCAATGAGAACCATTTCAGCAGCACCCCAGCAATTGCCTCCTATACATTTCGCTTGGAAACCTGTTATCATGCCCGTCTTGACATATCCAAAGATAAATAGTGTTATCACCATGACCCCGACAGAGATATACAATCCCTCGGCAACTGTAGATACGAAAAAGTAAGGCAGTAAAGGCAATAAACCACCGAGGAAATATCCCATCGAGATTGTAAGAGCAGATGTAAAAGCGCGGGATGTAGCGGGTTCTTCTTCACAATGTTGGAATTGCATTACGTAGTCGGTGAGAAGCTCTGGGTGCATTTGAGCAAGATGAGTTGATTGACCGGTGATAACTTCCTTGGGAAAGTCGTATGGTTCGTATTCTTCCATAAGATCGTTTAAGACGCCTTGAAGATCGGTTTCTATTCGTTCTAGAGTCTTTTCTCGTGTAGCATGATATGATGCACTAATGTAATTATTAGTCAGTCTGATCTTGAATTTGATGACACTCCGTTGGCCCTCCGGGGGCCACTGCCGTGGAGGCAGGCCCATTGATGAAGACAACTTCATTCCTTCACTGGATGCAATTGTGGGGTACACTCACAGTTCACTCTTAGCAGCAAGATATCCACCCAAACCCATAGAAATGGCCCCTGCAATCAACTCGGCCATTCCTCCCCCTATAACGATTTTCGAATCGTTGAAAGCCGATAATCCAGCCGTCAATGCAAATGGGACTGTCAACCCATCACTTAAACCAATGGTTGCATCCGAAATAACTCTCGCATCGATTCTCCATCCCTTCTTCTTCGAGGACTTCTCTGATCTGGAATCTTGAGATTCTAAATCTAAAGTACTTTCATCATCATCGTGAGTCCCGTCGACCGATTCGGAGTTGTGGCTTGTGTTGCTATTTGGTAAGAGAGGTTGTCTAGATGTAACGAAATCGATTTCTGGTACTCCTCGTTCTCGATTTGATTTGGGCGATTTGGGAGTGACGGATTGATAGAAAAAGATATTTTTAAGGACAGCTAGAACCATGATTTCGGTTGGTGTTGGTGGTGGTGGTGTGTGGCTTTAAGTTATGTTGGGTTTCTTCTTAGGAGACGTTGTACTTGACTTGTGATGTCATTCAACGAAGAGATGTAGTAATTACTATCTCTCACAATTGTACTTTTAAGGGAAACGAGGTTGATGGGGGTTTGATATCAAGATGGAGTCGAATTGACTGATTTTCTGGTTAAGTTTTGGCTTATGAATGAGAAGTGAAATGGGAGGACTTCTTGGATCTTTATATGTGTTGGATGGTATGGTGGTAGTTATATTCTAGATGCCATTCCCTACCTATTTGGAAGCTGCTAGGTATTTAGGACAACATTTCCATTTATATTCAAGGATTATCTCAGTTGGTTTGATAGTTAACCACGGGCTTCATTCAAAGGTTTCCAAGCTTGTTTGAATATTTTAGGATCTTGCTGACCATCAATTACCTTGATTTTGATTCGTCCAACGTGGGTAATATGACAACAATGATTGGCCGATTGGTTGATGGATTGATTCAATGTCGATATTCATTCGATGGGGCTAATCAATTGTTGGTTAGTTCCTTCCTAGTTCCTTCCTAGTTTCTTCCTAGTTTCTTTGTGTATGGAGTATTTCCGTCATATGGCGCTTACCCTGAAGGAGTTAAGAGCACACAATCTTCCAATAGCGGGGAATTCGGCGATAGCGATACCAATACCCGTACAATCAATCTGTGTACTCGTTTTCTCACTGAAAAAATGTAGATGTGGAGGTATGAAAAAGCCTCAATGGGAGATTGTGATATCTCCTATATCTCTTTGGGATTATCGGGAACGGGAACCGGATTTGACATTGTTTTCTTCCTTTCCATGTTCAAGTGATCATTGCTATCCAAACTTTTTCTGCTCTGGTTCCTTGACTCCATGGTTCATGGTCCAAGATACTACACCAGCAATGTCCACCCTTAACACAAACGCTTTGATCAATCCGGAGCTTCAAATCAGAACACAAACTTCAGGGTTTTCAGACGTCTAGCAGCTAGCTTCTCTGAAGCCCCGTCTTGGTTGCTAATATCTGTGGTTTCATTGGCCGTTTCAACGGCTTTATTACAACGTCGGTGACTGGATTGGTTGAAAACATTCACGCACACAACCTCAAGCTTTCTATGTCGTAAATAAGGGAGGGACGGGCTCGAAAATTGGCCGAGAGGGCTGACACATCCGTGCTTTCTAGAACATTTTTATTATGAATTGAATTTTTTATATCCTTACCGCTGCAATGCTATAGCAAGACTAAAAGTACGGTCCCGAGATAGATGCTAGGGGTGTCACTCCGTAACTCCGAAAGGCCGGAAGTCATGAGGGGGAGCAATTATTCGGATTTCACTTGTAAGATGACGGAGATGCATAAAGAGAGAGGGGTGATATCATTAATGCTATATCTATGCAAGATCCTCGAGACATCTTAATCCTCCAATATCGTTGCTTGCCTCTCGATAGTTCCCCGATGCCACTTCATTCCTGATTTGCCACTGAAGAAACGTGGCAGAGAAGTCTCTCCATGTTGACGTCTTCCTGTTCATCCTAAGCACCACCTTCTCTCTTAGCATACTCCTCCTCGATTCTTTCCTCGTACAGTCTATCCGCCTCTAGTTGAGCCTCGGTCTTCTGTACTGTCTCGGTAGATTGATTGGAGGTGTCGACCGTAGTGGTGTTTGGGGCCGTATTGGCTGTGGTTGAGGGGGTTTCGGTGAAGGATGGCATTTTGTATGAGGGGTGGTGAATGATTGAGAGTGTCTTTTCTGTCTCTCTGTCTGCTAATGATCTCTTGTAATATTAGAGAATGAATGAAGTGGCTGTATGATAGATAAATTGGGCTTGAGTTCTCCATGAAGAGCACTTCTTATGTGTTGGGTGTGGCGGTGGCTGTGCACTGTGGCACGAGAATCATTATGTAATAACGAATGATATTTTCATTCCACGTGCTTCTTTTCGAGTGAAGTCGACAATCTCGCTCTCCATGAGTCACCGATCTCTCCCGCGGGTATCATATGATGGTGCATTAGTTGACTTCATTTGATCCTGTTGCCTATAGCTATCAGACCCATGTTAAATAGAGTTACATGTACATTTCGCAAGCAGGAGATGAGGAAAGCGTTTGCGTTTTATATCTTGCGAGAGGAATGTTTAATTGTATGTACCCAAGCTTCTCCTATAAACAGCCGTATAACGCCAATAATGCGGTACTATATGTACAAATGCCACCAAACATCGTGCTCTCATTCTTGCTCTCACCCTAATATTAGCCTGAAGTATTGTCTGCGTATCCTTCCTTTCCTTCTATTCGATGCTGAGGAGTGACCTCTCCATCTTGTATATGATTGACTTGACTCCTTCTCGCCATTCTGTATATGATTGACTCGACTCACCCAGCCCAGGCCTGCTTAGTGCTGCTCCGTCGTGCAGTTCTTGTCATTCACATCTGGAAGTGGCGTAGCGGCAGCGTTCCCCATCTCCTTATGGTAAACCTTCAAGAGCTTCTTGTGGAAGTAACTTCGCCTTGATGAAACTCCCAGTACCAGAGACCAGGTTAAATGTCAGCCCATGTTGTGGAGACACTGAGCGATATCTCTTTGCCTGGAGGGCGAGGGTCTCTTCTTCGATATTGTGATCTTTTCGCACTACCTTCAGGCTTCAGTATCGAAGCAACAAGTTTTTCGAGATCACCTGAACGAGTCGATATAATTCTGCTGTCAAGACTGGTATATTCTCTCCTACAAGATGATATAAATATGGTGAATATCAAGATTGAGATTGGTCACGTCCCGTTGAAGACACAAGACAAATAAAACTAAGTCATTATAGCTTGTTGAGATAGTCTATCGGGATGATAGAGTCCAGTCTTTCTTCTAATATAGTCTGTGTAGTAGATTCTTAATAGCAATAATACACCTTGATGAATATATTTCATCAAAAGATTCGCGTTTGAGAAATGTGTGTTAAGCTATTTCATGATTACTTTTGAAGCAACGTAGTAATATATTAGGTATTGTGGAAGAAACAGATTTACGGCTAATTGTGACTGGACTTGTAGTTTTCTAGAATTATTAAGAGTATTCTAATAACGAACTAAATGGAAAAGAACTAGAGAGAGAGAGTTGCAGGTTTATTATGAGTTCAACGAGATTGCTCTAGGGCATAGAAAGTATGATGGTAGCAGATCCTCATATCTACAAACAGTTAATTGTCTAGTGTGACGGCTCATTTTCTCGTCTGTGTCACAGCAAACGACGAGCATTGTGTAACATTCAGTCTAGCAAACAGGTCTGAACGCGCAAGGTTACAGCTAATAGTCCAAACCAAAGCCACCTCCTACTTGGGCAAAGATAGGTAACTTGATGTAATCTTCAGACTGCTGCTATTATATTTCAGATCGAAAACTTACGAGAAGCTAACTTACTGATCATTAGGATCATTGTATCGAGGATGATGGAGGATGGTAGGAAATCATGCCTGAGATCCGTACGTTCTGAATACCACAATGAGGAATGTTATCCTTGGCCAGTAGTTTTTGCTGCATATTTCAAAGTAACTTCCCGTGAGTTGACTTTTTCCAAATTCCTCGTCATACAGCTTAAGGGTTGCCTTCCGTTCGATTTGTGATGGATGACGCTCGCGTGTCTGTAATCTGTAAAACAAATGACCCAGGTATCTATGACCTGTTCTGTCTTAATCGCATAAGGTATAGCTTTAGTCGTGTAGCCCTTCGATTGCATTTAATGTACCGACTCATATAGTCAAAGCTAGGTAGATGTATAGATAAGAATTAGATTATACGATCGTAAGAACCAATCCAGGTCTGGGAATGCACATAACCACTGAGAGGCAACTAGTGGATGGAAAGAGCGATGACACAGCTGGCAGGTTGCAATCAACAAAGAGGTCCGAGGACCTTCTTAGTTGTATGGGCGGAGACTTATAAGCGAGTCTGAAAATTTGAAGGATTTATGATATGTCATACAGAAAAGGTGATTAAAGTAAAACCACCTATTCGAAAACATTTTCTTGAGATGAACTATCCAATGTCTAGATGGCAAAAAGAGAACCTCATCCCGTCCTGATATCCCAGGATGAGAGACTGCAAGAACAAATGTATGCATACAAACAGCCCGGATCCAGCAAGAAGTACCACGGTAGACATCACTATAAGCTTTAACTAATTATTTGAAAGGTAAGCACCCTTATTGGGTAGAGCTCCAGGCGGGTAAATCGGCATGCTCTAACTCTGGATGAGTGACTTGCAAAAGTGTATACTCGATGATTGTTTGTCGAGGAGTTGATGTTGGGATAATATCTGTACTTCGAGACAAGAGATAGGGAGACCAATCTCCCACGTCTCAAGTTCCCTCTTGTGATCTTCAAAAAGTCCAAAGTGTTATACGGATTCTTGTCTTTCTCATCGACCGATTTTGGATACACAGGATCCCCTCTATCACCTGACTTCCTTCTCATTCTCCATTTTAACCCGTGCAACGCCCTTGGATATCAAAACACGACTTTTCTAGGAGAGGAAAGAAGGAACGAGAAGCTACAACAATTAGACCTTTCATGATAGCTCCCCTCAATCCATTGCACAAATGTGAGTAACAGAATACAAGATGTGGATCCCTTCCATTTCGATGAGCTTCCACCCATACTAGTATCACACCCCTCCAAGAAAAATTCTAAATTCACATCTGTGCTCAACTAACCGCAAACACTTGGGAGTAAACCATATCTACAAATCTCAGAGGGATTTGAGATTCTTGACTATCACTTAATCTTACTAGTATGTCAAAGATGGCTTCTAATGATGGTTCACTTCCAGTCCAAGAATCCGTACCACTATGTTCCTCTCCTTCTTCTCACTCTTCACGACATTACTGCCCACAACATCTGTGCCTACTTAAGCTCTCTCAATACAATTACAATGAGCAATAACACGAGTGATGAACTACATATTCTCCGGTTTGTACTCACAATTCACCAACTTCCAAGTGTGTCAAGTGAGCAGGACGAATCATAAGCGAGGAAAGAGATGCGAGGAATCACAACGATATTCCAAGCACGAGATAAAATCATCATGACTATCAACTATTTATCTGATCTCGTCTTTAGCTTCTTAAAATAGGTACAACCATCCCGCTTCATTCCTATAGCAAATATACTCTTTCATTCCTTGCAACGTTTGTATCTTTTCCCTCCACTTCAACCTCCCCCCCCCTGAACACCCGAACATAATACTCTCCCGTAGCCACCACCCAAATTATGACTCACAATCACCCATTCCACCGAATCGGAGTAAACCACCCATATGCAAAAGTCGATGCATTCTCCTCGCGCTCGCTCATCACACATGTAAGAAACAATTAAGCAAGCAACCGCATGCGCTCGAATCCACCAATATATGTATGTGAGTTGGTTTGCAAACACAAGCCGTATGATAACCATAAAAGCCAAACCATCTACTGTATCATCCATCCATCGCCGCGACGATAAAAAGCACCTAAACGCCCCTACGTCCACCTCTCTGTCTTTTCATTCAAGGTTATGCTACGAGAAAATCTCTCCGTTGGCTTCTACGCTCATAGGGCTACCTCCGTTGTTTGCCACTGCTCTTGGATTCCTCCTCCGTGGCTTGAGTCGAGCACTCGCACTGGCGCCACCAGGTGCAACATCAATACCCTCATCACTATCCTCGGCATGCTCCAGCGCATATGCGGTCGCTTCATCCAACTCTCTAACCTCATCTGGTCGTTTCCTCAACCAGCCCATTCGAGGACCGCTTCGCGCTCTCTCAGAAACCTTGAATCCGTAAATTTTAGGTTCGTAGACTTTGCCTTTGCCGAGACCAGGTGCAAGGTTTGATGCATTCATGCCGTTGATCTTTTCCTTTTCTTCATCGTTGGAATGTTGTAAACTTCTGCCTCCATGCCCACTTAATGCTTCTAATCCCTTCTTGCTAATGTCGTAATCGGGGAATGTGAGGAGAAAGAGCGCCCCAAAAGTTCGTCCAAAGTAGGCACCATCGACCGTTTGAAATCGGGAATTTGGAGGAACGTATACATCGAGACAGGAAGGACAGAATAATTTGACGGTATCTTCGCCTGGTACATCAGATAGTCCTACAGGTAAAGTACGGACTTGTTCGCAATGTGTTCGTGGACAGACACCAAAATGGGCTAGGTCGTACTTCTCGGACATTTGTTGTATACCAGCTCGAGAACAGATAAATCGTTGATGGATAAGACCATATAGCATCTCTGCGGAGGATTCTATAATTGATAGATCGCTTGCCATTCGTTGATGTCTTCTTTCGGCTGCAGCTTTACGTCCTGATCGATCCTCGCCCTCAATAGATGCATCCTCATCCTCATCCTCGTCCTCGTCATCTTCGTCCTCATCTTCTTCTGGCTCGACATCTAAGATCATCTAATAATAGGTTCCCGTTAGCATGTTGTCAAGATACATGAGTCATGTATTGAATTACCTCGAGTGCTTCCTTATACATAGCTACTTGTGTTTGTAAACCTGTCAAATTGAAGTCATCTTCTATGAATTCCTCCGATATTTCTGCAAAGTATTCATGTCCCAATAATGCGCAGAAAGAAGAGATCCAGGATTCTGGAGTACCAGAGGAGGAAGACATCTTGTGGGGGGTAGCTGGGTAACCTCGAGTAAGTTAGGTTTAAGTTCCAAACCCAACCTGATGTTGAATGTCTGTTGACAAACCGTGGCAACTAGTATCAAGATTGACGCAGCAGGCTTGCCAGTTGAGTGAAACTGAAAAAGATGTGACGTGAAGCTTATGATCGCTCCAATATACCAAAGCTCGAATGTTTCGTAGGAAAGGCACTCTTAATGACGCGCTTGAATATATCGCACTTCCTATATTGATCCAGAAAACAGTCGTGTATACTGGCAGAGACTATCCAGTAGGAGGTATCAACGTGGAGCTGTGGGTGTGCGAGTTGCAGATTACTTGGTACTTTAATTAGGTATCCCACTCGAGAGAATTCGTTGTATTGCGCTGGTCCGTCTTTGCGCACGGTATGTTGTTGAACTGGTTTGATAGGGGGTAAATGCTATGTATTCTGATGATAGAATTTCTTCAAATTACTCTCGATCACAATTTGAAGATTCGTGGTTTGATACGGTTGTGAGGAAAGTCCTTTCAGCTAGTATCTTCCAAAGTGGAAATCAACTTTCGTCCGCTGTTGACCTTTTTATCAAAAGCCTCGTCTTCGAGATTAAACTTCCGCTTCAGGCATCTATAACCCCGCTAGGCAATAATTTCTGAGCTTTTGCAAACCGAGGTCAGCCCGATCACGTGATTTTGCCCAAATAAGACATGCATTTGATACCTATTTTCGTCGAAGTATTCTCTTCCTGAGGAGCTTTTTGGTTTGCCTTCAATCACTTTAACAGGTAAGAAATCATTCAAAGTTTAAAATACAGTAGTCTGATTGTATCTAGAAACAGTTTCGCGGATTCGAACGTCGAGAGCTATTTTCATATGGAGTCTTCATATTCCCAAACTCCGTCCTTTCATGCCATTTTTCAGCGCTAGAACTCCAAGACAATGCATCAAATGCTTCATAGCCACAACCTCTCAATGATACGACACTTCAAGTAGCATATCATCATTATAATTCACCAAGCAATAATAGATTCTCTTTCCTCTCTTGTACCATCTTTGTTCTGTAAGGATCTCTTACACTTGACCATAATATAACGATCTGGCATATGGAAATCCACAACTACCAATTGAAAGCGCTTATCTTCTGGTACCATCCAGACCCTTTTTTCTTGTCGAGGCATTGAGAAGTGTTCTCTGATGGGCGGTGTATGAGCTTGGGTATATGGCGAAGGAATTCGTGGCACTGAACTTTGCCTTTGTGATGAATAGGGTGCAAAGTGTTCCTGGACCAAGTCTCTATCCTTAATTATTTCGCCATTGTTCCAGTATCCTGGCGATAGAACACCGTCGTGAAATTGTACCGATTCCCCATATTGGAAGCTCTGGTTGCCGTAGTCTGGCTGTGTGTTGGGAGGTTCGAGTATCTCGGATACATCCAATCCATCTTCTTCGCAGCTCATTATCCACCGGCCAATCCTAGCACTTAGTACACCATCCCACATTCCTTCCTGCCTTGGACTTCTGAAAAGCAGATCAATTGCTTTTCTTCTGATGTTTGGTTCCCTACATTTGGTCGCTACTACATGTAATGGCGGAACAATCCCGATATCAAAGCTAAATCGTGATGAACTGATAGCCGAAGGATTTGCCTCGCATGTTGTAACGAGCTTTTCCGCAGCTCGAACTATGTATCGAAAGTCATTCAGGAAAGAGTCATAAACCATTTCTGAGGTAGACGTCACAGCCGATAGTGTTATGGCTGTGGCTTTGAGATGTGTTATGAGGACAATAGCGGCCTGATTAAGCACCCTTCCTTCGGGGATATTGACAATCTTAATATGGGTTGGAAGGCTTGCTCGAATTCATCTAGCCCGGTGACATAATCCGCATATTGCTGTGCTATTTCGCTGGGAGTATCACTTTTCGCACTAGCAAATTTCCTGTCGAACAGCGTTCTTCGATAGTATTGAAGTGTTCTGTCCATTAAAAAGTCCCAACAGTGCTGAGCTTCAGAAAAACTTGTGAATACTTTTGGAATGGGAATGTGATGTGCAGAATGGATGTCCCAAAGTAAGGGGGGAATACCCGGTGTCATACCGAAGAATACTACAATAAGAAGACAGTCAGCATGTGGCAAAGTATAAAGTTAAGTAGAAAAAAGAGTTGTCCAGATCTGTTCAATCTTGGTTGAACTGAATTCTGGGAAAATATTGTGAACACGGAAGCATACTTACATCCTTGCCCATCCAGACGGACGAATGCTTGTATGATATTTTCCTCCAGCGTAAAGTCGTTGTTTAAAATGGGAGGAGTAGGACTTCTCGATTGAAGAGGCCGCTTTCGAGGATTTGTGAGCACAGGTGGGGATTGGGAAGATCTATAGGTTGTAGGCGGTGGTGTATTACCCATCGAAGGGGGTGTATGAAGTGACTCTGGAGTGCGGATACTGGTAATTGAATGATCGGATGACGGTCTTCTGCCAGTGATTGCAATTGGCATCGCAATATTGGGCTTTTGTTGTTCGTTCGGGGATATATATTCACTAGGGGTATGGTACGCACTCGGATAATCTTGAACCGGTGTACCTGATAGAGAACGTTGCTGTTCCAATGTCAAGCTTGACTTGTAATGTGATGGAATGGTCATGACATCGAGTCGTGGACTGTAATCCCTTTGTGGTGGTGTAGGTGTCCTATCTATCGTGGGGGTATGCGCAGATTGAAGTGGCGGCTTTTCGGTTTCCAGATACTCTTCGATATGTGATGAGATAGTTGCTGATTTGGAGGAACTATCCATACCTGGACGACTGTGAACTTTGGCTATAACCTTATCAGTCTGGGTGTTCGTATTGAACCCTGCTGAGATCCGCCGCGGAATCCAAGGTTTCGATCCAGGCTTTCCAGCATAATAACTCCTTAGTAGCTTCAGGCCTCCATAAGTTTGCTGCACCGACGAAGCATAGCTTCCTTGGATGGTTTCAAAGCAAACAAAAAGTAAACATGTCATAAGCGCTGTTCTCAACTGAGGACCATTAGAGCTAGATATGTACTGGTTCAAAGCTTGAATGGCCTTGAGATGTTGTATGACGGCAAATTCAAGATGTTTTTGGTTTATGTCTTGAATGACGTTAACTTTCAAATGTGGTCCAGGGGCTTCTTCAATGGCTTTGTTAAGAGCTGCAATAGCGATTACTGCATGTCGAATTGGAGTGACATTGTGGCTCTCTCGAAGAATAATATGACTCCAAAAGGTGGGATCAAAGAAACCAGGCAATTGATACGCTGTTCGATCACAGAAATATTGGAAGTACCGGCCTTCCTGCTCTGTTGCTGCAAGAGAAATACTAGGAGTATAAATATCTGCCGTTAGAATTCTAGGTTGGATTGGCATCATGTTCCCTCGTGATCGAATCTCGTGAGCGTAACCATCGCATATTCGTCCGAACTTTTGACATCGAAGACATTGTGGTTTCGTTTCTGTTGATTATTCGGAAGGATTAGACGTAAATTATGTAAAATTCTAGTAGCTTAGGAGGAAAAATTAAGATGCTGCTCAATTCTGGTACCTTGGAGGAAATTGTGAAAAGTCCATTGAATTTAGAACTGCGAAACAACTCACCGTCACATTTAACACGACGAGCCCTGAGAGATCAGTGTCAGATATCTGCGAATATATGCCCAAAAAGTAGAAACGTAGATCAGAAAGCACTTACTTGCATGTAATGCAGCCTGACTTAACTTTAGGTTTGCTCGCTCTAGCTCTTTTGGACGGCCGTAGTCCATCATCCCAAGCCGATTGCCGTTCAAAGTCGTCGGGGCTGGTATCCATGAATGAGACTTTGGAATCCCGTTTCATCGAAACCGGTGCAATCGAAGATCTAGAAAGCGCCATCACAAGGCAAAAACCAGTCTGGAGTGATGTGTTTGATGGGATGTCTAATTGGGTATAGGCGAGAAAATGACATTGGGTTTGAGAACTGAATATACATGGAATAATTGTTAATGTTTCTTGAAGTAGTACCTTTATCTTCCATGACGATATTCAAGAATGAATATAAGGAAGAAATGATGTCCATGATGAACTGTTGGGGTCCTAATTTGATGTATCCGAAGGGTCGCTAGTTCATCGGACCCACCGATAATCTATTGCAGAACTGACCACTGAAGAGTAAGATCCGAAGCCCTGTAATGATCGTTAGTAGACCCGAATTCCAGACAGAGCATAGACCACAACGTGGAAAATGCAAACAAGCCCCGCGCTCCAGACTGCCGAACGTCACCCTACACATGCACGATCCGGGCGGAGCAATGCTCTCTGTGGCTGGGTGAAGTAGTTCTCACATATTTGCAAGGCTTCTATGGTATAAAGGGAGCGTTCATCATCAGCCCTGTGGGATAAGTAATCGTCTTTTGTGGCTTTGAAAGCTACTAAGGCAGCTACAAAGTAGGCACATGTGTAACATTCATGGGGTCTGGGATCAAATAGCATATTTCGATTGAAGCACCGAAGAATCACCCTGGAATTTGTGCCAGTTGTCATGTCTGATTTATGAATTTCATAAAATCGCCAATATTGGAACGAGCTTCCCCGCTCGCCCATACCCTGGTGTTAACAAATAAATGCACTGATATCGAAATCGAGAATGCTCTAATTGGCCCTTTATACGGCATCGCACGCTCATTCGTGGAAAAGGGGCGCCCCGGTAATTTAATCACCCTATCATGCTTCATACCTGCCGTTATTAGATCCGAAGAATAGTTGCTAAAATTGAGCCGCAGGTTATAACGAGCCTGATCCGATGTGCATGGTAATCGTGACGATATTATAATAACGATCGATATCATGATGATGTCTGAGAGTTCGTTTACCTTCCAATCCAAGGCGTCCATACCCGATGGTAATATTTCTGGAAAAGTAACTGGAAACTACTTTTTGCGTATAGTTGCCAATCAGAACGCTGACATCAGATTTTCTGTACATAAATGTACGGTAATATGCCCGATGCTGTGCAAGCCCTCTTGATCGGTATAAACCAGCCACAAGCGGGTAACCATAATCATATATAAGGACCAAGGCCGAAATTTCAAAAACTATGGATAGGGATTGGTAAGGCTGATGATATTCCGGAGTGATCGAAAGTTTCGAGAGGGAAAATGGCTCCTATTGGCAGATATGACGGAAACGGCTTCCAGAATCGTGTCAGACCTCCGCGTTTCATCACCACATTTTACCCCAAAGAGAAGTATTGAAATCTGACAGTGGGATGCCTATGAATCCTTCATGCACGTCGTTCTTAAAATCTGACATTACCGAAGAACCAAGGAAATCTGGTAAGCTGTAAGGATATCATAAATAAAAATAGTATGGCACACCTTCGCACTCAGTCACTGACGTATGTAAGCATAAGTCGAGCAAAGCGACATCAAAACCTTTAATTCTTATGTGTTTTGACTGAAGTATAGAAACTCCCAACTTTGCTGTGCAAATTCAATTGACAATTGGAACTATCGAAGACCCACGTCGATGCAAATGACGAATCGGGGATCAGCCAGCACGGGCTCAGCCGTTGTATATCCAAGCCCTTGATCAATAAGTGTTGTGGAGTCGTGGTCCCATTCAAGTCAATAACGAACAGGCCTTGGAATGTCACATTCGTTGATAAGGTAGCAATGCTTCAGGATTGCAATGAGACAGAATTTCCCGGCTACAGTTGCCTCCAAGTAACGTTCTCAAAACTTTGAAGAGATGGCAAGTATTTTAAGATTACTTCCAGGAGGATATTAGATCGGGTAATTGAGGAATTTACTCTCCTCTGAATACGAAATGGCAGTAGTATCAAGAGGAACACACGCAAGTAGTAAGGTTACTTTCAAGGCTCGAGCAGTGTGTATAACCTCCCGAGAGAGTTCTGGCGGAGACAAGTGTGGACAAGTGTGTTCCGTTCCCGAAAAGCGGAAGATACCTTGCTTAATAATCTCCGAATGTGTGAGCAGAGGTCAATTGATACTTTTGAGAAGCCATATTGATTTGCAAATGCTGGTATTGGTAATCTCAGATTAAAATGGTGCGAGGAAGCAAAGAACGAATCTTTCTAATGATTGGTGATTGATTACCGAATTCTTCTACCGGCTGACATATCATAATTGGTCACCAAACTTGCACCATTTTTGTGGGACCACTGCCCCTCACTAAAGGTATTAATTATAGCCTCATCGTCTAGATTGATATTGAAAAAGTATACTTTCTGCATTTACCAGCCACTCAATCATCTTTTCACACATTGACTTTAGAGAACAAAAGTCTATCAAATTCTATACTGAAATCGTTACAAACAGCTCGTAATCATGGCTGACCCCTCTCTCTACACCTATCCTTCACCTCTTGAAGGCTATGAGAACTTGGCTCCTCTTGGAACTGAGGTATCACCTGACGGAAAAAGCCTTTTAAACCCGGAGACTGGAATTAAGAGCAAGAGTTATGAGAAGTTCACAGAGCCTTTGGATAGTGGAATCCGGGGTGCGTTGTAGGTTTTCGCTAATGACCATGCGCAATAAGAACGAAGGCTAAGAGGATCTAGCGATGTACATATCTATTATTTCCAGAAGAACAAGGAGCAAGCCAAGTTTGCTAGAGAGTTATGGGAGAGAACAAGAAGAGAATGTGGGATTCTATCTCTATAGTCAGTCCCGTGGATTGTTGCGTTCGTACTGACTCAGGATATAGTTCCGGAGCTTCGCATCTACAGATTCTGGGAAGAACCAATTGGGCCTCATCCTGTTGCGATGTTCGAAGTGAATCTCTTCACTCCAGAACAATTTGGCGCTTTCATACCTTGGCTGGTGATTAACAGGGGCCCGTTGAGTGCGTTAGTCCACCCTAACACGGTTGATGAGAAAGGAGAGCCGTTAGATGAAGAGAGAGACCATACGCAGAGAGCGATTTGGATGGGGGAACAACTTCCACTGGATTTGAGTCTGTTTAAGAGGCTAAAGCAGCGGAATGCAGCACCATAGGAAGATATTGGTGGTCAGAGATAATAGGTAACAGGAAATATCTGTGCAACTGAAGGTTAATCTGCAAAAGGGGAATGCGAAAAGCATTAGCGACAGAAAGGAAAATGTATTTGGATACCATATACTTCACCTAAACCACCAGTTCACCGATGCATTAATTCCACTCTCTGAACTTCTTATGCTATGCCACCATCCTTTTGGTATGAACAACGCATCCCCGGGGCCAACCTCGACCTCGAAACCCTGGTCTATGACCTTTTCTCCCCAAACACGATCCTCGAGTAGAGACCTTTCTGGACCTTCCATCATCTCCTCACCTCTCATACTGGCAATTCCCGATGCACCAATACTTTGTTGTACGTTATGATATATTCCTACACCAACAGCTGGTGGAAACAACCGGACCATTTTCTTGCTCACTAACTGTACAAAGAGATTTGGATTAGGATCTTTGTGTAATGGTGTATAACTTGTTGATATGCCCATCCATATATTAGCATCGTAAACATCGCCTTTCCCGGCTTCTTTCACCAATTTGGGTGTAGGCAAGTCTCGTTGTAATTCTGTCGGCAGATCCGCTATTTGAGCCTGTGCAATGTAGAGCGGGAGAGAGCATGCCGGATGAGTGGCTGAAAGAAAGAGAGAAAATGGTGCGTAGAAATGATAGAATGACTTTTTGGAATCGTAAGGCTCTAGTGATTGGCGTAGTTGCTCCGAAAACATCATGTGGTATTGATTGCTAGGCTGTATAAGCCGCTCGAGTCGCTTTCGTAAGGCGTCAGAGTCGACTGTCAATTCGTAAGGGAGGACAGTGTCTGCGAAGCTATGGAGGTATTGCGATGGCAGAAGAGTGCTAATCTTAGGAGGTGGAAGCACTTTTGCAAATTGTGTCGAAGGAACGTGCTTGAACCATTTTGCCATTACATCTATAGACTTTTCTCTCCCTGAGCTCGTCGATGCTTTGTCTTCCAAGGATTTCATGAATATAGGCTTCATGGGAGTGAAGGCTTCTTGTCTGAATTCGTCGAGATTGACATCGTCAAAAGAGGAGTTGATTGTCTGAACAGACGGTAGACTGTGGTATTTGCGCATAGCAATTGATGAAGAGGGCCCTCGTTTGCATTTTGTTGTTTGACATATTGTACCAACTAGACGCAATCGCATATTGTGTGGTTGAGAGTCTAATTGTGACAATGCAGTTGAAGATTGTCGTTTTGTTCGTAGGGATGATCATCCATCTCAGCACGGCACTGCAAGTTTGTGGCCAATGCACAAGCTAAGTGACAGGTTGCACAGACCATTTGATTTAGCACAACTGGTTGGCTCGGGCCGGTAATAACATAATTACTAGGAGACCAGGTAATCAATATAACGTTGAGTCTTCCTTCTATCAAAATAAATATCTCTCTTCATAACCTATGTGATTTGAACCTTTCCACTCATCAGAAAATGAAGTTTTGTGTTCCCAGAAGCCTGTGTGCCTTTATCATAATTAATTCTCTAAGGTCTTGTCGTGAACTTGAAAACACATTTACTAAATGGCTTCTGCTTCTCCAAAGTGATGGTTTTGCACATGTGCTGTTGAAGTATCCATATATGCATGCGGTGCTGACACCTCGGCCCGCACACTAAACAGAGACAGGAAGGTCGTATCAAGTGGCTGGCTGAATGCCGAAGCTTTCTCGCAGACCCCGCGCGAGAGCCTTTCTGTTTCCTCTTTTACCCTTAAATTAAAATGCTTCTTCGTTATTGTGTCAATTAGGACCTTCCACAAACTCAGCTCCTACTTCTCATCGATTTTAACATACTTTGGGAGATCGCCCGATCTACTTGTGCCAGTGAAATCCTTCGTCTACTCCTCACTGAAGCTCTGGAAGAGCCATTCACTAAACTTTCGGAAGTAAGCCTAATTGATACGGATATTTAGGTCAAAATGTCTACTCAGAGTAAAGGAAATGTTAGTCCTGTCGTAATGACCCCTGCTTGTCTTCTTCTTGCCAACGTTGAAATACAATAATAGCTAACCTATATTGCATCCATATCTAGTATGGGAATGTTGTCCGAATCAATCACGAAGCCCACGAGTATACATATTACCCCATTGCTATCATTGGTGCCGGTGAATCGGGTATTGCGATGGGATGTCGTTTGAAGGAAGTCCTAGGTTTTGATCAGTTTCGCATATTTGATAGGCAGTCGGGAATTGGAGGGACATGGTGGATCAATCGCTACCCCGGAGTTGCTTGTGATATGTTAGTTTCTCGCCTAATGAGATTATATTTGGCAATAGATTCATGTTGACACTTTATGATAGACCCTCAACATTCTATTCATTCTCGTTCTGTCCAAAGTACGATTGGTCATGTTTTCACCCAGGAGGCGCAGAGATGGCCGAATATCTCCAGAGTGTTTGCGAAAAGTATGCAATTGTGGATAAAATACAAGTCAATACCGACGCCAAAGAAGCACGCTGGCTCGAGAACGAACAAGTTTGGGAAGTAACATTACAACACTTGATGGCTGGTGCTGGAGATTTGAGTGAAGAAGATCGAGCACTCAAGGTCAAAGAGCAAGGCCACAGTGCCGTTTATACCTATGAAGAGAAGATTCGATGCAAAATCTTAATAAGTGCTGTTGGAGGTCTCGTCCAACCAAAATCGTGGCCCGAGAGTATTCCTGGAAAAGAAAGCTTCAAAGGAGAAATCTTTCACTCCGCTCGTTGGCGATTTGACGTCAATCTTAAGGACAAAAATGTGGTGGTTATAGGAACTGGTTGCAGTGCAGCACAATTCGTGCCGAAACTCGTGACCGAGTATGGTGCAAAGTCTGTCACTCAACTAATGCAATCTCCACCGTGGGTTTTGCCCAAAGTCATACCGCCATTGGGAGAGAAATTGTGGAACAAGTGGTCACCAGCACTGAACACATACATACCTGGCTTCAATAAAGCCATGCGTTATTCATTAGGCGCAGTACTTGAATATGATTTTCGAATATTTCGATCCGGCTCTTTCGGCGAGAGGGAGCGTAGAAAGGCGGAGGCTGATTGCTTGGCCTACATGAAAAGTAAAGCGCCTGAGAAGTATCACGAGATTTTGACTCCAAACTATGGAATTGGTTGTAAGAGGAGAATTTGGGATCCGGATTGGTACGCATCTCTGAATGACCCAAAAATTCATCTGACAACGCTCCCACTGAAGAGCCTTGAAGAAGATACTGTGACTCTAGGACCTGGTCGTAACTATCCACCTGAGGACGTAGCAAGCTCCGTACCAACTGACAAAATTACCATTCCTGCTGATGTTATCGTTCTTGCAAATGGGTTCCAAACAACGAAATGGTTCCATCCATTCAATGTCTACGGCAGGGAAGGGCAAACATTACAAGATGTGTTTGAAGAACGGGGTGGTCCTCAAATGTACATGGGGACTGCCATGGATGGGTTTCCAAACTTCTTCACTTTGCTCGGCCCGAATTGCTTCACTGGCCATACATCCGTTATTTATACGACGGAAAGTGCGGTAACTCAAACACTTAAATTTATCAAGCCTTTGCTCAATGGTGATATTACCAAGATAGAGGTCAAACAAGAATCTCAAATGAATTGGACTACTCAAATACAGTCTGCTTTGAGAAAGATGGTGTGGGCAGATACTCGTACGAAGAATTGGTACCTCCGCGATGATGGATGGAATTCCAACACTTACCCGTATGACTCTTATTTTTCTTACTCCTATCCATGAGCTAATCGATTACAGATACACTCAACTCGATTTTTTCTATCGCTGTTCATTTCCAACTTGGAGACACTGGAACATTGCATATACGCGGAAAGGTTTCCTCAAGAAATGGACGAAGAGAACGTTTGTTCTTTTGGCTTGGACCGTAGCTTTTATCGATATTTATAAGAAAAGGATGTCAGGCGGTGGGTTGGGGTTGAATGAATTAATAAACAGATGGTTCAAGAAAGGGCTTCTGGTGACAGCTTCTACGCTGACAAAATTAGCAAAGAATATACAGTAGTAGGCTGTAATAAATTCTATCACATATCGTGGTAGAAGTATTCATTTTGAACGCATCAAGCATATGCCAAATTTAATTCCATCAAGATGAGCCTACTCAGGTGACGAATATGAGATATATATATTTCTATACTGCCATCACCTCAATTCTCATATATTCTGGATTTTGCAACTTCGGACTGATTTAATTAATAAAATTGAAACCGTTCTTGTGGAATGCAAACCAGCCAGTGCCTATGATTATCCTTGAACATCTAAACTCTACACTACTACATTTCTTGCTGAATGGATCGTAGAGGAATCTTCGATGCACTGCTCCAGAGAATAAACACGTACAGACCACTGGACGTGAACCATCGTTGTTATCGAAATCTTAAAGGTATTTGACCGCTCAATCTTCCCTATTAGGGTGAAGCATTACTTCGGCACCTAGATATCTCGATATGTGCTTCTAAGCGCTCACTTAATCATGAACACTCAACAAATGCTTGGGTCAAGACTTGAATCAAACCGTACAAATCATCAGCGAATAATTGATTTGCATCATATCCTGCCACACTCTCACTTTGCATGGCCTCTACGGCTCAACGTGAAAGTTTAATATCTTGCAATGCAACAAGTTCCGGTTATCGTGTACGGAATCGTTTATTCTCGATTGTTTAAGTACTCAACTCAACAACTGTCTGAGATTACTTGTCCTTCATATTAGGAACAACAACATCTTGAATAAGAATTTTATCTGCAACTTAAACCATATTCTTTACCGAACTCAGGAATCTAATTGCTAAAAGATCATCCCACACCAGAAGAGAATCTTTACTACTGTCTCTCATATCAACCAATAAATATGTCAGATATCCAACGCCTCTGTGAGGCCCTACAACGCTTGGGTGATCTACGAAGACGTAACCGACCCAATCAACGGCGAATTTACAGTCTTAGACACACTTCTGAAGCTCGCGACGTTAACATATCTTCGCGTGCAATCACCGCTTCTGGAATTAGAAGATTTTCTCTCACTACCTCCAATGAGACTAAATGGATACGCGAATGTCGAATAGTGCGTGAGGTTGTGTATGCTAGAACGCAAACGCTACTCCGACAAGAATTATCGGCATTACAGCGAGACCAGGCTGAGACGCCGGAACCAGGGGCCGCTACAAACGATGACCCTACACCATTCACCGGCTACCCTCCCCAAAATCGAGAAAGTCTCGATTCTGATACAAGCCAGGATACTCATGTCAACAGTTTAGAGTGGTATTTTCGCAAAGCTTTCGTTGATGCATCTCTTCGTCCTACTCAGAAACCCTTGGAGGAAATAGACCCGTGCTTTTGCAGTGGCCCCTACGCGGTCGAAACTGCCAATGGGGAGTGTCATGAAGCTGTCAAAATGCCAAGGTGCTCGCATATTTTTGGACGCTCTTGTATTGCAATGTGGCTCCAGGTGAAAGATACTTGTCCGATGTGTAGGCAGAAGGTTGTGATAATACCTTTGATATGATCATCTTGTAATCGACTGAGTACCGGTGTTAAAGGGGACCTTGACTATTCACGTCAGTCACTTGATAGAAAAGGAGGAATGGATACAAAATTGGAAGTGGACCTTGTAGCGCAGGCTTGTGTGGAAAATTGGGATTTCAGTGTTAAGTCACATGGCAAGGATTGAATGCACAAAATCATACTGAACAGTGATTAGAAAAAGGAGGAACAACATCTACTAGAGTTATTAGATTTGGTAAAGGTTTAGGCGTTACCAGACGTAAGGAACTGGGGAAAACACATCTTGTATATAGGGTATTGTTTAGGAAACCTTATTTGTTGGCTATCAGCAGGGAAATATTTGGATTTGATTATTGAGAGAATGTTTAGAATTCCAACATCACATGGAGATTTTGAAACTGAATTAGCATGAGAAACCAGTGAGAATATTTACAATGGGCAAGGCCAAAGCCTAATAACTGTCAAGTACTTCTTCTAATGAGCCAGATTCACGAGTCTGATATTCTCGCTTCTTAAATATTTCTTTCTATGGTTCCTTTTGATTGTTACAAACTAAAGTAGATACTAGAGCATGATCCGGTTCCCTGTTTCCATCAAAAGATAGTTATTATCTGGCTCTTACTTTGGAAATTCTTGGCATTTGAATTAATGATGAAAGAATAGAGTTGGAAATAGAAGCGCAATTTCCATCATTGTTCGCGATACGAATGGTACGACGACAAAAAGGTTGTTCGTACGCTTCAAAGTTGGTGACTGAAGCTGTATGGATGATGCCGCACCTCAATACACTGTATTGCAAAACCGCCGTATTGATGAGTGATGTACTGATTTGATTACTATCGTCTATATTATTACTATATATATTATTCTCTAGCTCGTCACATCCTCCTTTATTAGGATTGAATCAACTGTTCGAAAGACCTCTCAATCAAAATCATTACGAATATCTCCATAAATTAGACAATTCACAACAACATCAACATCACCTACAAAGATCTGTCTTCTCGACCGCACCAGCTTTGTACAAGTTTCGTGGTGTATCTTGTTACTTTTCCAAAGCACGAGGCTCAATAAGAGAAACCGGTGAACACGTCAGCGACTGAAAAATCAAAAAGTATCAGTCAATTCAGAAAAATACTCCCAAGAGACGCGATCCACGCTAGCAGTCCAGTACAGATATTTCCACCGGATTAAAACCCATATTACCTCCATATAACACTACCAATGGATCCACTTGACGTAGCACAAGCGGAAGGCACAGCTCCTATCTTCGTCATCGCAGAACGCGAAGAAGGAAACGCGGCGGTCCATCTGGATCGATATTATCTTCTTGGTGATGATTTAAGAATACAATTGTCAAATACAGGAGTACTGCCAGACCGCATCCCAATTTTCTCTCTCCCAGCAGACGTCGCTAATCGCATGCGACAAGAAGAAGAAGAAATCCAAGACGAGGATATCCCCGCCCTCGAGGAGGAAAGAAGCCTCGAATCTACAAATATGAAAAAAGATGCAATCAGAGCAGTCCTGAAGCCAGTCGAGAGGAGTACAGACGAACTAAGCCCTTGTTTCTGCAACGAACCATACGCAGATTCAACGGCAAAAATCGACAACGACTCGCACGAACCGGTTAAGATGCCAGATTGTCCACACATTTTCGGAAAATGTTGCATCGTACAATGGCTGGGCGATAACAACCCCTCGACTTGCCCGATGTGTAGGAGAGTGGTTAATTTACCGAGGGATAGGCCGGTAACGCGAAATGAGACCGATGATGTTTATAGCATCATTGACTACCATTACTGAGTCAGAAAGGCATGGTGGGTAGGAATTCAGGCAGTAGATAGTCATTGAATAGATCAATTGATGAAATGGCGGATTGTATCAAGTTTGGGGCCAGCGGGTGAAGGTGCTCCCAATCATCCAATTCTAAATAATCAAAACTATGTCGACAGTCTACTGTAATACTCAATAAACTTCAAAAAAGAGCCCTCTTTTGCTGTTTTCCTGCTTACGTAATTATGATGCTTGAGAACTTGCAACTTGAGCCAATATAGCTATTAGAAAATGTGTCTAGCTTTCTTGGCACCATTGATGATATGACTCGTTACCCCGTTTAAAAATTGTTAGCGAGTGAAAACGATAGCAAGTTAGCACAAAGAATTTCAAGAGTTACGGCGGGGAAGCAGAGCACAATGAAAATTTAGGTACGGTTATAATACGTCAAAATTAAATTATGGGTACGGCTATGCTACATTAAAAGTAAATTTTGTGCCGTAGCAATTCCTAACTGCTATGCTGTACGAACAGCACCATGAACAGTACTATATTGAAGGATTTCAGAACGGCTTCTGACGCTAGCACACTAGTACTGGCCATCATAGAGCTTTATTTCACATATAGGGAACAGAATGTTCCTCCCAAAAACATCCATTCTCTTTCCCTATCTTTCTTCTACAGATTAACATCTACAATAATATCTTGACCACCTCCATTTATCTGGCCTTGACTTATACAAGAAACTTTTAATCTTTAAAAACCTTCCAAAAATTTCCACTTTAACTTTTTTACTTAAACGAATTTTACAACAAACTCGTTCACCATGACTAAATTCTCGAATTTCTTTCGTGACGTCGGCGGATCCATCACTGGCGCTTTCTACCACAAGGGTGCCAAACGCAGCCGCAAATCTAACCAAATCCCTCGCCCAGACACTCCTCCCAGCTATGAAAATCTTTTCGGACCACTAACACAGCTTTCAACAGGCTTGGACGAAACTGCAGAGCATGAAGCCTTCTTGATGCGAATGGCACGCGATCCATCAATCCTTGAACACAGTTCAGACTCTGATGAAGATTTCCCACAAGACACATTGTTGGACCGAATGGCACACGACCCATCGACCAGAGAACGCCGTGTACGCTCGAACCAAATCACAAACCATGTTCCTGTCGTTTCTCGCATCTACTCAATGTCACCACAGGTAATCATTCCTGTTTCACGAGCTGAGGTAGAGCCGCGCGAAGCCATTCCTCCACCATATGACCATAGTGACAACTTGGTTATTCCAGAGCCACAAGTTGATACTGCTGAGCCATTTCTACATCTTGTCGAGGAAGCTATCGCAGCTTCATCTCCCCAAGCCAGAGTAGTTACTCCTGAGCAAGAAATCACTCGTCAGGAAAACTCAATTGCTGCCAATTCCGGCCATCAATCAAGAGGTGATACTCATCGTTCATCCCAAGGTCGCTGTATGAGCTCGAATAACACCGAAGATACCCAGTTACCGTCAAGAGTCGTCAGTAACCCAGAGCCACGCGCCTCAGTATCCAGGCTTCCAGTTGCAATTAGATCCACCTCATTGCAAGATAAATCCACTGTTCCTAGTCACCCAAGCTCGCGACCAAAACTTTCTGAATCACGCCGCGTTGGAGGTCAATCAGCTGCTTGTGAACATGGTCAGTCGTCTTCCGTAGAGCCAAGAGCTGTAAGTGCTCCTCAACCAGCCACACAATCATCTACTTCAGTTGCTGTTAGACAATCTTCAACGCAACCAAGAAGTGCCCTGGATTATGGAGATATCATTCAACGTCATGCGCGTGTATCGGATCATCATACTAGCTTGGTAAGATCCACAGAAGATACAGCACAGCAACTGCCAATGCCTAGACAGCGACCACATCCTGTTGTTGATCAAGATGAGTCGGATGAATTGACAGGGGAAGAAAATCCTGTTGAAATTCAAGATTTCCTGGCTCGCGATCGATCCGGCTCTAGTGATGGCAACCAAAATTCTCAGGGAGCTTCATCTTCAGGAGATCTTACTACTTTGAGATCACAACATGAATCTCATCGGGATACCGCATCTGGTACTCAAGTTGCTCATCAGCGAAGCGCACGCAGCAATGAAGCCGCCTCAAGAACTGAAGGTGGCAACCAATCATCGAATAGTCACCGTCACGAAAACAGCGATTGCGATGGATCCAATACTAGATCAAGACACGCACCTGCTAATTCTAACAGATCCGGAAGCTCGAATGTCGGAACGAATGCACAGACTAGAGAGACCACTCCGAACTTGTCTAGGCCTAGCTCTTCTGAAACTTTAAGACCTCAGCCTGAGCAACGCGATCCCGTCCACCCAGAAATCACTTCTCCCTTGTTGATCGCAGAGCTTCACCATGGTCGAGCCAACGGCGCAACTAGGCCACCAGTTATTGGCCAACATCTTGCTGAGCGACTTGACGCTGCACGAGCTGCACGTGGTCTACCTAGGTCGCCACGTATGTGGGATATCCCTACACCAAATGATGAAATCAACAATCCCATTCATCCAGCCGACTTCCGCGAAAATGGATACCATCCAACTAATAGGGACCCAGACTTGCGCGAGGGACGTCCACCAGCTCGGGCAAACAGCACAGTCCATGGCGACCACAGACAACGCCGTGCGAGAAATCAAGGCGCTGTTGATAGTATGCGCAGTCGAGAGATGGAACTTGATCGAGAGCTCCAAGAGATCCGTGAGCAGGAGAGACAGAGAGCCAGCCGAGAGGTTGAGGAGAGAAGACAAGAAGAGCGAGAGAGACGACACAGAGAGAGAGCGCGCAGAGCAAGAGAGAAGAGAGAGCGCCAACAGAGAGAAAGAGAGGATTTAGAGAGAAAGAGATCAGAGGCCGTTGATAGTATCCTCCAACCAATCCACATCGATCGTTGTTTCTGTCTTGAGAAATTCGGAGATGGTGGCTCGCCGCATGAGCGTGTAAAGCTGGCGCAGTGTACACACGTCTTTGGAAGAAGTTGCATCAAGAAGTGGTTGATGAAAAGTGATACCTGCCCACAATGCGTGGCTGCGCATGCTGCTCTGAGTGCTTTGTCGCAACAGGCACGAGAATTGAGTATCCGTCAAGAGGACTGGTAAAGGTTGGGGGAGGATCATTCGACGGACGCACTATGGGCGGGGTTGAAAATGACGATTTTGAGGCAGATGGGTTTGATAGGAGAGGATTAAAATTCTGGGAAGGTAGCTTGCGATGGCTTCTCACCAGTGGTTCTCTATTGAGTTAGCGCTTGCTAGAAACCAGCAGTTACCATTTTATTCACAGTGGGGAATTGTGATGGGGATGGTAACAACGCGCAATTAAGCACATGGGAACAAGATCGGCGAAATATCTTCTTTGATATATGGACATAGCTTCTGGATCATGAAGGTGAAAATCGGTATGGATGTTGACACCGATTTTAACAGCACATTATGGCTTCACTGGGCCTACAACAGTTTCTTTGCACTACCTCCATTCTAACTTAGGATAATATAACAGCATCTTTAGAAAAATTGACTTATGTGCATGTGCATGAGGCACAATGACTACATAGAATTACAAAGCCGCTCGTGTCTATGAATCTGTGAATTACAACTGCTTCCCCACTTTGTCGAATCAATAAACAAAGTGAATACTTCGTATCACAATCACGAGAGAGTGCATTATGATAAATATACAAAGCAAAACAGCTTTCAAGTAGGGAAACTCAAAGCATGAATACAAAGTAGAAAACAATGTTGCGAAGACCAACCGATGTGACTTTGTGCAACAAAGATTAGGATTAGCAAAGCAACAACTGGATTGGGTAATGAAAGGTACTATTTTTTTTATCTTGAGTATAAAATGAATTTTAGGTATAAAAAGCTTACAGTCGCTGAGGATAGTGGGATGTTATTATTGAATGTATTTCATAAATATATAGAGAACTTATCACTCAAATTGCATGACTGCATGACTGATATCTTCCATATATGTTCTTTGTGGTCTCAAAATCGAGACTGCCAGCAACTGGCATTGCCCATACCTTCTTATTGTTCTCATATTAGCTACCCAAGATACCGTGACTTCAGTACTACTTGAGCATCTTGCAATCGTAAGGTGAGGTCTACAATGTTTTAAGCCTACCTAGACAGTTGCCTGTTTAGTAGGATATTCCCAGAGGTTATTTTCTCAAAGATTTAAGTCTACTACCTAGGTAATTTTGACATTATCCAGATGAACTTTCCTAGTGAAGTTGTCAGATTCATAAGTGCTTGACCAGCAACTTGTAGTCTTTGAGATACTCAATTCTTGTACAAACATTCACGTGATTATTTCAAGCTTTAAGCAGATCAACTTCAGAAATAAATGACTTTGTGAATATCGAAACTTTATCGTATTGAATACTTCGTATATAACGTTAATGATCATCCAAAGTATCGCTGGAAATCTAAAATCTTCTTTGTGGGCTATATTCAAATCTTTGATCACTAATCTCCAAGCCGCCTTAAGTATTCACTTTTATCTATTCATTTTATCAGCAACCAATATAAACCCTTGTATACGTGTTTCGAACCTAAAATTTGATCAATATATGGCATAAGAAATTTAGTAGACTGCTGTACTAAAAGTCGCTTGTTGTATATCGAATTCTTTTTGCGACATTTACGGATCGTTTGTTATGAGCGTGGTACTTTCATCTTCTTTACAAATATCTCTCGTCATAACATTGTCTCGGACTTCAAGTATCTGAACCATCGATTGAACACTTCAGACTCTCCTGGCAGCTCAAGAACTGTTCGAGATCAATAAATCTACAATAAAACCAGGAAACTAAACTTTTTTTACTCTTCAACTTTTGATACTCCACATACAGAAAATTCCCATCATCATGTCTTCTGGACAGAGTAATATTTCGGCGACCGAGGAGCTAGAAAGATCTAGGCAACAAAACACTTCTGGAAATGCTGGATCTCCTGTTGCTGAATCACTGGCACTTCACCCTCGTCACCAAGTCACTGTTCTGGTGGACGGCACACCGCAAGTTACAGCTTCGCAAGGTACATTTCGACAAGACGTAAATTCTCAAGAGTTTGCTGAAAATATCGGTCCTGTTGATATTCTTGAAGGGGAAGGGCATCCTGGTAATCTCACAGAGGCAGGAAGCCAGCTGAACAACCACGCTCTCACTCTGCAGGAAGATATTCTGCAAGATGAAGTTCCAGCAGACATCACTTCTTATAACACCCCTGGAGATACCGAGCGTAGTGCCCCTGCCGACAACGAAGAGCTTTCGGGTGGCCTTACCGATGACGAACGCTCAGGGACCCCTCCACAAAATGTTGTGCCACAAGATGCTGCTGTTGAGGATATAGAGTCCATTCATGCTGAGATCCGGACCCGATTCAACCAGTATATTCAAATCAGGTTCCCAGAAGGTCTCATGGATAGTCGGCATGTAGTGGAAGCTCTCGTATTCTACACGCAACAGTTGAACGAACGTAATGGCAGCGGCACCGCTCTAGCTTCGACAATTGAGATTCACGACGGAATCCCGGTCCAAACGACGTCTATAGAAACAATGGATTCTTTCCACGATTTCTATGCGAGCATTAGACCACGTCAGTCGCACGCAAATATCCAAGAGAACCACAGAAACCAGGCCATCGACGAGCTTTTGACTCCAGTACTGATCGATGAAACTCAAACGGAATCGATACTATGCCCAATCTGCAACGAGAAATACGACTCAAGCACAGCAAATGGTATTTCTCATGGCGCTTGCATGGTACCAGGATGTAAGCATGTCTTCGGGCGGGAATGTATCAACATGTGGCTTAAGGAAGAGAAAAAGAGCACTTGTCCGATGTGCCGCGCTGAAATCGACATTCCCACTGACTCTTCGGATGATGATGATGATGATTGATTGGACGTAATACCTCATAGTTGGAGGAGGTGGAGAAGTTATTGAGGAAGGATAATCGAGGATGATAGCCATCTCACAAAATTGACAAGCATTGGTAATCTCAGTGGTCACTTGTAGCATTCTGGTGGGACGGAAGCGAATGTTCTTCTTTTCGCATGCATAATTGAGGGATTGAGCGAAGGCATCTCAAGATAGTTAGATAAAAGAAATACTATTCAGTAAAAAAAAGCCATATGAGACAGACTTGATTTTCAAACTAACCTTACTTGGCAAAGTGAAATTTTAACCGTCGATCCGGAAAATGACTTCTTTCACTACTCTGACAGCTTCTTGAACCAGACTAAGACTGGCCACTTCAAGGATTCAATTATTTGACAGTGAACCTGGAATCTAACGTCACAACCTCGCATCATATGCTAAGAAGTAGTATGAGACCTCGTTGCATTAAACGGATATTGTGATTACCCCTATTTGAAACTCTTTCCGTACTTTTTGTGGATCTATTGTTAGCTCTTTGGGTTTTGGCGTTCGAAAGTAATGTATATATATCATTATCGCCAGATATTGAAGATATACTACATATTCCGATCGATGTATTGAATGTAAAAGGGGAAGGGTGAGGGGGAAAGCGAACAGAAAAAGAAAGAACCTTCAAAGCTTATCTCGACCCCTTCCATGATAAAATTCAGAATGGGAATGGAATGAAACATAATTTTATTGAAGCTATGTAGCTTCTCTTCCAGACTCTCGAATTGAAAAAGCTAAAGAGAACCAAATATAACTAGTAGCCCATGTAGTAGTCTCTTGGCGCCTGTGATCTTCCACCCTAGGATATGACTAGAGAACATTTTCACGGGACTACCACATCATCACAAATTTAATAAAATCAATATGAGTATAACCAAAAGTTATGGTAGAACAATCATAATACATTGTATCATTTTGGGACATCACACGAAATGGCGAAAACCAAAGCAGCTTCCCGATCTCGTTCACTACTCGATTGATAAACTTAGTGTGCGCCCTTAAAATAAAGAATTCGAAGAGACTGGATCATCGTGTCAAACTAAACTTTAAACAATATGTAGATTACTCTAGTGCTTAAGTCATTGGTTTGAGCCACGCTGGTCATTTTCGAACAATATAAAAAGATTAAGTATATTCTACAAAATTTTCACACAAATCATCTCTGTAATAAGTTGGAGAAACATTAACACAGGTCAAAGAACCTCAAATTCTATTCATTGCCACTTCTCATATTCAAAGAATACAGGAAAAACTCCCCCAAAAACGCACTCGACTCAATTACGAGTATCTTTTATCAACACACAAAAATCATGGCAGATAATCCCTCCCCGGAAATCCGGTCATGGTCAGACGCCCAGCAAAATGTATTTGATCACCACTCTGCTTGGTTTGATAGCTTCATACAATCACAACAAATGGCTAATATTTCACAGAATTCAGTACATGGTGTCAACGGAGCAACTCGAAGACCGACGTTAGGATGGTTTAGAACACGTCGAGAAGCATGGCAGTCATCTGAAAACCACGCGGAAATAGAAGTGGGTTCTCAAACCGAGGGTGAAGAAGCACGGCAGTCATCTGAAAATCACGCGGAAACAGTAGTGAACTCTCAAGCCGAGGGCGGAGAAGTTCGACTCCTGGAGGATGAGGGTCAACCTAATCCTCCGCCCTCGATCTTTGAAGATGACACGATGATCAAACGCAATTGTTATGAGGATTTTAGACTTGAAAATATTGAAAACAAACTTCTTCCAGTATCTGACTGCCACTCAGACCACTGTCCTATTTGCCAGGAAAAGTACAATACAACCTTAGATGCTTCTACTGTGGTCAAGGACATACGTTATTGCGATGATTGCCAGAGATCGTTTACTATGAAGCCCGACACCAGCAACTCTCACAAGGCTTGTACAATGCCAAAATGCTCGCACGTATTTGGCAGATACTGTATTATTCAGTGGTTGAAGGACAACTCGACCTGCCCTCTGTGCCGTGATGAGGTAGATTTCCAATAGAGAAATTTCATCCATGGAGGTCTCCAAACGGGCCGGAATATGTATTTTAGCGGGGGCTTTTCTTTGACCGAAATGGCTCAGTGAGATTTCGGACATTTGTAATGGTTCAGTTGCGTGCGCAGGCGCAATGGAACATCAAATCAGCGTTTGGTTGGTGCACTTGGCGATGGATTCTTAGCGATCAAGCGGGATATTATCCAAGGGTAATTAAAATGCGTAGAGAATTAGAAACCTACAAAATTCAAATTTTTTTACTTATAGAGACATCAAAAATTACAACAAGTTACTGTCATGCCCCTGGGATTCGTAGATTCTATCATAAAATCCGAATAGAGTTTATCCTAGACGCCATGTAAAAATTATAAGTTCTTGGTGTTCCAATAATCATAGGCTAGAATCTAAGTGTTAAGAAAGAAGGAAGAAAGGAAGACACATGATCATCGATTTTACCGTGGAATCTATTCTCTTGACATGGAACCTACCCCTATAGAATCTAGCGCCCCACCACGTAATATGAAATACATTCTTTCACTACATGATCTAGCCTCTCATTATATAATGTGGCCTAGCGACCTAGATTCGCATCGTAGAATCTTAACTAATGTAGTTAGATCAGACTTAAGTGGGTCACAAGCTATCAATGAGACACGCTACAACAGCAACTAGTAATTTGAGATATAGGGCTGAACGAATTAACCATCATTTGAATTGTAAGGACGCACGGATCTATAGTATACGTGACCGGATACAGTTAGCTCCTTTAGCCTAGTTGATCGGATGAGTTCGAAGCTAACCTTCGAACTTTCTTTTAGAACCATCAGTAACTAGCATTGCTCCTGCTAAACTCGCTTCAATTATCGTTCTTCGCATGAATTATCAAAATTGGAGCTCTCTGGCTCTTAGTAGGCCTGACAAACACTCTAGTTCCATTAGAACCAGAGACCACGTGGCGATACCCATATATATATGTATGTATATCATCCCCCATGATCCGACTCGGTCTCGGCGTGTGTGATCCAAGAAGCAGGTACACGAAAGTAATAGATTTCCCTTGATAAACTCACCACTTTTCCATCCCACTGATTCAAAGTGCAAGATCATTTGACCTTTCTTTATCTCAAAGTAAGTAGTAGAATTCATATTTTGTCCCCTGAGGTGCATGCACAACATGATGGACCGTATCTGCACTTACCATTTCCTGCATTAGACAGACCGTATCGTTGATAATAGTGGAACCGTATGAACATAGTTGCCAACTTATTAACAAGTCTTGTAACTTGGTTTCCTCGTTTCTCTCTTCCTATTAGTTCATCAACAACAAGTAACGTTTTCCAACCACCTCACAACACTTTCTCGACATTGGATCTTAGAAAATCATATAGCCGATCTCTTTTGGAAACATAAACACTCACCTAATACCAACCTGCAAGAAAGATATAACGAATATCATTCCAACCTCCAACAAACCGGATGCGCCATGCCTCCTCAAAGACTTGATTCGCGCCCGCACGGCATCCCACCCCGTGATTTCAGAATTTCTGAGAACACGACAAGACCGCACACACCAATGACACCATTGACTTCGACCTCCACAATGATATCAACTATGGTTGCGACACGTGGAGTCACAATCGAAGTCATTTCGCTCAATGGCGACATGAGCCGTACAAATCCAGAGTTCGAGAACATCGTAAGAGCCGCCGTTGATATCGCACATGGCGACGACCCGAGGATATCTTCTGGCGAACTTCTCATTGAACACGATTTGGATGAAGATAATCGATTCAATGCAGCTCTACACTATCACGATAGGAGCATGAGATCGCTGAGTGTAAAAATAATATTCGATTACACGTATCGAATCAAAGCTATCAACGAAATGATCGAGTTGGTGGATATTGAAACTCTTGATTGGGATACTTGCAGCATTTGTATTGAGTCATATACCACGGCTACCACTCTAAGTGAGCGCGATACAGTGGTGACTACTCCAGAAGAGCCTGATACTTCTGACAATACAAACGGTTTCGAAGATTCGATCGATATTTCAAACGATACTAAAGATTCGATCACTATTTCAAATGAGCCGCATCACGCTGCAGTGAAAATGAAGATATGTGGGCATGTCTTCGGTAGGCGTTGTATTACACAATGGTTAAAAGACAACAATACATGCCCAATGTGTCGTCGGAAAGTGTTACTACCTATTCCATTTCACCTACAGATGTGGGTAGCTTAGAGTTCAAGAATGGTGAGCATGAGGAACATTAGGCCAGGGACTGATAGGGATGGATATTGAAACGTCATATAACCCATTTAAAGAGATTAAAAGGCCTCAATATCAGGACGATTAGTTGGGAATACTTTCAGCCCATTTTGAACTTCTGCCTATGAAGCTACTATGAATAATAGAGCTCAGTCAGTTTAGTTCGAGCTGTAATGTAGAAGATAGATATTTTCGAATGTATTAATAAACTTAAAGAAATTATTTGACAACATCGAACAGTGAAATCCTATCTCAGATACATGAGTGAAAATGACAGCTTATGCAAGTGATCCATAAATATAGGCGAGCAAACGCATTTGCGAATAGTCATGCAATTGAATGTTCAGATGAATATCAAAATTGTGAATGCAAATCCTTAGTCAATGTCTCCCTTAACATTTGAATGGCTTGAAAATAAACTATAAAGCTTTGAATTAAATTCAAGTAATCTTCTACTAAATCAATATCAATGCTGACCCGAAGTCTGTATTAGACTGCGCAGGGTCCCCGATAGCCCGGAAAACAGTCTAATAATAAAGATTATCGAACCCCCAAACGAATCAAAACATTTAATCATTTGAGATATTGAGTTTTATTGGAATATTGAAATATTTGAAGATTTCTACTTGCTTTTAGATATTCAACCCTCATATTGTTGGACTGCAGTCTAGACTATTGGATATACTGATTGTCTGTGAACTCCCATATCTCTTTTACAATATCATATTTATTTAAACCCGATATAAAGTTAAGCTTGAATCAATAATAGATTGTGAAATTATTTGTGTTGAATCTGTTGGAATTTCTCAATTGTTTGCTCTGTAGGCGGACAGGACAATCCGCGGATTATCTGTAAAGTCAACAATCTACTCTACATGTACTTGTCACGCAGTCTAGTCTGTATACGAAATTCAAATAGGGTTCAATTTCTAACTCACCAATACGGCGACATTGTCGTCGCATCTCACGCGAGTGAATAGACAAAATTAACAAGAAAGATAATGGTGAAGTCAAACAACAACATGAAAAACCGTAATGGAAACATATCTTGCACCGTAGCAGCCGTAACATTTCCAATATCATGTTCCAACGACAGTAATAAAACTTTGTCACAGAGTGTCCAAATGATGCCGTAAGAATGATATATCCAGCTTATAAGGAACATCTGTGCCAGACAATAGGAGTTTCTATCTTTCTATAGATTCATCACAATAACCTCCATCATCCAATAAGTTCAAGAAGTCGACAGATAACAACTTTCAGAACAGTAACCAGCCAACCTGATCAAACTCTCAAAACGAGCCGAGTTTTCAGAAAAGTCAATCTACTATGTCTTTAATGGAAATCATGCTTTCACGATTCCGCAACATTCGCTCTTCGTCATCGACCAAAAACACCTTCTCACAGAACATATTCAATCATCTTAACCTTACAAGACCACGAAGACACATGGATTGGCTAAATCTTCCTGCTCAATACGAAGAGTCTGGCATGACCCTCGATATTGTGTCTACTGGAAATTTATCATTTACGGGAGACGATTTCGATAGTCTTGAGGATATAGTAGATATTGAACCGGAGGCAGTCCCATTACTTTCAACTGAAGAACTTCGGAAGAATCCCAATTTGGATAGGCAGAAGCGATTTGCTCTTCTAGGCAGTGCAGATGGCACGATGAAGTTCATTGTGGTGGAGATTAGGAAGAACTACCACGATCGAACCAGAGCCATCAAGGATATGCTGCCACCAGTCGACGCTGCGACATTAGACTTTGAACAATGCGGTATCTGTATTGAGTCATACGCTGAGGCTACCATTCCCCTTGAGCCCAATCATGAGCCTTCAAAGATGCCAAAATGTGGACACGTATTTGGCCGAGATTGTATCGTTGAATGGTTGAAGAAGCATGATACATGCCCCATGTGTCGGGATGAATTGACGCTTCCAGTTGCGTATAGACTACGGGTGAAGACGAATCAGAATCGGGAACAAGCTAGATCCAATGCTTGATATTTCTGTCGCCCATATATCGAGGAAGATATGAGCGGCTTTTGAGTACCCTGTATCTAGGTGCGAGGATCAGAGGGTTTCAGATAAACGGAGGCATACAGTAATTTGAACTATCAGGAAGAAACAACTGCAGACGTTTGTAGTCTCTTTTGTAGATTGATTTTGGGAGCTAGTGTAAAGCACGGGGTATATCCACTCGTCGCAACCGTTCGAGAAGGCGATCTCAATTGTAGTATGAGAACGCCAATTGAGGGCTAAATCTAGAACCTAGTTATACATTAAGAACTCTGTAATTTAATCCTGGTATATCTTGGTGATTTTATCTTGACTAAAATTTGAAAACAACCTCTTGAATTCTTTGAAATCGCTATGTGAGAATGAGGAATTAATATGTAACCATAGTTTAGATGGTAGGGTAGCTACCCCCCCGAGTATGAGAAATATCTTTTAATGTACTCTAGAATCTGATCCTAAACTATAATATAACTAGAAAATAACATAATTCAATTGCGGAGCTTTATATATATCAATCGTATGTATTTTTCTCTCGATATAAAGATTAGTATGCCACTCCAAGCCTAAACCCTCCGATTCGACTTCTCCAGCATAAATCTCTGACTTGCTTACATGAATCGCTCACACAACACAGCTACTTCTTTGAATAAGCTTCTTCATCTCAATACTTACGTGTAGAAGCTTGAGATTTATGCGTTATCGTATAGAAGACGTTTGCTATTTACAAATTAGTACTGACCGTATGCAATGGATCATGTCGATAATGCCCATTGTTCTCAAATAATTTATAAGAAGCCGTATCATACTTGCTTGTATCGTCTGTTAGTATCGGGCTATCGCTGGAGCCTAATTCCTCTAAAGAATAAGAAAATTGGCATGAAATCAGAGCAAAGACTTTGTCGATAACATTTCCATCAAACCTTTCATCAAACCACCAAAGAGTACCTATCAATATGCATTTACTAGATCGTATTCAACACAGTTTCAAAGATCGGGTCAAGCAGAGGCGTCAAAGCCTGAATGAAAGCAAAATCTTTGGAGATGGAGCGCCTTCCACAGGGGGAGTTCAAGAAAGAACTCCCTCTTTTTTCGGAACCGTCAGGCTATTCGAGGCGCACGCATCCGAAAATCTTAGGCCTTATCCATATGAAACATTAGATGATGTCAATGATGATGTTGACGATGACGGCGATAGCGTAGAGAGCGGTTTTACCAATTTTTTATCAGAGAACTCTGAAGTTCGTTTTGTTTCAGATAGTATATCTCCTGGTTTTTCAACCGCTTTGTCTCCTCGTCTGCGATCTCTGAGTCATCGTATTCAACAGGAGACTACTTTTGGCGATCAATGTGTGAGCGACTCTCAGCGAAATGATGATCATATTCGCTTAGATAGCGACAGCCGTACCTCGGCAGAAGACCTAGAAATATTTGGTTCCCCTCTAGAGAGAATTAAAGCTGGGAGCTCTTATCCAAGCTCGGGCTGGGGAATACAAGATCAGATTGATCTCCAGATGAGAGAAGATGTTGAACAATCAACTCCTAGCTCCAGACCCAGGAATTTGCATTCCAAAGATAAGTTCGTTGCCGTTAACTCTACTAGAACGGATAACCTACATCTGCTCTTTAAATTGCAAGAAGTTCAAATGCCACATCGACATAGAAAATCTAAGCGTATGATGATACCCAAATCTTGGTGTCTTCCATCCGAAAATCCTCATCGTCAGGTCGGTTTCTACAATGGCATATTCTTCAATCATGCTTCTAAGAATCTTCATTTCAAAGACAATGTTCGAGATAGTGCGATTAAGGGAATCTAGTGGATAAGTGCCTCCAAGAGACCCTCGAACTATAAGGTTGGATTAAGCGAACCTTCATTCCAACAACCGCCACGAAGAGCAGTTTAGGTATTATATGCCAAGACCGCTGCAGTATGGGAGAACACTGTATCAATCAATTCCAGATATGATGGAATATTGTCGAGATTGCATTTGTTTGAATGTCATGATCATGTCACGCTTAGGACAAAAGGGCGAGGTTTTGATTTAAGTAGCTGGATCAGAGGAGAACGATTGGAGCAGACCGAAAAGAGTGTCTCTCAAAATACTCTATTAAACTTGGAGAATCAAGCTTTCGTGATATTAAAATCTTACACGACTTAGCGCGTTCAAGTCCTTCGTTCTGATGCAGCGTCAAAGCTATTCAGAGACTAAGAATCTTAAGACCTATCAATAATGTTTAAACGAGACCCTGTAGGGTTTCCAAAACCATGTCAACAAGTACGAGAACACGTAAATAGTAACTTGAATGATGCAAAGTGGAACAAAAGAGAGTGAGGATTGCAATGGATCGTCCCGAGAACACATTCTCCGGCTTCGATAGAAAAAAGAAGACCATCAAACTATCGTCAACCGTGGCCAGGTTGAAATAGAATCACACCAGTACAAGACGATCTGGCATGCAGTAGGACTGTGAGATCATTTATGATCATTAATAAAGTTCGCGTGACCCGTAGAAGCTCAACTCCCACTAGAGCGTTTGGGGAAGCCTGGAATCGAAGCCGTAAACTTTCAATTAGACGAGAAACTATTTCAGACATTGATGGCTGTGGATGTAAAAATCAGGTTACGGTCATCATAAAATAGAAGATCTATGATCGTATGAGGATTTAAAATAGCTGATTATTACGTCTTAGAGAGCAGTGAATCACTTGATACTTGATAGGAATCATTGCGCCCAATCATTCTACGCTGAAGAGATCTGTTAAAAAGTCTACCCCATGGACTCGGATTACAAGTCACGTTATTCGGCACCGCCTGGATAGACCTTTCCTAATATAGGTATGCAAATGAACGACCGATATAAAAAGCATAATTTGCACATGAACGTATTTTGTACTTCACTGACCCTCAAACAATGACTGTCTCAATACTGTCACCCGATCACTAACCGATCACTAAAATCCAGCAGCGAGGTACGGTTCAGCCGTATTGAACCCGTACTGAACCGCACCACTCAGTATCTACTTAAGCTATCACCTTTGCAAAATCCTCAACTTCCATATTCCTTCTTCCATTTACAATAACTTCTCCTACAAAGTTACCTCACAGTCAAGGTCAAGAAACATCAAATCTTGATATCCGAATTTCAACCACAATTTCAACCACACAAATCTTTCCACCACAAGAACCTCAAACTTATTTTCTACTACAATCAACTTCCAAAAATTCAGGCCGATTCTCTACAACAATCTTAATCATGCCGCGAATGCTTGACTTGCCGGTTTATTACACCGACGTTCAATGGCGCGCATTGAAATCCAGTACGTTTAAACTACTTCAATCACTAATCCTCCATCTCAATTCCACAAGACCCAGTGAAGCAGTTCATCTAACGTGAAATTAGAAGCCAGAAACAACCATCCATCTATCTCACCTAGGAATGCGGAGATCATCATGGAGACTACTAGAGTCTACGATGCTATTTGTATGTTGCCCTGCCAATGCTTTCGTCGCATATCTGTTGCAACCTCTGTTTTTTGCGGGCAGAAATAAAATTGCCAGTCCGAAATAACTTTTGTGCGAAATTCTAGTGAAAGATGAGGATCCGACACCTCTTCCTCAATTTGCGGATTCTATCACTTATAACAAGAGACAAGTCAACAAGTTTGTACTCTATGATAGACGTATGTATCTCCTTTAGTTCATTTCAATATTCCGCGTACAGTCTAGCATTCTACCTTGCCCCGTTGTTTCAATCAGTCAAGATATCCGATAGTTTGGATTAGCAGACTTAATACGATTGCTCAGTGTTTGAAAAGAGCACATCATTCAAAATGAATCCAGCTTTTCAGACTTTCAACCATGATATTGCCTTGAAAGATTTTCATTATTGGACTGTAATCTAAACTATCGGTGGTCCTATTTCTGGCCTAGATGAATCTCGCACGTCTTGCCTAGTCTCCTACTAACTCAATAATAGATGCAAAACATGGTCATATCACCGTCATGAGTCCTTGCTACCTTCCTAAACGTCGCCCTGAAGCTCGCGTTGGCAAAGCTCCGAAGCAGGTTGGCACGATTATCAAACCAACAAGAGATCCTAGAGGATCCACATTTGGCTTTATTAGAGGTCCCGAAGTTGCCGTAATCGAAGAAGAAAAAGAAGCAGAGGAATTGACTGTAGGGGAAGATAAGGCTATCGGTGGGAAAAAGGTTTCGACCAAGAAAAGCGGCCCGGCTGGGAAGAAAACTCTTGCTGAGAAGAAGAGGAGTTCACGTTTGAAGTCGAAATTGGGCGCCAGCGACGATTTCGTTAGAAGAAGCTCGAGAAGAATCGGTGGTGCCGTCGCCGCGAGTGCTGATATCGACATTGTTGCGGGGACTCCCGAAGCAGAAATTGTGACTCGGGAGATGAGAAAGCTTGCGGATTATAACTCTCCGGGGTCAAGAGAAGGTTCCTCTGAAGGCGATGAGTTGGCCAGTAACTTGAATTTCATAAACGGTCCTCCCATTCCGTACAAATCGCCATACAGTCATCCTAAGCTCGTCTACCAGTCTCCATATGCACCCATCCCAGACGCCTACGAAAACGTCGCAAGCCGCGAAGCCAACATATCAGCTCCACGCACCATTACTCCCGACGCCGAAGACAATTTCTCAAGTCGCCAAACATCCACATCAACCCCACGCGTAGTCATTCCATACGCCGCCAAAAACTTTCCAAGTCGGGATACAACTGTCTCGTATCCACATGTAGTTATTCCAGATGCTAGCGACCAGTTTTCAAGTCGCCAAACTACCATATCAGCTCCACGGTCAGTCATCTCAGATGCCGAAGACAACTTGGCAAGTGGCGATACCACCATATCGTATATATCCCAATAGTGCTAGTTCCATGATTCTAGAATCGTGATAGAAAACCCGTCCTAGATAGTTTACTTGGCTCATATGCAGAGAGGTGGGCAGTTAGTCGTAGGTTAAGAAGATCAGTCACTTTATGTAGTCACTGAATCTTGGGTGCATCAGATATCCTGGAGAAGCTCGAGTCAAATCTTGAGCACATACTATGCAGACTATTATTAGATAGCTAAGCATCAATAACCAAAATATAATTTGAATATCAGTCATTAAAATTCCACTTCGAGTTGAAGACCTTGAAATTGAACTGCCCCTTCCCTGTTGATTTTGTGACTTGTTCGTTGATGTTATCTTACCTCTCATAAATCCTTTAGCAAACCACAATATTTCGCTTCCCATAGAATTCTAAAGAGTCAATAAAATGGCACCATCTCACCCCTCAATGATTGGATATATCCCAGAGCAAAGACGAAGAGCACCTGTTAAGAGAGAATCAAGGCAAGACAAACCGACTCTTCAATTATCTTACCCATGTCCATGAATTTCTGACGAAAACCCGGAATTGTTTTCACTGACGTATGTATATTACAATATCCGCATAGAATAGCGACAACAAATATATTCTGAGAACTTACGGCTCCATCAAGAAAACAGCAGCGAGAAAAGATAATTTGACAATAAGTACCCAAATTTCTAGTACACAGCAAACCTACCAAGGCTGAAACCTGACGCACAAGGCAGTAGAATTGCAAGTGAACGAGCAAATAGCTTCACAATCCCATAAGAAATTTTGATGTATCATGTACTGCTATCCCCCTAGTTCAAGTACAGCACCAGAGCGAGGTATCTATACAAAAGCATTTCTCCATCATCCAGTAAATAGCTGAGAGATGCATGATCCAACAACCTCAAAACGATTCTCACATGAAAGAATACCTTACAAATCTCACCCGACTCACTATCTGAACATCTCACGCGGACTGGATATCATACCGTAAACAAACCTTGGTCAAATGGATTCCAAGACCACGTGTGGTTTCTTAAACCATGAAGTCCCTAGTAACTACTTACCAAATCAGTGATTTGGTAAAATGACCTTCACCCCCAAGACAGATAGTTCGTTGTCTTTCTTGATCGTTGAGAGGTCGTCAAATCTACTGATAATAAACCGAGGCGAAAATCCAACATGACAGTGAGAAATACGCTGAAATGATGAGAAGACACCCACCGAATCAAGGCATGACGAAAAGAAAGCGCAGCGACAGCGAGAAAAGAAAGTCAAGCGAGCAAAGTTACCAAAGAGCTTTGATGGACTCCCCTTAAATAGCCTACGTGAAAAACAGTAAATGGAAGAGTAAATGAGATAGTTTTTAGACCAGTAGACCTAGCCCTTTTTATTTGGTGAAATTGTAGCTCGTAACTCTTGAGGATTTTGAAAGGAATGTGTGGCGTATTTATATAACGAGAGCTCAACATTGACCGTCCGTAAATAAGCGGTATGTCACCCGGCCTGGGTCAGCATCACATAGAAACCATCTGTGTATAGTGTAAATAGGTGTACATATTGTTTTCATGCGCTTGGATATCTAAGTCATATAATATTTTGGTCCCCCTGAACCTTCCGGGACACTCCAATTGATATCCTGATCCGGCACCTTAATATCACATGTTTTACAATGAATACAACTAAGAGGGATTAGTATCAAGGCAACATATTGAGATGAGAAACTTACTTTTGCGCATTGATTTGAAACCTCACTCCGATATCCTTTGTTGAATCCTCAACATACTCGTACACACCAGCCGGGCAGAATCTGTTTTCAATACCCTTGTACTTTGGGTATTCCATCTCCGCATGCTTATCCCAATCCTTGACCTGCAAATGAACTGGTTGATCTTCCTCGTGATTTGTACCGGTACGACTAACACTTGTCAAGATATCAAATGAGATCTTACCATCGGGTTTCTCATATTCAATCTTTGTACATTGGTCGGCAAGCTTGGTAGCCGCAGCATCAGTGGATTTATGCTTCAATGTCCAGGGAACTTTACCCTTGAGAACATATGCTTCGAGTCCAGAGTACATAATACCACCATATAGCTTTAGTGGTGAATGGAATGAAGGCCGCATATTTCGTACCTCCTTCAATTCTTTCCAGATATAGGATTTGCGCAATGAATCTTCATAATCATACAAGAAAACCGACGCGTCGTCGTTTTTCTCCAATGCAGTCCATGTTGCCTCTGCAGCAAGCATTCCAGATTTCATAGCGGTGTGGGTACCCTTGATTTTTGGAACGTTGAGGAAGCCTGCAGTGTCACCAATCAAGGCGCCACCAGGAAAGGCGCATTTCGGTATCGATTGGAAGCCTCCTTCATTAAGAGCACGAGCTCCATATGATATGCATTTGCCGCCTTCTAGAACATCTTTATAAAGTGGATGATGCTTCATCTTTTGAAACTCTTGATATGGTGACATCCAAGGATTTGGATAATCGAGTCCTACCACAAGTCCAATACTCACCAGATTGTCACCAAAGTGATACATCCAGCCACCACCATATGTGTCTGCTGGGAGAGGGTAGCCCAGGGAGTGAACAACTTGGCCCTTCTTGAACTTTTCAGGTTGGATTTCCCAGACCTCCTTTATGCCGAGGCCATAAGTTTGTGGTTGACTATCTCTACGGAGGTCAAATTTCTTGATGACTTGCTTTGTGAGACTTCCATGGCAACCTTCTGCGAACAGGGTTATTCTTGCGTGAAATTCCATTCCTCTCTCGAAACTATCCTTGGGTTTGCCACTTCTCGAAATACCTAGATCATTGGTAGCGACACCTTTGACAGATCCATCCGACTTGTATAAAACTTCTGCTCCTGCAAAACCAGGATATACTTCAACTCCAACCTCTTCTGCTCGATCTCCAAGCCATTTTGTGAATTGATTAAGACTGACGATGTAATTGCCGTGATTGTTCATCTGGGGCGGGGCAGGTATAGGAATCGCGCTACCTTTGGTAAGGAAACGCATCTTGTCACCCGAGACGGGAGTAACATTTTCGAATCTATTCTCATTGTCCTCCGCGAGCCAATCTGGGAATAATTCGTTGATAGCCGTAGGTTCAATGACCGCGCCAGAAAGGATATGTGCCCCAATTTCACCCGCCTTTTCTAAGAGTATCACCCTAAAATCTTCATTCCCTGCTTCGTTTGCGAGTTGCTTTAATCGAATGGCAGCACTTAAACCAGAAGGACCTGTGAATGTTAATAAAATCCCTTGGCATGTGATAATATTCTTACCTCCTCCAACTATACATACATCAACCTCATCCGACTCTCTCTCCACCGATTTTGGATCAAAATCATCTTCGACATCTGCCAATCGTCGAGGGACTGTAAGAGAGAAAGCGCGTCGTTGACCAGCAATTAATGATGAAGCAATGCGGGGTCGCGACGTGGGATGTATGAATGATTGTTGAAGAATTCGCGGACATTGAGTCGCAATCCTGGAAGCATTTTGTCGCGCGACGTTACGCTGCAGACATGCCGTGACAGCCCTTGAAGAAGACATGATTATTGTCACCTCATATCAATTGTTCTTGCTTATGTTTAAAGTACAATTCATTTGCCTCTTGACTCACGAATGCGCTCAGAGTTCGAGTTCGGGTTCGGCGAAATTCTTCAAAGCTTCTCGTCTCGGCAATACTGTAAAGCTAGAACCTCGGACCAATCATGTGTCACCCGATTGAAAGCCATTTCAGCTGTAAGCAGCCAATTGAAAGCAGTAAATTGATTCAACAACATCAACATTATCACGAAAGCGACAACATTGTTATCGTTGCAAGAGTCAGGGAATTGTCTATCATTACTATTCGGAGATTGGGTACTTGACAATCTGGTGGATGCGGAAAGACTAAAGTGTTATTTTTGGTAACGAACGAAGATACCTAGCCATTCTCGGTATTGTACTGTACTTTGTGCTATATCCTCGGAAGCGGTTCAGCGGGGTCGCAATCGGATCGGAACGATAGCCCCTCACAAATATGTGCTAGTGCTTCACGAATAGTCTCATCTCCAATGTCAGCATTGTTTACCACTGGTTGCCTTTCTTCAAAGAGTACCGCTTCGTCCATCATACATCGGACTCATGCCAAGACATTAGAACTGTGGGTGTAACTTACGAACGTTGTCTTGTTTGCTCCGCGGTACTGATACATGTCGTGGAGAAGATCGTGATAAACAGAGTCCAAGCATAGATGTTATCTCCTAAGACTGGATCTTTAAGTCAACTGGGTATTTTCATTTACTTACTCAACCATAATATCAATGTTCTGGAAGAACTTGCGATGCGTGGTCGAATGGTCCATTGGCACAAAGCCGCAGAGAGATCGGTTTGAAGGACCCGTCAAGTAAATTTGCTCAATTCACCATCCGTTCAACGACTCCAGTGCACTTCCGTATTCTTTTTCGAATTGAACAAATTACGACTTCCATCAAGACTTCCATTAACCTGAGAACTTGGCGAAATATACGTGCCAAGGTATGTTTCTCATATACAAGACTTGGGATGAGAGCTTTTCCATTATTCAGATGATACCAAGCAATTGAAGATGATACAAACAACAGTTTACGTCTCTTAAAATAGGACACTTGATACTGTGCTACCGTTACACTTTCATTTTTTTGGCGCGGTAGTTCACACATCCGATGATCTTTGCTGGGGCCCACCCGTCTCGGAAGCATTTGACACCTCCTTTTCGTTTGACGCTGTAGCCGAATTGGTTTAATCGACAGTTTGAAACCCCGGTTTCTACACTACCGAATTGAGAACTATCTCAATTTGGTACAATTGTCCACCCCGATTTCCATTTCATTTTTACGAGAGATCCTCAGATTTGGTTGCAAAGATACATCCCATTTGAGACGATTGATGCTTAAGAAGCTTATTTTTCGTCTGGAACTATATTCCCGACGAAGCTAACCTGAATTCTTTTGTAGTTCACTCCCCATGGGCGTGGGCGTGGGTACCAGAGAATCAGGGGTTTGTAGAATAAACTTTACATCATACAACATCTACTGATTCCCAGATTCTAATTATGGTGCCTTTCATGGTTCTTGCGTGAAGACCGATACTCGTAAAAGGTACGATGGGGTGTCTGTCAGCATACGATCAACAAACTAAACTTTCAAATAAAGTAAAGATCAGACGGGCTAAGCATGAGCTGATTATCTTCCTTTCCATGGCGTCTTATGGTTTCAAGAAGTTCGAGATTCTATGAGGTCCAGATCAGCCATTGTTGTCGAACTTGAAGATAAAAGCCTCGAAAGCCTCATGAATTATATCTTTATTCTACATCAACACTTTATCTCTTCATCTCTTTGTGTGTCTGTTTTATTTCCCTTTACATTTGCATTCTATCAAGAGGTAAGTCTCCCTATTTTCATATAGAATTGGAAAATAATAACAATTTATAGCTGTGCTTTCTTACTTCATTACTTTTTCTTACATAACTTGACAGCTTGACGCTTATTACCGTACACATTTCATCATGAAGGGTTTCGGATCTATCTTAGCATTTATTGCTATCTCTGCCACGCTCGTTTCTTCTCGAGCTTTGCCAGAGAGCGAGTCTGATCTCATTGCTAGAGCACCAGTTCCAAATGGTTAGTCAATAGCACCTCACAGGGAATAGGCATAGCTAACAAGATCAGTATTTGAGTTCTATGCGCGATCACCAAAAAATCAGCAAAATAACGGTGGCGATGACGAAGATGACAATGATGACAACAATACCGACGACAACGACAGTGCTGGTTAGTCCTTTGGTTTCATCTTATGTCTTTCATTTATACTGACTACCACTTCTAGCTAATGCAACAACCAATGCTGCCGCAGATAATCCAAAGGCAAAGGGAACTGCCAGTCTCAATGTGAACGCCGCAGCTTCAACCGGAACCGGAAAGAAAGGCAAGGCAAGCAAGGTTTGTCCTACCATATACTTATCCATATGTCTCACAATACTAACTCATCCCAGGGAAGTGCAAAGGCAACAGGTGGCGTAGCACAAGCAAGTGGTGCAGCAAAAGCAACTGGCGCAGCAAAAGCAACCGGCGCACAAGCAGCCGCCGCTACCTCTACCACAACCGCCTCAACCGCCAAGGCAGGCAAAGGGGATGCCGATCCCGCTGCAGCCGGAACTAGCACCGGCGACCAATCTCTCGCCGGTGAGATCCAGAGCGAGCTCAGCTCACTAGGTCTCCGTGGTCTTCCTATTCTTGAATCAAGAAAAAAGAACAAGAACGGTACCGCTAATGCCACTGGTACTACTGGTGGTAACAAAGCTGCTTCGACCGGTACTGGAGGCAAGAAGGGTAAAGGTGCTAAAGGGGCTGCTAAGCCTACGGGTTCTAGTGTAGCTTCGAGTGCTGCTGCGTCTGCGACCAACTAGTTTTTATTTCATTTTAAATATAGTTTGGGGTGTTTGAAATGGATTTGGGAGGGCTCGGTTGGACAATAAAAATTGGACCAGGCGGTTTGATACCAGTCAACTGGATTGATGTCCACATGTTATACTTTAGATGATATGGAGTTCTGAGCTATAGACTGAATGAAAAGCAATTTTAATTAAATATGTTCTGTTCGTTGAGTGAAAAGTTCTAGTCTTGGATCATCCATTTCTTCTCATCATATTGCACTCAATTTCTGTTCAAGTCGAGTTTGAGTTTGAGCTTGAGCTCGAGCTTGAATAGCTTCACCATGTGATAATAATGAACTTTCTACTGTTTTTTATACTCCAGTCGTGGTAGTCTTCTTACAATAGGAATTACCCTCGTGCTTTACTCCATGTATCACAATTATTACACAGTACTGAGCCAGTATAATGATACGTCACCATGATGAAAACCCATTTCTCATCTACCGCACATATTGACAAGAGTCACCAGCCACATCCCCTGGGGAATATAAAATAATCCTTTCATCCAACGATCACACTCCAAGCTCTATACGCATCGCGCTTGGGAGAAATTTTATGTGACTTTGGATATGGATTGCTAGATGCGACTTCCACACACAGTCATATCAGTGAACATCGCTCGAAATCCAGCGAGTGCAAAAGAATCGGCAGATACTATCTGATTTTATATTCCTTGTCGATGATACATATTTTTCTGCTTACTGCAGGTCAAATCCACCACTCTTAGTAGCTACTACTGCTTATCACGACTGATACCAGAAGAGTATAGCCAAAAATGCATTTAAAGAAGGGCCACAGAATATTATAAACCAAGCAGAATAAACTGTTCTAAACGGCACACCTAGCTTCCATTCTAGTGCTGATTAGAATAACTTGTTAAACCTGTTTCTGGGGAGTCATCGGGGGAACCAAATACTCATCTTCACTACTAGACTTCAAGCAATGACACCCCAGCTTTCCATCAGAGCTTTAGAGGCTGGGGGTTTCAAAACTAAATGCCTAAAGTGACTCCAGATCTCTGGACTATTGCCTTTTCGTTTTTTTCCTGTCTGCAGCAACTGAGCCGAATTAAAGCTGCGAACTAGTCTCCCGATCGTAAGTTGCTTGTATGTTTTTCTTATTTGCGTATTCAACAAGGCCTAACAAAGATTCACTCACTTCCAGTACTCAAGAAACACAAAATCCGAAAGAAGCTTACAGCTCAGACCGATGTATTTTCATTCTCTCGCTGTATAAAGTACCATCTCTACTGATTCTGACCTTGTCAACTGAATGGAAAAGGCTCCTGGTAACGATGTCCTATGGAGACTTTGGTGACTGATTGGAAGTACGATATCTTCTAGTTGTAGATCGTCTGCCTGATATGGACTCAAAAATTTGGCACTGGTGGTTTGGGGCGTGAAATTTGTTCTATTTGTTCGTATGGTTCTATTGTCGTTCAATTCACTCTTGTTGTCACCGCATTTCTTCTTGTTCCTCTAAGCTGCGATATTGAATGTCGAAAAAACATCGATAATGTTACCGGGTGAATCTCATACCTAAATAATCAACGGCAAATCCACAACGCAGTTTAAGAACCAGATTACAAAAAGAAGCTCTCTGAAACTGAGCATGTTTTTGACAACGGTCATTTTTCTTTAATTTTCAAAACTATGGGACCCTGCTGTCTTTGAAAGGTCTCTACATAGATTATTCTCAGCCTCCAAGTTCGAGCTTCTTCACCAGCATATCATCATCTCCTACTGGCCCCACGCTCTTTCTTCGTCTAGTTCCTTATTCACACTGCCACATTCACTTACTACTTCGATTCAAAGTTCGTGTTATATAAATCTTTTTACATCCTCATATACCGACAAGCAAGCATCTACCTTGATACTTTTCGACTAATGTACACTTGCAGGACAAGAAAAGCCCTGGAAACCGCTAGTCAAGAGTCATTAAAATTGCTTAAAATACGACGTGTATCGTGTGTGAGATACTTGGGAAAATACCCCGAAGTAAGTTATTACCATAGGTGTCGAATGTCTTTCGCCGGTATTGGGTATTACTGTCATCGAATGCTCAACTGAGTTGTCGTTGTCACTGAAAGATTATCGATTTCCATTTATCAAGCAGACGCTTGCCCAGCCACCTTGCTCATGGCCGCAGGTACAAGCTGTGTGAAGGATGGGTAATGCTGTGGTATGGCATATTGCTTTCAAATCGACAAAACTGCTCCTTGCTTACGTCGTACTTGTTCCTTTGTCCGCATTTTGTGCTAGAGCACTATTTAACCAAGTCTCATATATTTAAACCAAGGAATATGAAAACTTTTCATGGGATTCACTCCATTGAAGAAGATATAGACATCAGCTCTGATCATTGCCCCCTCTTTCGAGTTTTGGCTCATGCGTGGACAGTATCCACTCCTAGCCCGTGGATTTTATCAAACTCATCAGGTCCGGTTTCTCTCTAGCTTTACATAAAAGGCTCTCTGTGGTTGATTCTTCAGCGACAAAATTGCTCAAGAATCAATTTACAAGGAACTCAAGAACTAGATGAGTCTACTGCCGGTTGCGCTGTTTGTCAATTCTGGGGAAATCCTTCTCCAGACACAAAATTACTGTGGAGTTTCCCCCGAAAATAGCTTAAATACAGTGGATAAATGACGGTGATTCTCGCTCCGACAGTCAATTTCCTAGGAGATAGCTTTTATTATTTTCATTGATTGGGCAAAGTTATTTCTCTTGTAACTATAGCTACACGACAACTGCATCGAAAGTTCAGACCAAGATTATTGGAGTCACATTGAATGATGAACGAGAAGCATGCCGAGATGTGTCTCTTGTTGTACACTAAATTATGGCTTGTAAATTGAGGAGCAATGATGATATAAATACCGGGAGAACATAACTTCATCACCTCGCGACATTAAAAGTTGATCTAGAAGCCTCGTCTATTCTTGGAAAGATGTCTTCTCCGTTGATTGGTCGATCTTACACGTAGGTACTCATGCTTGCTCCATGGTTATTGACTGCATCTCGAGTCTTCGTATAGTATCTTCACGACTATCACCAACGACAGAAACCAATGGCTAAGCCTTCAACTCGGTGCAAAAGAGGGTTTTTTAGGATACCACCAGAAAATGTCCAAGGATTTATCCTATTGCTGCCTACTACTCGCAACTTACACTTGGCGGCTTCACATCACTGGAGCATGATACTTTCATCCTTGACAGGTAAATATCGTCGAACGTAAATCTTATCGTTGAATATTGTTATCACTGTCATAGAAATCGATTCTCCAAACTTTCTTCTTCCACCATACTAGTGTTAAATATCAAAAATCCAATTGCATCGACATAGACACTTTCAGATTAACTTAGGCTCCATTATAGTGCGCCTCCTTGTTGGGTGGACTAAGGCTTGCTGGTGCTTTGAGTTTGGCATTTTATGCAGTGAGAGAGACTCTTTCATAAGGAACCCATGATTCGGTAGCCCATTGTCCATCTTATCTAAGTATTGAATTCTTCGCCATGCTAAGCCTTGTGCTCACCTCTTTGTTCCCGCTGTTGTTTAACAAGGTCTCACAAATAAACTATAAAAGCCCCATTCGAGTGACCAACTCAGTTATTTCTCAAGCAAGGGAATATGGACGGCCGCCACTGCTTCACGAAGTAGTTGGTCAACTTTCCACCTATCATTGAGCATAAAGTGGGTTTATATTCACCTGCGGCTCGTCAGCAACTTTCCATCTCTTGTCATGTAGATCCGAATCAATTTATCAGATGTACTCTTCTCATTTTTTGTCGTTGTGTGAAAATATATCGGCGCTGTCACGAAAAAGCGTCAAGAAAACAAGAGTAGTGAGTTCAAGAAAATATATAGTTGCTGTTAATTTATCACAACGACATTGGGTTAGATCTTTAGAAGCCATCTTTTAATATTAGGATGAATTACCTAGTCTGGCTCATTCTCCAATATGAACCGGGGCACATATACCAATTTCTGGGAAATCGTTGCATAATGAATGGTTGTTTCTCCCCCTATTCTTTTTCCGTGGTACGCTTTTACACATATCTGTTACCCTTACTTGGAAGATCTAAAGGCTCCTTATATATCGAATAATGAAAGAAAAGTATTCAAGACACCCAACGAGACCCTGAAATTCACCATATTCAAAAAATTAGAAAACTATCAAGGTATCCAATGATTCACACATCCAAATCACTCAGCCGTTTTAAGAAAAGGCAATCAATGCACATCGCGCTTCGGCGTCCTGAATCTTGATTCCAGCTTCGGATATAGAAACTGTCAATGTAGCAATTCTATACAATTCAAAACAACAAAGAACGACGATATGAGGAGGCCCGAGGGAACATGTCGTTTTTCTTGAGATGTTAAGTACCTCCCCAGAAAGTTGGTATATAAACATTTTGAACAATGAATCCTATGAGCTAGTCCCCGCTATATACGACAAGAAAATAAGGGGAATATTTCGTTTGAGATATGAGAATGAGTGTTGACTTTATGTATGGGAATATGACAACAATACGACTAATTTGTCAATCTTGGGATAGAATAGCAATGCTATGTTATGGGAATCACGGTGGAACAATTTTATTGGAGTATACATTATAGGATAACTTGCGTTTTCGTAGTCTATTCAATATTGCTATTGGTATCTACTGCCGCTGAAAGATACTTTCATGGTCAAGTGCAACTAGATCTTATATTCGGGAACAGCCCCCTAATGTGTACCCCCAGAACCACAAATCTGGAAAATCGTGATTTTTTTCAGATTCCGGGCAAGAGTTACGTGCCATCCTCTGACTAGTCTTAGAAATTTCCTTCTCCTCGACTCGGTTGTATCTAGAATTTCAACTACACTAGATCTAGATTCTTATATAGAAGGTAGCTATGTAAAATTCTCAGCTCTTGGATCTTCGGAACCACTGCAATGAATTGTCAATCTACACAAAAATGTACACCCTCAACTTCTCTACCCTTTCCATTTTTAGTACTCATCACTCAGCCCACTCACATTACACTTCTGATACTGTATTATAGATAGTACACTTGATACCATTGCATAAATAGCAGTATCAAAGCTATTCGTCTTCTCTCATCTCAAGCACCAAACCATTAAAGGAGAAAAAGCGGGAATCAGGCCCGTCTGACTCTTAAGATAGCAAGTGGCAATGGATTGCCTTCAACGCTTGTTATTCTGAAAGCGAAGAGCTAGGTATGATCAAGAGGTTCTCGTTGCTTGGAATTTTGAGTTGTCATTTATGATCAAAACGTGCATGGGCAACAAAACTTTTCACTGCCAATACTTTCCCAAGCATTGTTATCAACAACTCATATCCCACTTCATATGTCACACCGCACCAGGGAAGATGCTGCCTTACAAAACTTCCCAGAAATAGCGTAGAATGATTTCGGTAGTAGCACTTCTTTGACAACATCCTCAAAGGACTTTGAGACAGTTCAGTATGTGTTCACGATACCGAAAAAGAATACCAGAAGTCTATTTTATGGACCCAGCCACTGAGATCTAAATAACCTACATCAGTCAAGCTGTTATTCACTTCCTTAACCACTTTTTCTTTCCACAAAACCACGATAGCGAATGTAAAAATTGTCAGATGTTCCTAGCCTTTCCAAGCGGGCGCCAAAGTAACAAGTAACTTGACGATGTCACAAGTTGAGTCATTATCTGGTAGGAGATGTAGCGACCGCCAGCTTTCTTCAAGATATTGCACACTCGCTATCAACACTGATCTTGGTGGTCTTACTGTCCTGCTCGATTATGACCCAGATTAAGTTTGATTGTCGCTTCTGCTGTAACTTCTGTCATTGCCATCTTTGTTATTGTCGATTGTCCTAGATGTAAAAGAAACTCTACCTCCTCCTCAACATTGAATCATTAATGTGGTCAAATGGAAACACAACGTACGGCTAGACACAGGGACTACCGGCCTTTTACAAGCGATTTTCACTCCCTATGAATCTTGGAATATTTATTCTACAGCCACAGTATATACCCAGCTACAGCTAGATGGTTTATCGCACAGAATTCAAGTCACAATCTGACTGTAAACGCTTGATCAGTAAGTACTGTATGATCCTCAGGTACAATTTCTGACCAAAATTTCGAGTCACCAGCATTCCTTGTCCCCATGTAGGGCATTACTTACACCTCCTTACTTCTCCTCCTTCTCTTCCCATTTACGACATTTTATAGAACTTGATTATCTTCACAACTAGATTCATTGCATCCCATCATCGAACGTAGAGACAAATAAACGCACAATTATCAATCTGGACCAAGAAGAAAAGCGCCTTGCTTTGCGGCTTCGTTCTCCCCAAAGATTGTAAGTATTGCACTTTTGATTCTCTTCCAAGCGATAACTGATGTAATTATACGCGGAGGTTTAAGGCCCACTACATCGAAACTCTATTCAACTTTCAATTATCGAAAATCCATACTTACTACTCCCAAGAAATTCCCAACGCTCAAAAGCTAATACACTACCATCATCATCAGCCACTGGCACGATGGTATCCTTTTCCAAACAAAAAGGCAGATTCGTGAGATCCAGGTACTTTTCAAGTGGGTAAGGCAGAGTTCAATAACGGAAATGCAGGACATATACTCTCGAGGGAGCAAGGTGTACCTTGAACTCCGCAGACAAAATGCCCAGCGCGCATGAAGTCAATGTAACCAAGAGACTCTTCCCCCAATAGCTAGAGTTCATGGGCTGGAGAGATAGTAAATTTTGAGCTGTGTCTCCGCGATTTTGTCGCGAAAGTTGTTTCAACGGGAAGTTGTAAACGTGTGACACGCGAGAAAGATGACACTTTGTTGTAAGTCCAGCAAAGTCGGCCTTTGTAAGTTATGAGGCGAACGAATCCATTGATTTACAGACGCGTCTTTGGGATCAGGATCGGCCTGGATTTTGATTTCCTAGGCTCCTTATTATGGAACTGCGGGTAGACAGTGGTATGATACCGATTGTGTCGTCGGATTCATTGTCACTGAAAGAAATTCGGTCGCGAAGTGGTACCTTTGCTTGGAATCAAAGAACTTAGCATTCAAGTGGCTCACTAACCAGATGCTCAAGGCATTTGGTAGTATCAGTATGCTTACTATCATTGATATGGCGTTTAAACCAGTGGTCGATGAGTGTTGCCGGAAAGGTCGTGCGCGGGAGCATAAGTAATGGCGCAAAGCGATTCGAAACTCTATGCAGCATGCTTTGTGAAATTTTGGTTTAGACTAGCAAATCTTAAAGAGATCTTCCTAAGAATACAAACCCGTTGATGCTCGACATTTCATGCGAACTCCAAACAATGAACGATGAATAGGCGTTATAGCACTGGAGTCAATCAAAAATACAATGGCACGGAAGTCCGATGTCCATGTCTTTGCCCATGGGAGGACACAAAATCACGAGCTGCTAGAAAATCAGACTGTTAATGTGGGTAATCATTCATACAGTTTACCGATATCTACCTTGATGTCCATGTGACAGCAATGCGAGAATTGATGATGAAATCTAAAGGTCTTGCGACATCTGCGGAGCTACACAGCTTTTTTTGTCAAACTCAAGATCAACCTGCAATGATCCAGAGAACTCCAGAGGCGGCAAGAGAAAGGTCCTGAAATTACTACCTAGAAAGACTAGACAACATGGAGGTAGGTGTACGCTGAATCATAGCAACATTGAAGACTGTACTTTAAGTAGTTCTGCGTCGCAGAAAGACTGAGAGAATTGAGCGAAATATGCATTGAAGTGTGCGATACATCCACCGAAATGCAGCAGTTGCACATTCGGTATTATATCCAGCAACACTGTTGAGATAGTGTCTGGCTTCAAAGGCAAGACATACCAACAGAGAAGTAAGCATGATTTGAAGGCTGAAGCTAAGACCATGGACAGTCGTTCCCGAGAACCATCACCATATCACAGTCTGTGAAGGTGATTATCTCGGCGCGCCGAGAAGTACTAAGGATTTCTCCCACAGATAAATTTCCAGATCAGTTCCAGAAATGTCCTCCCAAAAACAATCTCAGATCAACAACCTTGAACGAACCCAATTGGACTCTTTTCACAACCATTCCTTACAAATACCTCTCATCACATTATTTCAAAGAAGTCATATACAAAACCATCATGAGCGCTCCAAATGAAATTGTTTGGTTGGGCAAACTCTTTTTGTTCAGATTGAACAACAAAGTCGTCGACACCTATGAATCTTGCAAGAAGAAGATTTTGGACAAGGTCAATAACAAGAAAGTTAAGAAGGTTGAAGTTGTTGAAGAGGTTGAGGTTCAGCAGCCTACCAGAATCATTCATGTAAGAATGCAGATTACTAAGACAACCTGTCCAATTTGTGGAGATCGTTTTGAAGTTGTGGCTCAATTTCGGGAGAGACTTCAAGCAACCGGCGGAGCGGAAAATTAGCGTCTTGGCTAAATATTACCGACCATCCCTCACAACCTCATCATCACCACCATCGCATCAACAACTCCACCAGCACTCTCTCTTTTTCTCGCAAATCGTCACATCGCAATCCGTTTTTCCAATTATCGCGAGTCTTTCCAAAATGTCTTTTACACGCGCCATTCCTCGCGCTACCAGCACCATCGTCCGCACACAATCAGCAGTTCTCAACCAAGCACGAAATTTGTCCATCACCGCAGCCCGAAAATCAGCAGATCATGGTGACCACTATGAGCCACCGAGCGGATGGTTATTTGGAGTGAAACCTGGAGAGAAGGCGGAGAAGGAGGGATGGGAGAATTTATGGGTGTACGGGTTTTTTGGAACTTGTGCTTTTGGAATTGTGGGTTATGCAGTTAAGCCAGATACCTCGTAGGTCTTTTATTTCTTTATTTTTGTGGGATCTTGGTACAGGTGAAACTTTGAAGGTGAAGTGGTTGGCTCCGGGGAAAAAATCGGTATGGGCTGAAAGATTAGGGATTTTAAGAAGAGGGGTGGAGGGGTTGTGGCAAGAATGGAGCAAGAGAAATTTGGACAACGGGTTTCTACTGATACAGAATCACGCACAAGGTACAAACAGCTGCTAACCATCATTCGCAGGATACAAACATGGGCATTAGAAGAAGCACGCAGAAGGCTAGAAGCCGAGGGGATCTTGAAGGAGCCAGAAGACAAATCATAAACCATTATACTATTGGGCAAGCAATTCACAATGGAGAATCTGGAACTGGATGGAACGCTCAAGGACGAAGGCTGATGGAGCAGGGGAGTTGTACATACGAAGGATTGATGATGGAAGGCTATGAACATCTTGCGCAGAATTCCAAGATGTACGGGTTGCACGGAATATTATGCGTGCTAATAGAACGAAGGAATGTTATTGAGTTTCTTTTCTTTTCTTTCTTAAGGAACTTGGTACCAGCATGAGCTTACTGTGAATTTTGTTCGGTATGTGGTGAATAAAAAGTGAAAATTCTGGAACTCGATGAAAGACCCGCGTACCGCTCTTGAGAGCAGGATTGTTATCTAGTCATCATTGGATCTGATGATTCTTCAACTTCGATCATGTGTCCGTTCATCTGTTCAAACTCCGGCAAAAGATGGTATTTCACAATGGGAATTTGAAAGTTCAAAGTATGACTAATATATATCCCATTTTTCGCTTTTCCATCCATCCGACTCTATGAATACATACACATATATAGCTCGTTAATTAGGTACAACATAACTCCACTCATGCTCTTCATCACCATATTGTCTAGCCTCGATCCATTCCTTCATCTTCAATGCGATCTCACCAGCTTCTTGATCTGGTCTCAATCCACACTCGACCAAATTGCCCTTCCATGAGATGTTTCTCACTGGACTGACGACTGCTGCGGTTCCTGCTCCGAACGCCTCTAATAATCTACCTTCTTTTGATGCATCTGCTAACTCACTCATAGTGTATTTACGTTCAGAAATGATCCATCCATCCTTAGTCAGCTTCTCGCGAGCTAAAGATAGAACAGAGTCTCTTGTGACACCTTCCAAAATTGTACCGTCTAATGGAGCGGTAACCAATTCCTTTTGGCCTTCCTTATTCTTAATAGCCACAAACATGTTCATGGTTCCAACCTCGGTAACATACTCCTCCTCGCCGAATAACCATAAGTTTTGGTGGAACCCTCTCTTGGCGGCCTCTAATTGTGGCAAGATACACGGAGCATAGTTCGCACCCAATTTCTTGTCTCCAACTCCTCCAGGCCATGCTCTTACGGCATAATCTGTAGCTTCCAAGGATACAGCCTTGAATCCAGTAGGGTAATATGGCCCAACTGGAGAAGCAATAACATATAGTAAAGCGGAACCTGGTGGTCCAACACCCAATGTTCTTTGTGTTCCAATCATAGTCGGTCTCAGATATAATGAATATCCTCTTTCTTCTGGAATGAATCTTTTCTCCATAGCAACGAATTTTGAGATCAATTCAATCATAGCGGATTGATCAAAAGTCGGCAGAGCAATACGAGCGGAAGATTTGTTCATTCGTTCCATATTCTTGGTAGGTCTGAAGAGCCGTACCTTTCCGCTTTTATCCTTGTATGCCTTCATTCCTTCGAAACACTCAAACGCATAGTGGAAAACGCAAGACGCGGGATCGAGGGAAAGGTTCTGGTAAGGTGTTATGCGTGCGGGTAACCATCCATCTGAAGCTGTCCATTCAATGCTAAGCATATGATCTATGGGCGGTCAGCAATTAGCAATGTTGTGAGATCTCCGAGGAGCTTGCCTGTAAACGATCTTCCAAATACCAATTCAGTGGGGGGAAGTAGTTCACTAGGAGTAGTGTTCTTCGTTATAGTCAATTTGGTAGGGTCGATATCTTGTAGCTTCGTCGTAGAAGCAGCTTCTGCTTGTACGCTGTATAATCTCGAAGAAGCCTCCCATCGCCTCAACACTCTGGAGCTTGGCTTTGCGAAAGCTGCCCCTCTTGGGAACAATTGACGGAGCATTTTGACCAATTTCGAAGAATAAAAAGTTGGGATGAACTTTGAAATGTGAATTGGGAAACTTGAGCTTCTTAAATGTGTAAGATCCCACCTATGCTTTGAAATGGTCCTCGGAGTCAGTCATTCAACTCTCAATGTCCAAAATAAATTTAAATGTTGTGACCACTTCCCGGCTCCGAATTGCGGAGTGTCAGCATAATCTTGTCCCATCCGATTGCAAGGATTAAGAAGATAACATTCAAATCTTATGCAGACTTATGTAAGCAGTATGTCCCTGAAATCACAAGCTTAACACTAGATGTGAGAGGTCAAATTCCAGAGTAGACGTCCCTTTATTATTTTGACAAGGCTTACGGTTTTTGTACACCTAGAGGGAGAGAACAATTGCGAAACCACAACAAAATCATTCCACCGCCTATGGAAAGTCTAGGGGGAAATCAACAACAATCACTAACGAGATCATACCAGTCTAGATAAGCTTCCTTACAATATAATTATCAAGGGTTTAAGGTTTATGCGCCAGAAGTTCGGACAATCCTTTGATACTCTAGTGTTGGTGGGAGGAGAGTTGCGAAGATGTTCAGTTCCGCGTTGAAATCCTTCACTTCGAATATCAACTCGAACTACTCTGTCTCGTCTACGCCCAGTTCATACTCGGGACCATGGAAAATATACGATGCGAAGAAGAAATCGACAGGAAAGACTGCTTCAGTCTTTGTCCTCGATCGCAAAGCCTTAGACGCACATGCAGGATCCTTGGGACGATCGAGTGCTACCTCGATGAAGCGTGCGACTGAGGAGGTAATTGAAAGATTAAAGAAAGAAGCTTCGTCTTTGGCAAGGCTGCGGCATCCTAGTATTCTGGAACTGGTAGAGCCGGTGGAAGAATTGAGGGGTGGAGGACTGCAATTTGCGACAGAAACCGTAACGGCTTCGTTATCTGGCCTACTACAGGAAAAAGATGAACAAGAAAGAGCTGGTGGAATTGGCGGACGCTCAAGTCGATATGTCACCGAGGATTCGGAAGGTGGCAGAAGGAGGAAAGAAGTTGAGATAGACGAATTGGAAATACAAAAGGGTCTTTTGCAGATTAGCAAAGCATTGGAGTTTTTACACGATAATGCTGGCCTCGTACATGGGAACCTGACTCCTGATGCTGTGTTTGTGAATGCTAAGGTGAGTTTCTTAAGCATGTTTATATTTACTGCGACTAATTATTGTAGTCTGATTGGAAACTTAGTGGACTTAGCTTTTGCAGTCCGCCAGACAATTCGACTAAAGCATCTTCAGTGCAACCCATTAACCTCTCCGAGGTTCTGAATATCGATCCTCGACTACCCCGTTCTGTCCAGATCAACCTTGACTACTGTTCCCCAGATTTTGTCCTAGACTCGAATCTAAATGTTTCAGCAGATATGTTCTCACTAGGTCTTCTCATCGTCGCTCTCTATAATTCGCCTCACACATCACCACTGGAGTCTAACAATAGCGTATCTGGTTACAAAAGACTATTTACCTCATCTTCCACCATCCCCTCATCTAGCAATACCTTCTTATGTAAAAAGCCATTGCCGAGAGATATGACTGGCGAGGTACTACCGCGATTGATTACTAGACGTCCAGCGCAACGTATGACCGCGAAAGAGTTCCAGGACAGCGCTTATTTTAATAACATTCTGATATCTACAATTCGGTTCTTGGACTCTCTACCTGCTAAAACTCCTAATGAGAAGGCCCAGTTCATGCGCGGTCTATCCAGGGTGCTGCCATCATTCCCAAAGAGTGTCATGGAAAAGAAGGTTTTGCCGGCTTTGTTAGAAGAAATGAAGGACCGAGAGCTGATATCATTGATTTTACAAAATATTTTCAAGATAATCGAATTGTTACCCTCCGGAAGAAGGCCCTTTACCGAAAAGATCATGCCTAGGCTTAAAGAGATATTTCTGAACAACCCCAAACCTCCTGCCGAGCGTGATGCTGCGAAGGAAGCTGGGCTGATGGTATTGTTGGAGCACATTCAAGTAATATCTGTCAATTGTTCGGGTAAAGAGTTTAAAGATGGTAAGATGTTCGCCAAAGACCAGATGTATTGTGCTAATTGCCATAGATATCTTGCCCATTGTAGCGATATCGATAGATTCGCCAACGCATGCACTTGTAGACGCTGCTTTGCGAAGCTTGAATGTAGTTCTTCCTATCCTTGATTTTTCTACTATCAAGAATGAATTATTCCCAGTCATCTCTTCGGTGTTCACAAAGACCAGTAGTCTAGGAATAAAGGTCCGAGGGCTAGAGGCTTTTGTTGTTCTTTGTGGTGGCTCAAATGATCCAGCTTCTGGCAATGATGGTCTCGATGGCATTGGGGGCGCTAAGAAAAACACATCCACCCCCCTCGACAAATATACCATGCAGGAGAAGATAGTACCTTTAATTAGGGCAATCAAGACGAAGGAACCTGCTGTTGCAGTCGCTGCTCTAAACGTTCTGAGACAGATAGGTAATATAGCTGACGCAGAATTCGTTGCTATGGATATTCTCCCGATATTATGGAATATGAGTTTGGGGCCACTCCTGAATTTACAGCAATTCCAATCTTTCATGGAACTCATCAAAAGCTTATCCGTTCGAGTGGAATCTGAGCAAACAAAGAAGTTGCAAGAGCTATCCGGTACTAACGGTGCAGGTGTAAGGGCAAATGGTACCGATGATTTTATGTCGTTTGGCGCCGCCTCAGCCTTCCCATCCGCCGTGGGATCAGATGATCCTGAAATGGATTTCGAACGACTTGTTAAGGGTGGAACTGGTGCACCTTCATCAAACAACGCCTTAGATTCCAGCTGGGATGCCAATCCCACAAGCCCCCATGCACAACAACCACAGTCGGCGCAACCAAAACCATCTTTTGCATGGTCTACTCCATCACCAACAGCGCCTACGTACCCTTCCAACTCAATTAATAATGTCCTTCGACCACAACAAGCGACGTCACGAACAGTCACTCCAGACCTCTCAAGCTTTGGTGCCCTAACACCATCAGCTACCCAATTCTCACAGCCGCTTCAGCCGCAACCTTCATTTTCTCAACCCCAACCCTCCTTCTCACAACCCCAATCCGCGTTTCCTCCACCCAAACCTTCAACCTCGACTTTGAATTGGAACAGTGCAACTGCATCCTCAACTCCCAACCCATGGGGCTCTACGCCTACAACTTCGACCCTATCACCCATCTCACCACCTCCTTTGAACTCTTTCTCTTCAATGAGCAACTCAATGTCTTCACTTTCTATGAATCAAATGAACCAAGCTAGACCCGCCTTGAGCAGTTCGCAGAGCGCCTCGAGTGCGTTCTCAGGATTTTCATTACCTCCACCACCCAGTGCGGGGACTGGGGGCGCAGGGAACTACAGTTCCTTTGGGGGTACTAGTGGAAATGGGCTGGGAAGTGGCGGAATGGGCATGGGTATGGGAATGGGACAGCAAAGGCCGGTTGTGCAGCAGCAGCAGCAACCACAGAAGAAGAGCGGCTTGGATGCATACGAGAGTTTATTGTGAGGTGGTGCGACTTCATATCGGATATGAGGTTAGAACTGGAAAGTATGGAGGCATAGATCAAACAGGGATCTGGAATCAGCAGACATACACGGTGGGCACAGGATGCGACGTTCAATTGATGGATTGAATGAAAATGGTTGATGGGAAGTTTGGAAGCGCCTCAAAATTGGGTGGTGATGGAGTTATGAGTGTAATAGTAAATATATACCTAGCGGGCAGGAAAATGGATAGATATCGAGCGAGCATGAAGTTGTTTCGGCGAGTTGTAGTCAAATATCTAATCTTTCTGAGTAATGTGAATTTTCGTGATAAGTATTTCGTTTACATCGAATGATATCTCTTGAATCTTAAATTCTTTGTAATGCCCTCTAAATCTTTCCTGTGCTTCTATTCAAATGATATAGATACCTATACAAGGGTAAAATGGCCCACTCATTTTTTTCATTCTCCGTCCCACCTTCACAACCGGGCGAACGGATCTATAGTCCCTTCTCTGCGCGCATCTTTCTGAAGAAATCTGTTACTCCGGTGAACACGACAAGTAAAATACCTCCACCAGGTCCTAATCTGAGGACCTTTGGTAAGAATCCCTTGTATAATGCCGCGAAACCTTCCTCCTTCATCACCGTACCGAGAGCTGGCCATGCCCAGTTGTATTTTGGTGCTAATCCGGCAACCTTGGGACTATTTTGAATACGCGATTTGACGACATCCATTGGTGTGTTGAGAATTGTACCGGTGGTACCACCGATTGCTCCGGAAATCATGTTGACCATCATTTCTTGCTTCTTGTTCTCGGGCTTGGGCATTAATGCCTTGACTTGGAAGATACATCCAAAGTATCCGGCGTTCCATAAGATATGTCTCCACATTGTACTTTCCAGTCCGTTGTAGAGAGCCAATGGACCCTCGGCCTTTACAATCTTGCTAACGCAATCAACCATTCCGCTGTATTTTCCGGCAGAGGCGCGATCTTGCAGACGGATCTTGACGAGTTCGAAGGGGACGACTACGAAGGATTCAGTAGCTCCAGCGGTAGCTCCAGTGAGAATGGAGAGAGATTGGTTCATTTTGGCGACACCGAATATATCACGGTAAAACTTTCCCCAGGATTCGTTGGCTGCAAATTTAGTGGCACGTTTAGGAGCTTCCATTAGAATTGGGGCTTCGATTCCGCGGTATAGTCGTGAGACACTTTGAATGAGATATCAGTACCTATCTTGAGATTAATGGGGTAGTATTATTGGGGATTTTATACCCTTCATTCTTAATGATCTTTCTGAAGCAATCCACCATGCCATTGTAGCCATCTGGCCCTGCGGAGCTGGTTTGCAACTGTCTATCCTTCCATCAACATTCTGTCTGACATCTGCTCAATGTACTGGCGCAGAGGGACTCAATACTTACACTCTAGTCTTTACGACATCTAACGGGTACCTGCATGAGTCAGTAAGATGCGGTAGCAAATGCTTGTCTTCTGTTGAGGGGCACTTACATAATAAGAATCTATCGCAATGGCACATAATTTAGTTCCGTGGTTCTGTAAGTTTCGTACGATATGCAACAGAAAGAACTTACTTCAGATACACCGGCGATCGCACCTATATTGTCTCTGTAAGTCTCAATTTCATGATATGGGGTGAGGGGTAAAACGTACCAGCAGCGAACTGGTAAACGAAGGGAAGAGGCTTTTCGGTCGACATGATTGCGATTGGGGCTATAAAATGGTTAGAGATGGATATAATGTCCTTTGTAGAGGGTTGTATTGAATATGATGAGTTATCGGTACAACATACCTTAATCTAATCACCTATTATCTGAGCTGAGCTGTCGCTGTTGAGAAATTATTTTGATCTCGTGTAATCTGTGCGATGACAATCTTATCAACCCCAGGGGTTCTAAGCTCTTCCGCTACTTCTCCACCTTTAGCCGATAGTCGGAGGGTCAGAGATAAAATCACCGAATACTGTAAAGACAGGGGTAGAATGATAAGATGGTTCAAAACACGCGCTAAGACTAGGAATATACACATAAAAATGGAAAGCGCGTCTCTAAGTCGCGAAGTCGCGTATTCTACTCCACAAAGTGCAAGAACTATCAATCAATCTACATCCCAGCTACATTTAACACTTTACATATTGCTTTATGATTCAGATTGCTTTTGATATTGCTATATTTCCATAACATAACATCATCTTTCATGTACTTTACCAATTCATATTTTGTGAAAATATAATGCCTCTTCAAAAGTCCTTCTCTGAGACTAATCATTCAGGAAAAGAGAATCACGTACGTATACATTCTAATTACTGTGAAATTACACTACAAACAAATGTTCATCATATAAACTAATTTGGAAACTAATTGAATCACAGTCTCGACAGCCATGGCAGAGGAATAAGAATTACCAGAACCAACAACAAAAGCCTAACGTTCCCGCGAAACCATTAGCAGAGAAACCGCCGGTACCCGTTTCTACAACTACGAAGAATATACTTAGCAACTTTCAATATCGAGAACAACCTGGGAAAGGAGATGATTCGAAAGAAGTTATAAACTTAGTATCATCGGAGACAGATAGTAGAATTGCCACGCCTTCAAAGAGGCGGCGGCAAGGCTCATCAAAAGATGAGAAGAGTTTTGTGGAAGAAGATGTCTTTCTTGACGACTCCAATTCGGCAGATGTACCTTTAACGCCATCAATGGGGTTTGATCCCACACAGAATGCCGATTTCAGACGACCATTTAAAGCAGTATCACCTGACGATCGTATAATTTGGGATACAAATAAGGATAGTCAACAGCTACCCGAGCCAGAGAGCGGCAAATTGGGGAAGAGGAAGAGGGGCGATAATGACATTGGCAGAGCACAGAGTTCTTCACCTATACTAGGTCATTCTTCGCAAGCAGATTCTTTTCCTAGGCCGGGGCCGGAAGTCGAAGTATGGATGAAATTGGGTCAGACTAAGGACATTAAACTCTCGCGAATTATGGAAAACGCATCTCCGCAATCATCGAGGGAAGGAAACACACCTAGAGGATTGATCAGATCAAGAAGTCTTGGCAATCCATTGAAACCCAAGAGACACCAACCAACCAGGATAGGAAATAGTAGAAATATCGATACGCCGGGTTTGATGAGGAGATTGCAGGAAGATTACAAGCCCAATGAGATTTCTAGTGGTCCTTCGAGCTCATCACCTCTTCCTGATAAAGGTCAATTTCAATTTGAAGGACCTAGTTCTCCATTATGCACAAAAGGAACTAAGAAGAGGACATCGCCCTTAAAAAGGAGACTCGAGTCGCCCTCTTCACCAAGTACGAATGTCGAATCTAATGTTGCTTTACCGAGTCCAAAAAGACCTTCCACTGCCGATTCAGATTATGGTTCCGATGATGGTCTAGACGAAATTGGTGGAATGATACTTTCGGCTATCGAATCACAATCGCAAGCTCCTGCAGCTTCAATGTCACGACCAACGTCACGACCACGACCACTACCACTCAAAACATATGAATCGCCAATTAAGCCCAGAGCTCACTCTACGAATAAACCTCAGATTATGTCCAAAAGCCCTGATCCGTCGAAAGCATTGGAGGACGATAGTAGCGACGAATTTGGTGAAGGTTTGGACGATGATGACTTCGATGCCGCATTTGCAGGATCAGCTCCGGTCGATGATGTGGAGCTTCCGCCGTCAAGGCCGAGAGGTGCAGCAGCTAAAAAGGAGGAGTCCGATGATGAATATGGCGACGATATAGACGATTCAGATTTTGCGGCTGCAGAGATAGCAGCAACGCAGTCACTAAAACAATCAACAAATAGCTTAATGCCTGTACGTCCGAGAAATCCATAGCAATATATTTTTAATTCAATGCTAAGAAATGTCTAGTCTATGGAAAAAGTTCGCGCAATTCAAAGATATCTTGTCACCATGATAGATGATAATCAGTATGAAGGTGTTAATGGTAGAATGCAACCAGAAAAGGTAAACTCTTATGAACTCTTGTCATGATTTAGCTAACCACCCACAAGATACTCTATCTTCAACCTGAACGCTCAAAAATCAAAAGAATGGTGTATCTAAGAGGCACCTGGATTGATACTCCTGTGACTACAAAAGCTTTTGTTCATGTCATTGGCAAGTTTGATACACAGGGAATTTGTGTCATAGATGATAACTCTGGCTTGATCATTCTTCACCCGGATCATCTTATCTCTGCGCTTGTAGTAGCGGATTCCTTTGGGTGTACTCGTCGTGCAGTTCTTCAAGATAGAGTCAAAGCTACTGGTGAAGCATCTCCAGCTATGCTTTATGGAACAATTCTTCACGAGATATTTCAAGCTGCAATGCTTGTCAATCGCTGGGATAGAATGTTTCTTGGCGAGCTTATTGATAAGCTTGCTCAAAGACATCTTGAAGACTTGTATGTTATCAAAGTTGAAATACCCCAGGCTGTAGAATATCTGCATAGTAAAATGGGAGAATTACAAGCATGGGCAGAATTGTTTGTGTCGTCCCAACCAAAGGTATGTGAAGCAATCCATTTTTCGTACTGAATACTAACCTGGTTGATCAGCCTGGAGCTCTAGTAAAAGCTGGAAATGGTGATGCTGTGGCTATGTGTGTCAGTAATCTTCTCGATGTTGAGGAGCATGTTTGGTCTCCAATGTATGGTCTCAAAGGTAACATTGATGCTACGGTACAAATCACAATGAGAGACGAAAAAGGGCAAAGAACTCTCACTGCACCCTTTGAGGTCAAGACCGGCAAGAATCCCAGTGTTGCCAACCGTGCTCAAACAGCACTTTACAATCTTCTCATATCTGATCGATATGATGTTGAGATTGCTTATGGAATTTTGTACTACATGGAAACTTCGGAGACCATTAGAATTCCTGCCATTCGTCATGAACTTCGCCACATGATCATGCAGCGGAATGAGCTCGCGTGTTTTGTCCGTGAGAAAAATGCTCAACTCCCACCCATGCTCAAAAAAGATAACATGTGTGGAAGATGTTATGCGAAGAATACATGTTTCATCTATCATAAGCTGGCTGATGATGGAACTGGAGAGACAAGCGGTATGAAGGAGAAGTTTGATGAAGTGGTAAAGCATCTTACTCCAAGGCACAAAGAATTCTTCCTCAAATGGGATGATCTTCTTACAAAAGAAGAGAAAGACTCCTTGAAATTTCGTCGAGAACTATGGACTATGTTGAGCCCCGAGCGAGAGAAGCTTGGTCGATGTTTTTCAAACGTTATAATTGAGGAAGGTTCAGCATATGAAGATCAGAATAATGAGAAGATCAATCGATATCGATACACCATGATCAAACCAAAACATACCGCAGCTCCAGGGTTCTCCTTCATGGACTCTCAGATTATAGTAGGAGAACCAATTGTTATCTCAGATGAAAAGGGCCATTTTGCTCTCGCCAAAGGTTATGTTACGAACGTGCGCAAAAACAGGATCACAGTCGCTGTTGATCGACGTTTACACAATGCTCGCATCAGACAGCCCGGATTCGATGAGGTTAATAACCAGGTCTTTGCTAGTATCATGGAAGTCGCCGCAGAAGGATCCACGCAAGCTGACTCTATTGGCAAAATTAAAGAGGATCCTATCCTGTATAGGCTCGATAAAGATGAATTCAGTAATGGTCTTGCTACCGTTCGGAACAATCTCATCCAGATCATGACCGAAGGTCCATTTGGATCACGCGAAATTCGAAGTCTAGTCGTTGATCTCAATCCTCCTCGGTTCAAACCGCATTCCACTCAGTACACACTCAAAGATCGATCTTGTATCAATGTGGATCAACGCCGTGCTATCGAAAAAGTCATGTCCGCACAGGATTATGCTTTAGTACTTGGTATGCCTGGTACTGGAAAGACTACAACCATTGCTCATATTATCCGAGCTCTTGTTTCGCAAGGGAAATCCGTTCTCCTCACTTCTTATACTCATACAGCTGTAGACAATATTCTTCTGAAACTTCGCGATGACTCAATCCCGATCCTACGTCTAGGCACTAAAGCTAAGATCCACCCTGACGTTCAAGAATTTGCCAAACTCGCTGTCGATCCTAAAGAGACCATGGAAGAAATTCGAAGTGTTTGGCATGATACACCAATTATTGCCACTAGCTGCCTCGGTATCAACCATCCCATCTTCAACGAACGTACATTCGACTACTGCATAGTAGATGAAGCTTCTCAAATTACACTACCCGTCTGTGTTGGTCCAATTCGCCTCGCTCGCACATTCATCCTTGTCGGAGACCATAACCAACTTCCCCCCTTGGTTAAAGACGAAGAAGCCCGCAAAGGAGGTCTAGATATCTCTCTCTTCAAATATCTCTCCGACGCCCATCCTCAAAGCGTCGTCTACCTCGAACATCAATACCGCATGAATGCCGACGTAATGGCTCTCTCCAATACACTCATTTACAATGGCCGTCTTAAATGCGGTAGCACTTCTGTCGCTAATCGTAAGATAGTTATTCCCGATATGGACGCTTTGAAAGTAAATCATCACACACCCAGTAGTATCTTACACAGTACACAAAAATTCATTTGTCTCGAACCGAAGAAGGGAAGATGCTGGTTACGAGATCTCTTAGACCCGGATGTTACTGTAGCATTTGTAGATACTGATGGCCTCGGCGATATGGCACGAGAAAGTGAAAAAGGGAATCGAACGGTAAATGATGTGGAAGCTAGAATCGTAACACAACTTGTTACTTCTCTCATAGCGGTCGGTATCGATCCTACGGAAATAGGAGTCATGACACATTACCGCTCCCAGCTAGCTTTACTTAAAGATAGTCTCCGTACTGCTAAAGGTGTAGAGATGCATACTGCAGATAGGTTTCAAGGGAGAGACAAGGAGGTTATCGTTTTAAGCCTGGTGAGAAGTAACGAAGCGGGAAGCATTGGGGAGTTGTTGAAAGATTGGAGGAGGATTAACGTGGCGTTCACGAGGGCGAAGACGAAGTTGTTAGTTGTGGGGAGTAGAGGGACGTTGAAAGGGAAGGGAGAGAAGGATGGAGGAGATAGGAAGGAAGAAATGGTGAGCAGATTTGTAAGGCTGATGGAGGAGAAGAAGTGGGTTTATGAGTTGAAGGAAGAGCAGTTGATGGGACATTGGTGGGAGGTGTCGGGGACTGCGACGCAAGGAAGTGTAGGATTATCGCAGTGGGTCAAAGTCGAGAGTAATATCGGGAAGAGGAAGAACACTGATGTGATGGATATCGAGGGAGACGAAGATGGAGACAAGGAGAATGTGCGAACGAGCGTGATACCCACCAAGAAAGAGCCGATGGCTGTGAAGAGCAGCAAAGGAAAACACCAGCCTAAAAGGATTAAAGGAGGATTAGCTATGAATGATGGGAATATAAGGCAAGGAAGCGTTTTGATGGATTTGGTTAACGATATGTCATGATCCATTGGAATTGGGAATAGGAAATTGTAGGATCATTATGATTAGGTGTTCTAGGATGGGGATGGTCTTATGGTTCATGTTTTCGTCTTGAGAGCATAGCGTTAAAGTGGGAAATAAGTTTTAGTATACCTTTTGTATGGATAGGGATGATGTTTTTAGGGAATAGGTTATTGCGCAGGAAACGGTATGGTGGTGCTTGGGTATATTCACAGGGTAGAAGAGAGAACGGACTTGATTTCCCTCATAGCATGTACGAGATGGCGTTTGCATTGTTTGGTCAATATGATACCTATTTCCATTTGCAGATGTAATTGAAGGGAAAGATACCTAGTTTTGAGTGATTAATGTGGAAATCATGTATGAACATCTAGGAGCCAAAACTTCAAGATTGCCAGTCGTGAGCAATCTACGATGTTTCGCTGCTTGTTACTTCTCTGGATATAGGCACTGGGTCAGCAAATGTGATTTGTGAAGTGTGTGAGAGAAGAGCCAATATAGAAATCATGTATGACCATCTGGGATTTCAAACTCCAATATTACGAGTATTGAGCAATCCACAATCCCTCCATTGTGCATTGATTTTCTAAATTTAGGTATTGGGTCTGTAAAAACGATATGTGAAGTGCGAGGAAAACCGAACCTTGAGTATATAGCGCTTGTCTTGTCTTGAGTTGGTGTTGGCGTTGATGTTGGTTGTTAATGTGTTAGTGACTGGAAGGGAAGAAATTGTACTTGGATGTCTGGTACGTATCATGTCTATGCCCTCTCAATTTTCTGGATTACTTTGGATAGTAGGTCTTTGATGGTAGATTGGGTGTTTGGATTTACTGCAGAGGGTAGGTGACACTTCGGTGAGTCGAGTGGAAGCTGTTTGTTTGTTCTTATTTATCTTGGATAACTAGGGGAAGAAATTTTTGATCCTCTCTTCTTGCTTTAATGAATGTACTTCACAAGATGCACGCAGAAGTTTGTTGTTGCGGGGGTGCTAATCGTAATCCAACATCGTGTTGCAAGAAGAGACAAATAGGAATTATGAATTATGTGAAGCACATTCATTCAGTTCACATGAATCGATGATATTTCAAGATACAAATCCTACGTAAGTTATAACTCCATCTAGGAGAGAATGAAATTTGCATTTTGCAATATCTCTATTCTCCAAGTTTCTCCAGAGGTAGACCACAAGAAGAAGACTGCACGGCCTACTATCTCCCTACAAGCGAACCCCTTTTCTCTTTCTCTCTCAACGCCCTTGGACATCTTCATGCCACCCCACCAGGACCAAGAACAAGAACAAGAACAAGAACAAGAACAAAAAGAAACAATCGCTATCCAATCCTCAACTCCAACTCCAAATCCAAAATCGAAACCATCCTCTAAAATTATACTTCAAGCCCCAACCATCCTCCCTCCCCTCCTTCCTAACTTCTCACTACCAAAACAAACTCAAGCATCCCATCCCCTACATCCAATATACACAAGCCGGGCGCGAACAGACGTGATACTCATTGCTACTGCGAGACCGAGTTCTGCTTCTCCTTCTCCGTCGCTATATGTGTCGGCATCTTCCTCGCCGTTGATCGCAGTATTCGTTTTGGGCTTGAGCTGAGAGGAGGTGCGGAGGGATGCAGTATTGGATGTGGTGGTGAATGTAGATGTTGATGTTGATGTCGATCTGGGTGTCATCTCTAGATTCGTTGTTGTTTCCGGTATCGTGGGATTCTCAAATCCTAATTCAACGATTCCATTCCACGTGTTAATTTTTCATCTCTCATTTTTGTCAAATTTAAGAATTGAAAGGAGGTATCGAAAAGCTTCTCGAAACCCCAGGAGAAAGAAAAATACATACCACCCGCTCTCAAACTATGTCGCCTCACCCTCTCAATTCCCCAATTCACTACTCTCGGAAGCACAATTGAATCTCATCTCCGCGGTAGAAGACGTCGCAGTACCCCGGTTGATGTCTTGGACGCCGCAGGAAGAGGTTTTTTTTCTAGTGAGGAAATTTCGGTGAGGTGTTGAGGAAGATGACTGGTAGAGCGAGTGGTGCGATGGCTTTTTCTTTGGGGGGGGGGGTTAGTTGTTGTGTTGGATTTGGATTTGTAGTTGATAATTGTAGGAAAAAGGATAAAGGGTAGAACTCACGACCTCCTGAGACCCATGGGAGATGTCAATAGTCTGGAAGACATTTTTTGATAGTGGGTGCTTGTGCACTATATGTCTCGAGTTTGTTAATCTTGGGGGTTGAAAGTCGAGAATAATTGAAAGGGAAAGTAGAAAATAATTGAATATTCCGGCAGGATAGAGATTGATTGGCGAAGGGAGAAAAAATTTCATTTTCTTTCGTGTGTGTGAAGGGCGAGTAGTGAATTGTGAAAAGAAATTTGTAGCTGAAATTGTGGGAAGAAAGCAATATTGCATGAATAGAATTGTATTGGTAACATCTTGAGAGAGATTGTGAGTATATCCCCTTCTCTACTGAGTTATTAGAGTAAACAGTAGCAATGACTTTTGTTCAAAACGCGTTCCCCATTCTGGAAGTTCCGATTTCTCTGCATCAAACTAATAGATGAAGGTAAATGATCATCAACTCATTGCGCTGCCAAAAGTCTAATCGATCGAAAAGGCGACCAGCCAAGACAACTAGACCTTCGGAATCCAAAGTACCCAAATGTAAGAAAAGAAAATCCACCAAAATCACACAAACAATACGTATAAAGCAAAAGCAAGAGAACCACCTAGTAGATAGAATATAATATAATTTTACTCGAGATAGCATCCGGATCTCCAACCTCCAACCCCCCACAGCACCCACCCCTAATAAACAACCGCACTAACCACCTTCCCCCTACACTCACCAAAGCCCACCTTCTCCCCCTCCTCCACCCCACAAGTACCCCTCAAAGTAATCTCATCCCCATCCTTCAAAAATTTCCTCGTCTCCATCCCCACCAACCAAATATCCTTACTTCCACCCCACGTCATCTCCAACAAACTTCCCATTTCCTGATCGCCCTCCCCAGTAATCGTCCCACTACCCAACAGATCACCCGTCCTCATATTACATCCTCCACTACTATGATGCGCGAGCATTTGTTCAAAACTCCATATCAAATTCTTCGCATTCACTTTCCCAATCGTAGTTGTACTTCCATCTGGAGTCGTGAGATCAATCTCTAAATTAATATCGAGACCAGTATTATTACTCTCTTCTCTCAGATAATCCAACAACTCTCCCGATTTCGAGGCCTCCGTCTCTAATTTAGCGGTTCGGAAAGGCGCAATAGCGTCTTGGAGAACAACCCACGGACTAATACTTGTAGAGAAATTCTTTCCATTAAAGGGACCCAATGGGACATATTCCCAGTTCTGAATATCTCTTGCAGACCAATCATTCATGAGAACATATCCAAAGATATTTTCTCCAGCCTTGTTGACCTTAATAGGTTCTCCGAGTTCATTTCCCGTGCACAAGAAACATCCCAGCTCAAGTTCAATATCGAGTCTTCTAGAGGGTCCAAATACAGGTTTCTTAGGGCCAGCAGCTTTTGGATCCAGAATTATTTGACCGTTGGGACGTGTAATTTGCGTTCCAGAGACGACGACCGAGGAAGCCCGACCATGATACCCAATTGGAACATGTGTGTAATTTGGCTGTAGTGCATTTTCCGCTCCCTAGACGTATCTATCAGAACACAGCATCAAAAACACTCTGATACACCACAGGTGAACTCACTCTAAACATAGTTCCCGCATTCCTAGCATGGTTGATACCCGCAAAAAAATCCGTATAATCTCCAATCCTCATCGGCAGATGATTCTTCCAATCTCCCTCCTTCAGCAAACACACTTTTTGTACTTCTTCATTATCCTTCAATAATTCCGGATATGGTGTATCCTCCTTGAGAACCTCTTGTATATATTTTCTAACTTCTCGATGAACAGGTTGACCCAAAGCTGCAAATGCATTAAGCGTTGGTTCTTCGAAAACAGAGAGATGATCTTTAAATGAAGGGAGTTTCTGGAATCCGGACGATTTAGAAAAGGCGAGGAGATCTAAGACATGGTCGCCGATTCGGATAGCTGGACGGTGAGTAACCTGCGAATTGCGAGAGGTAATAATACCAAAGGGGATATTGAGGATGGAGAAATCGCTATGAGGAGGAATTCTCAGCCAAGACTTCAGAGGAGGCATGTTGACAGTAGCTAGCGAGGAATCTGTACACTAAAGAATTTGATGTGAGGTTAGAATTGAGATTTGTTAATGAACGTAGAGGAGAAAGGGACAATAGCTGTAAGTAGAAAGTCGATTACAATTCACAAGTTCTTCAATCCGAATTCAATAAACATCAACCAAAGCCGATAATTCTACAAGCCGACGTCAAGCTCAAGCTATTTCGAATGGAGGGGTAGTGAGTGCAAAGCTTCCACATTGTGGGGTCATCCATACATAGCCTTCGCGGAATGAACATTTTGTGGAGCTGAAGTTCGTCACTCTGCCGCACGGTATTAATTCCGTCCTGAACCTCTCCATAAAAATTGTAGCATTTCCGCTGTCAGATATTAACGATGGTCAAAGATCGTGGCAGTGATGTATCAGATGTGATTCAATTTGTATTAAATTGTGTAATGATCGAGGGAGTGTAATTCTGGATCAAGATACCGGTCTATTCAGTAATACGTCAACCCCGGCGAGACTGATCCATCTGTCAGTGGGATTCTGACGTATTAGTCTCGGACAATGAGAAAGGTCAATTGCTTACACAGTGCTCGACACTCGTAATCATAAGGTAGAACAGACTATGGTGTTCGATTAATAACGGAAGAGGATATGTAAACTAACAGCGAAGCTGTGGGTTTTCAGCCCTATGTTCAAACCACCCAATATCAACAAGATCCGCAATATTTTGTCGCTTCAATATACACAGTAATACAGGCTCCTTATATTACAAACACAACCGTGAGCTTGATCACCCTTAAAACAAATCCCTTAACTGCCTAAACAATTCATCACCTTCTCCAAAAGCCGGACCAACCCCTCCCACATCATCCCCCACTCCCGGTGTCCCATCCATCCCATTCCCAACTCCATATCCATTATGTCCATTTCCCATTCCCAACGCCGCCTCAAATAGATGCGTCATCTCATAACTCATTTGATTTCCTGTCATTGGACTACTCCCTGATCCCGTACCTATTCCTTGTCCATGTCCGTTTGTATCGTATCCTCCTCCCATCCCCGCAATTTCATGACCTGCCAATCCAGCCATTGCAAGTGCCGCACTACTATGTGCATCATCCGCTCCCAATGCACCATTATGATGATTATTTGAAGTGGGGGACAGCCCAAGTTTTGGTGCTACTTGTTTTAGACTTTTGATTGTTTTCCAAAGACGCTTCGATACGAAAGATTTATTCGAGAAACCCTTCACTAAATCGAGTGCCATATAGAATTCGTCGCGACAAATCGAGCTGAAAGTAACTGGAGCATGACAACTGGCTAGAAAAATGACAGCCAACGCTGAGATGAGGAAATAATTGAAGCAAACTTGTTGTACGCGGTAAATGTCTGTGGTTTGATTAAGATGTGTGAGGGCGCGAATTGTATCTTTCGCAAATTCGACAACTGTTGACGCATGTTGAATGTGTTCTTGTATAGAAGATGCGGAGTGTAAAACAGGGCGATAAATCAGGATACGCATTTGGTTGGCACGAAGGTAGAGAAGTATTTGTAGTCGATGAATTGCGCGAGAGGAGGCTTGAGGGGCAGCAGCAGTTGGAAGTTGTAAATGAGGTGGTATCGTTTTTTGCCATTGTGTGATCTGGTAATCTAGATAACTCAACTCCTCGGTGATTATATTCGTTGAGGGTGTTGGGGAGAAGGAGCAGATTGACTTCCAAACTTTAGAACCTATTCTTGAATATGATATCATGACGTGTAGATAAGGGACCGTATTATCCTAAAAGAATTAGCAGAGTCATCGGGGAAAGTATGAGATTACATACAGGTTCTGGTAAAGAAGGATCGATATCTGAATCTTGTATAGCAAAAGGCATGCCTGTACCGAAACTCCATCTTCGATCAAGTACATAGATTGACCAGAAAAGTTTGGTAACAGCAACCCGTTCTCGTTCATCAGTCACAACTTTGAAAAAAGAATCACGTCTATGCAGACCTAACTCAATTGACATTCGTACGACCTGCCCAATTATGCGCCAGGCTAATGCTTCTTCGTCACAATGAAAATGGAATATTGCCTAAGGGTTATGTTAGTTTGTTGCAAAGAAGTAAATTGTCTCTCAGTTCGCAGATAAGAAGAAAAGCGAACAAGTTAGAATTTGAAGAAACCCGAGAGTAGAACACAATGTAAACTTTGACGTAGAAAATGAAAAGACCAATCGCGACATGGTTAATTAATTCGAGACAGCTGAGGGACAAAACGTCGAACCACGGCTCTGACGCATAATATATACATCAATCAGAAGGTCCACAAGTAGAGACGGAACGAAACAATATTACTCTGAACAAGTCATCTCAACCAACAAAAACAAAAGGGCCTTTGGTGTAATTGGTTAACACACTGTGTACCTTCCCGGTGAAGCATTCCAGAGAAGCGGGATCGAAACCTGCGAGGTCCAAATCATATTTTTGGAATTTCTTTTGCCTTCTTCCTCGCTCAGTCCGTAAGACACAACTCCTCCTTAAAGTTGGTGTTCGATTTTGATTCTCGGGACAACCGAATAGCCAGCACTGCCTTTGATGAGATGAGGTTTTTATGGTTCTTCGCTTATCCTCGATAATGAAGAACCACAAATGTTATGGAATCTATAAGGGATGAGAACTCATGAAAGAGTCGCATACTTTAGAATCCATAAAGATCGATATCAACACGACTATAGTCTGCATGGTATGATACCCAATGAACGAATGGATGAATCAGATAAAGTTTGTGATTGAACGTTGGAGTCGCAAAGTTCCAACTGGAGGTGGTATTGTGTGGGCTGATTCCTTCCCAGTAGCAAGTATTATTCCGACTTTGATCCCTTGGGCCAGAAGCAGATATCGATTGGGTATTTTTCGTGATTTTTCCGACCTCCAATTCAACCAAGCATAGCAAGATATCATTGTTGTGGCTTTTTGGATCCGCAATACAGATAATAGCATGGGTCGCATGTATTTGAAGCCGATGACAAATGCAATAAGTGGCCAAATGCAAGAATACATAGTATAGGCCTTGCAAGTGAATAATAAAATACGACATCCTCGGCTTTCATGTAAGATGTAGAAGTAGGTTTGGTCCCTTACGAAGTCAATGATCGTTTTGAGATTTTTACCTGAGCCAACGTGCCAAGGCTATGCAGTTTCTTCCATCCTTCGTGGACTCCTAAACTCAGCGATAGGTAGGTTGTTTGTGCTTCAACTATCATATGATCGATCCATAATCGGATTTCTAATATGATAATCGTACCAGTGCAACAATAAATCATATAGGCCTTGTAGTTTAATGGTAAAACATGCCACGCTCTTAAATGAGCGGAAGCAAGAAGGTTGTTCGATTCCTCCCAAGCCCAACTTTCTTTTTTTAAACATTTTCCTCATTGTGGTGGCCTTCCTCTCCAGATATCCTTTTACAGAGTTGTACCTCTTTTGTGCCATATAAAGTTGAATGCGTCCATGATACCAACCACATGTGCTCGGCGTCCCGCATGAGTCCCACTTGGCCAAATGCAACATTATAAGTTGAATTTATTTCCACTTACTCACATGGCAACAGTAACTCATGAGTCTCGAAACGACCAGTACCAAACTGGGGGAACCAAGAGAAACTTCTCTCAAATCCCGACTCACTAGAGTTTGTGATTTCCTTTATTCTCCACAACATTCAAGCAAACATAACATACAACAATAAATAAGGGGTAAGAAACAAAAATCCATAACTCACCACAAGTACCAAGAATGGCAAGCTTTTAACCTCCACAAATTCATCATGCAATGCACGATCCGCAGGCTCTCTAACACTCTCAAATAATCTGAAGGCCAAGTCACTTTGCCCACTTCCCTCTGTGATCATTGAGATAGCCATGATAGTCTTCAACATACAAGAATTGATATCATTAATACCTTGAGGGTTATTGGATGTGGCAAGGCCATTCCTCACTGCGGCATCGATGAATTCAAAAAGATTGGAACCATGGGTGATTAATTCCTCTATATCCACAACAGGATACATCAGACCCATTTCTTCTTCATATACCCTACACAGTCGAATCATTTCTTCTCGATTTACACTTCTCAATGGATCTGGAGCTCGAACGCCATTCATATTGATGGATGGTAATGCTCTTGGCCGTATTGGAGGTGGTGATGGTACCGGAGTAGGATCCTGAGTAGCGATGCCTTCATCTGCCAATGATTGATATCCCATGTTATGAAGTGTGTTTTTAGCCACATCTAGACCAAAAGCGGAACTGGTCGGTCCACGAAATGAAGGATGCCTGGGTATAGGTTTATGGTGAAAACTCAAGGGAGAAAGTCCTTGTACTGCGGATTGTTGTGATATTGACAGTGATCTTTCTGATGATGCGCCATACGATACGCTACCATCACCACCTCCACTGACGCCACTATGGCGCATGGCATTTAGCGTCGAATACAGATTATCCACTTGTTCTTGCAATAAGGCGAGCTGTGAATTCATTCGACGAAACTCCTCCGATTCCTTGAAGCCATTGGTACAACAATTCGGAGCATATTGACATTCGAGGTTGAGGTTTCCGCATCTTTGACATGGTGTATTTCCATTACATTTGATTTTCCTTCGTTTGCATTCGTTACTATATCAATAGATGAATTAGTATCATTCAATGGAGATTCCGTCCTCAAATTAGCAACTGTGTGGGATTGATTGTCTGCAGGCAGAGTCGGGTTTCTGACCCCCTTCGGATTTCCTCGGGCGCATTTCCATCAAATCAACCAAGAGGCAATTGAACATCAACCAGGATCCCAAGCAACCACATCAAGACATACACATACACATGCACACAAAGACAAATAAAAAAAGGAAAGAAATCAACTTACCAAGCAATAGATATATATCTATTTCTCTTTGCCCTTGTATGTGCAGTGCCTTCCTTATTTCCATTCAACGTTGCGTCGCCTCCTTCACCCGAATCATTTTTTCTCTTCTTTCCGCTCTGAGCCCCAGTATCCGCGGGTGATTCCGAAGACTGTAGTTGCTGTTGCTGTTGTTGACCATTCATGTTATCAAAGACCGGGATGGCAATGGGAGACTCTGCGATATAATTTAGATCATTAACTTGTGATTCGAGTATGTTCATTATCACATTGAAAATCAGAAGGGTGGATATATGTCTTTGCGCATGTGGCCGGAGATGTTGGAAGTAGTTTTTATTAAGTTTTAGATGAATCGATGAGGTTTTTTTTAAAAAGGTTAATTGACTCGGACCAAATAGAAAATGGCAATCCAGTCCAGTCGATTGACACTTTCTAACAAATGAGAGATGACGGATTTCCCTTGACCGGATTTTTTATCGCATGCGGGGAAATTTAGTGTGAAGAGAGGTAAGAAGTTATGAACCAACAAGACAAGGCGGACAAGGGTGATTTGGGTATTGGGTAGGACTGGGTAAGACTGGGTACGTACTTGGTAAGGGACGGACAGGAAAGGGAAGGGAATGATGGAAGATGGTTGTACACGTGATGTTGAAGATGGGGAATTGTTACATGCACCATTATCCAATTCTGGGACAATCCAGATGATATAACTACATCTATAACTACATTTATAACTACATTTATATATACATCTATATATACATCTATATATACATCTACATCTACATCTACATCTGCATCTGCATCTACATCTACACCTAGTCGTCAAACATATCCCTACACGTCAATTGATATCACTTCCTCCTCCTCTTCCTCTTCCCCTTCTCATGCCTACAGTCCCCTTTCTCGAGTCAACGAGGTCAACCAAGACTACTAGATACGATAGTACGAGAGCACAAGAGCACAAGAGCACGGTAAAAGATCCGGAGAACTCCTCATCACTATCCCTTATAAACTACCGGGACCTTATCTACCCGTGTTCATCTACCGGCCACTCCATCAATCCGTAACTCATCTACCGAGTCCTCAAATCCAATACTTGACAAGTGACTCTTGATCGATTCCCTCGAACGATCAGCCAACAATCTTCTCTCCTCGGAAAATCCCCATCCATCATCGTGAGGTTATCCGAAGCGGTGAACATTGCGAGTTTCAGTGGGCTCGTGGGCTCAGAATGTGGGTACCAACTATCGTTAGATGCCTACAGGTAATTGTTTATTTTTCAGCTTCCCGAGTGTCCTTCGCACACCCACCACCAACATGTATTGAGCAGTATGATGATCGTTATTTAAATCATATCTTAGTAATTAATCTCCTATAAGATCTTCTCCAAGCTTTCAATAGCTTCACGGTGGCTAGTTTGAAAATCATGGTCTAGTTTTGGTCTAATGTGATAAGAACGTCAAAGCATTCACGTTATCGTATCATATTCACGTATTGTATCATATTCACGTATTCATGGAAATTCGATCTCATGCCCTTTTGAGATCTATAACCTTTCATGCTACTTGTCCAACTCTCATTCTGTAGACAGAATCAATCTTACTAATCTTGTAATCTTATAAAGTAGACATCAACAATACTTCATCACACACAAGATCACCAAATGTCCACTTACACACAGACAGAAACGCCCGAGTTTCCATCTATCCCCCTCCACACCATAAATTTATAGATCACTGGTCAGCAATCCCATCTCCAATCCCAACAAAGAAAACAAAATCCGACCAACAATCACCAACTGCCACCTACCATCTCCAATAACACTCCCAAATATACATCAAAGAATCTACCCGGCTCTTCCGATCGTTCCGAAATCAATAAATACAAAGTACAATCCCCCAATTATCCCTCTCGTGTGATACTCTCCCTGCTCATTCATTCCTTATCTTATTCCTCTTCCCCCTTCTCACTTCCGAGTACGTATATATCGCTCGCACTATAGATTGCAATATCAATATCAATATACCAATCCTCAATCCTCAGCTAGCATAGAGTGCGGGAAGGAAGGCAGAGAGTGGAGTCTTCATACATCATACATGCCAGTGTCGTATCATACAGTGGGTTTTCACACCGACCCACTACCGGTAGTTCGAGAACCCCCTTTATATGGATTTTATCCGGGGATGGAATCTTCCATCTTTTGTCGAGAATTTCGAGTATAAGTCATAATGGATAGAGTGCTACACATGTATAGATCTAGAATTGCGAAAAGCAATATCATCTTTATCATATCAATATAAATCTTCCAATCTACATTCATCTACCATAGCACCCCTTACCGAGTTCACATACCCATCTCGATTCTCCCATGTTTTCGTCATCTCTTCACATATTCAATCCTCATTACAAACACCCATCGAAGTACGATGACATAAATATCAAGAAATAACAACAAATACTCACTCACCCTTTACATTCTATATTCACCATTTCTTCCAGCACGAATTCGCCCTTCGCAATAAGAACGGAAACCGTGTTAATATATAAAATAAACCCTCCCAAAAAGTTTAAGAAATTTATACTTCACATACTATTACCATCACTCGGATCATCATGACTTAAGAGTCATTTAACATTTCTTGTGATATTATTAACAAAATCTAAAAAGAGATGGTAAATTCGAGATGTATATCTATTTCCTATCCTTACTTTCATTCCATTCCTTTTCTCATACTCCGCCGGAAGATTAAAAAAAGGGGAGAGGGAAACTCAACCGAAAACACACCTTCTCCTTGTCAATTTCCTCTGCAAGGTCCAGATTGACACAGAAGTACGCATAATATCTCAAAGAATCTCGAATCTCGAATCTCGAGTCTCGGATCTCTATATCTCACAATTCCAAAGTAACCATAAGTTCCTATTCCTATCTATACAAATATATTCATTCATTTTTGTTGATACACCATGCTGTGCTATGCCATTGTGTTGCTTAATATGCGATTTGATTTCTTCTTCTTTTTTGCTTCCCTTTCTACGTATTATATATCTGGTTGGATTTTGATATGTGTGGTTGGGTTGGGATTGGGATTGGAATTGAACTTGTGAGGGATATCTAAGTATGAATTGAATGATAAGAATAACAATAACAATCATAAAATCAAACCAGCAATTTAAAAATCAAATCAAACTCCCAAACTTTTGTCCCAATTTCAAATCCAAACCCCATAAAGATATAAAGAAATCCCAATAAACCATCTCAAGACCCGTTCATAACATATAATCTCTACCTCTACATTTCAGTCTCCCGATTCCGAATATCCATTATATCTAGTATCAAAATCTCTCCGATCTGTACTTGGAAGGAAATCTTACCAATAGACTGCTAGTCTGCTAGTCTGCTAGTCTGCTAGTCTATCAAAAGGAAATTCGGAAGAGATTACGAGATGAATATGAATATGAATATGAATATGTAGACTTTAGAGTAGGGATTAGGCATATTGTACTTTTCTGTGACGATGATGATAATAATAATAACAATAGAAGTATATACAATCTACACTCTCAAGACTCATCTATAACGCGAAAGATGAGGAGGAAAGTAAGGAAGAAGAGGAAAGAAGTAAGGAATCTTTCCTTTTTTACTTCCTCACTTGTGAATACTCACACACTCACTCTTATTTTCCCACAACAATTCTTTCTGATCCACCCCGCCCCTTTCCCCTCCTCGCGTATTCAACTCAGATCCATTCCATCAACATCATTCATATCATCATCCATCCATAACGTATACAAATATCCAGAGTCTCATCCTCCCATCTTTCACATGTCGCTTATGACTTATAATATCTTATTCTCTTCTCTTCTCTCATATCTCCATATGGGTATCCTTACTCGCAATCTTTCATACATAGGATTCTCTTGTTTTTGGGGCGCCGTTGTTTGCGTATTTCTCTCCGTTAATCTATCTCAAATTTTCTGATCCTCTATTCATATCATGACCATTCCCATTTCTTACCTACCATCTCCCACAGCCCTAACCCACCTCCATCTCCTCAGCAGCTTTACCATCTCCAGTAGAATAGAAAATGCAATTCTAATCCTAAACCCTATCCCAATCTCGATCTCACTCCTACCCTTCAGTATCATCAACAGATGAATAAACCACTAAGATACCACTCACCATACCCATTACCCAACACCCATCCCTATTCCAAATCCAATAGATTTCAATGAAGCAATCATCTCTCCTCATCACCTCCCCATTATTCAAATCTCCATTCAAATCTTCAAATCTACATTTCCTCCCTCTCATCACTCATCACTCAAATCATCCACCCCATCCCATTCACTCATCTCTTCCACTTCCCTTCCCTTATACTATTCCCATTTTTCTTCTTTTCATCATCCAAATCTTCAAATCTACATTTTCTAACTCGCATCCCTCAAACTACTCAAAATAATCTACCCCATCCGCTCCATCCATTTACTCTATCCACTTACTCCATCCATTTACTCCATCCACTTACTCCCTTCCATCTCCTTTTCTCCAACCCCTCTCCTCTATCTCTTCCCTTCCAAAACATATACATCCACCCCTTCCTCATACCAATTACTCATACTAATTCTCCTTTCCCTTTTTTCAATTCCCAATTCCCTATACCCAATCCTCCACCCCCCCGCTTAATCAACTCCCCCATCTAAAAATACTAAATATACTAATTTCTCAAATCCTCTATCTTTCCATCCTTCTCATCCCTTTTATCAATCCCCTCAGCCTCTTCTCCTCTCCATCTTCCTCTCTCCATCTTCCCACGATCTTCCCACGACCTTCCCACTATCCCCTTTCCCTCTTCTCCTCTTTATCCCCTCTCCATCTCCATCTCCATCTCCATCTCCATCCCCATCTCCACATCCACATCCACATCCACCACCTTCCCACTCCACCACCAATCCAAACCAAATATCCATCCCCCATTCCCCATTCCCCATTTTCTCTTTCCTCAACTTCCCACCCTCTCCTCCCATTCCCCCTCACCATTCCCCCTCAAATCCAATCCCCTTTCATACACACTCAACCCCCTTATTTTATAACATCCCAACAATCTCAAATTCGCAAATTCCCAAACTCCCAAACTCCCAACTCATTAAACCCCCTCCCTCTCCCTCCACAAACACTAAACACTAAATCCTAAAAACTAAATCCTAAATCCTAAAAATGATAATAACATCCCATGAACAATCCAACAAATAAACACCAAACTACAAATAAATCCCATTCCCACCACAAAATCAATCCAATTTTCTTCTCCACAAACTCTAAGAACTTCACAATTGCTTACTTACTTTCACTGATCCATTCACCCACCCACCACTCACCAGATAGATACTTCCTGACTCACCATTTACTTACCCCACCAACTCCCAAGCGAAAATTTCCCTCCAACAACCTCAGAACCAAAGAGAAGTTAGTAAATTTACACACTTCACACACCAAAAATCAACTCATCCTCAGAAAACACACACCAAAAAAATGAGTCGAAATATTGAATTCTTAACTAGTATACAAATCTACCAGCCAGTCAACCAGCTTCCAGACTCTGATTATCTCTTGAAAATCTCATAATAGCATAGCATGCCAGCTAGCTCAATAAATATCACGTCATGTGTTGTAAAGCCATGTGTGGCGAGAGAGAAAAGAATATCATGGTAAGCACCTAGTACCATATCCGAAGCCATCCATCCATCCTACCATCCAGATCCCAAGCAAAAATTCATCAATTCCGTAAATAGCAAGAAAGCAAAGCAAAATCCATCCATAATCACGCACGCCATCCATGCTCTATTCGAACAACAAGTGTAGTCTACGAGTAGTGCAGAAAGGGAGGTGTAGCTGAAGGGAATTGTAGTGTGAGGAAACTACAATTCTTCTCCTTCTTTACCGGCCTTCTTACTCTTCTTCTTGGGTTGTGGTGCACCTTCTTTCTTGCAGTGAACAACGAGACGAGTCCACGATTCATCTTTATCCCATTCAAATCCTGCGAGGACGGGAGTTTCTAGTTCGTCATCGGCCTGGTGGTAAAGATATGTTAGTGTATTGATTTCGAGAAGATGGCAGATGGAGAGCATGAGGTTTTGGCGGCTGAGCGGGGAAGTGAGGGGAAAATGCAAAGGGATAATATACCTTCTTACGGAATTGCTTGTAAATAGCATCTACGGCATCCTTAATTGTAACACCCTTCATGTTCCTCGCGGTGACTTCCAACCCCAGTGGGAAATGTAAATCAATCTTCTTGACTGGTGGTGTGGTGAGAGATTTCTTAAGGTAACCCTTTTCTGGATCATCAAGAGTCATTGGTGATTTATTTATACGCCTACATGGTAAAGATATCATCAGCCATCATTCACAAGGAACATGTAAATATGACGTGATAGGTGATGAAGTGGACAAGAGTACATACCAGTTCAGCTTTTGGGTTTCTTTCGCAATCTCTAGTTCTTTTCCCTCTTTCTCTGTTGAGATTGTTAGTATTTCTTCGTTGCATCAAGGAAGATTGAATGTGGTATCCATAAACCAAAGAAAAGATTACATACCCAAGTCATTAATATTCCATACGCCAGGAGCACTTGAACTTGTTCTCCGATGACCCATGGTCTTCTTTTCATCAGTAGGACTACTCGATAATCCTTGAACTGCAGAATCAACCTTGGTTAAAGGTATGGGATCAGCATCATTACCAGCGTTTGCTGTATTGATGGGTTGAGTTGCTGTATCGGCAGACATGATTGGAAGGTAGGGTTGTTTGTTTTACTTGATGGAGTGAAAGGGTAGTTAATACGATATCTCACGATATTGATCGAGAGACAAAGACAGCGTTGGAATGTTGGGATCAAATAACCCAGATAGTTACTTGGAAGTTGTGTAGCGGGGAAGAGAGACTTTCTTTGATGAATTGATGATCAAGAAAGATGGAGTGATGTAGATTGTCAATTGTTTGATGTGATGGATTCAGGTACGAACAGATTGATGTGTAGATATTTGAGTGATTTGAAAGTGTGAGAGAGTTTTGATGGTGAATGAAGAACAAAGGAGGGAGGAAGGAGGAGGTCATTAGATTTTCCAAATGAGGGGAAATGGACAAGAAGTCACACAACAGACAGGTGATTGGTTGAGGTTATCCGAATCAAAAAGAGGTAATAATTGTATTTACGACCATCAGGTATTAATTTGAATAGTAAACCATGCAGCTTGGACATCATTAGGTGTTTTGGTAATTTCCATTTGTCAAGATTGTTTTTGATTCTTCTGTTACTTCAATTGTATTTCAATTGTATTTCCATTGGCTTCAGATCATGCGTCAAATCACACTTCACATTACACCTTCATATCTTAAATCATACCTCACCTTGTACCTCACCTCGTACCTCACCTCATACCTCACCTCATACCTCACCCCATACTTCAAACCACACTTTGAGAGAAATCAATCAAACATACAACCTTAACAAATCCTCAATCTTCAATCTTCAATCTTCAATCCTCAATCTTCAATCCTCAATCCTCAACCCTCAACCATCCGACATCCTATCCCTTCCACTTCACATCACTCCTCCATTCCATACTAAAATCTCATATCAATATATCACTCCATTCCCCATGTAGTATCTTCCCCTGAAATTTCACACCCAAAGAAGCCTAGTCTCCGCAACTACTCCCTTGTCCGGTAAAGCGAAGGTCCGACCCTCTCTGCCCTCAAAACTGGGGAAGTGGGTCATACCCCAGGTTTCGCCCATGGTATCTGCTGACTTACCACGTCATGTATGTTTTGGAACATCCGTTCATTCCTTTGTTGCGTCGTCATACTGTTGATACAATTCATTTCATCACGTGTGCGGACAATGAGATGGAGATTGTAAATGTGAATTGAGGATATACTTTATTAAATGACGATCATATATTTGCACTGCATCGATACAAAAACCCAAAAGAAAGAAGAATCAATTGACTGAAATCCAATCCAATCCAATCCAATCTCACACAAGTCACCCAATCAATCACTCCATCAATCACTCCATCCCTTCAATCAAAAGAGGGGGTGTACAATCATTCCATTGGCCTCTTCGTGAGGGGTAAATGCCACTAACGACGTACCTACGTATCATCACCACCACCACACACCCCATCAAATCATCCAACCACACCACATAACCCAGACCATCATTCTCCAATTCCAATTCTGAATATCTAACCTCAGGATATCCTTCATTCTCTCCTCCTCATTCGTATTTATACTTTTCCCCATCCCAGCACACGCAAGCCAGCAGGTAAACCATGGAAAGTAAGAAGATGATCATTCTTGATCGAGTTAGGGAATTCACGCAATGCACCTTCTCTGTAATGTTAGTTGAGGCATTTAATTCATTTGTTCCTTGCACGGGGGATGAGATGATGACGAAAGGAGAATGGATAATGGATGGATGGCCTGAGGTATGAGTACCGCATGTAGGACCTGGGAGGGAGGGAGGTACGCTTCCTTTGATTTGCTAATTATGTCGTGCCAATGGGAAAGCTACAATAGATGTACCGGTATGTATGTATGTATGTATGTATGTATGTATGTATATATGTATACATCACACCATACCAAAACATCAAGGCATACAATACAACACACCATATCAATAATGTCCACCCCAATGCTATCCCATCTCCTTTTACCACCCAGCAGGAAACAAAAGGGAAATCCACAACAGAATATCATACCCTCTCTCCGCACGATTCGTCTCTCTCTCTATCTCCATCTATCCATTTTCCCATCCCCATCCCCACCCCCCCTCTCTCAATCCCACACACACATAAACATCAAACCTCCCTATTCATCAATCCACACCTTTCCACATCTCTCCTACCCCCCTCCCCAAACTCACTCCCAGATACCCAAAATCACACAATCACACACCTTCTTTCTCCCCCAATTTCCGCTTTCACAAAATCCAAATCAGATCAGATCAAATCACCCGATATTCATTATCTTGAGATAAAATACATACATACATACCCAGATACCTCTTTATATATCTATCTCTATCTATCGTGATACTCTTACGAGATAGTTTATATATTATATATTATATTTGTATCTGTATGATTTTCTGTTTATATGTATATATATAACATATGTTGATGATATGTTGATGATATATTGATGATATAATATGATATGATTTTAAACAATTCACATTATCCACCTCTCTACCTACCGACCCCTCCCTATCTACCTACCCCCTCCCTATCCACCTACCCCTCCCCTCAACCCCCAAACCACCACAAAAGTTTCGGAACTCCAACTATCTAGAAATCACCGAATGATCTAAGAGATTAAATCAAATGAGACTAGTGAATGAAGTCGGGATTGATATAATCCGGATGGTCTGGATCAGATCAGATCATTTCGATCATGGTTGTATTGATTGGCTGATCGATTGCATGATATGATATGGTATGGTATGATTTGGGATGGCACGATATGATGACACGACGATAAGTCATAACATGAGATTGGTATATTCATAAACTCGTGATGAAGCGCATGTAAGAATGCCGTTTCGAAACTATCTACTCCCTCACGCTCAAGTATAATGCGGCAATGCCCCTTCATTAATTTCCTTCTTTGCTCCCTCGCCACCAATACTCTTTCCAATGTCAATAACGCCCTCAATCTCCCCCGAGACTAAATGACTAATTTTCTTTACTCCTTCTGGGATCTTAAAATGGGCCGGTAACGGAGTCCAACTTTCTTCGTTATAATTTTCCTGAACCTTCCTACATTGTTTTAATCCCCACTCCGTAACCCCCACCATCAAACAACTCTCAAACATAAACGCCATGCTTCCTTCTCCAACCTTTGCCGGTTTGAGCGGGGCATTCGATGCTTTGTCGTGAGTACCTGCATCAGGACCATGAGCTGACATGATATTATGTAGAGAAGCGCCTGCGGGTTGGAAACCTCCTCCTGTCTTTGCATCATATTCGCCGCCGATGAGACCCATGAATTCAGACATGGTGTTGCGATGATACCAGGGCGGTCGGAATGTATCTTCGCCTACGAGCCAGCGTGGAGGAAAGATGACGAAATCCGCAATGGCGGTACCGACATGATCGGAAGGAGCAGTGAGGACGGTAAAGATACTGGGATCGGGATGATCAAATGATATACTACCGATGGTGTTGAAGCGACCGAGATCGTATTTGTAGGGGTAGTAGAGACCGTGCCACGCTACAACATCGAATGGTGTGTGTGTTTGAGTAGCTTCAAAGAGGTGTCCATTGAACTTTGACAAGATCTTAAATTCGCCATTGGTGTTTTGTTCAAAATTAGCTACTGGAGCTTGGAAGTCCCTCGCGTTGGCTAAACAATTCGAACCAATGGGTCCCAATTCTGGAAGTTGGAAATGTCCTGAATATAATTCCAATATGTATCCTCGAACAGGTCCTTCTGGAAGTTCAACTCGATATCTAATTCCTCGAGGAATAACACAAATTTCATTTGGTCGAACGAGGAGGTTTCCGAGCTCGGTCTGGATGTCCAGAACTCCATGTTGTGCCACGATCAAGAAGTCTCCATCGGCACTATAAAATGCTTGGTTCATGTCCATGCTCTTTCCGGCAGCGAAAATAAAGATTCCAATCCCATGTTTCAATGTTGGATCACCGGCTCCAGCTACCAGTTTCAGACTGTGTACCCAATCCACGGTCTCATCTAGATCGAATGGATCCCATCTCAATTGATTTGGTATCTGATGTAATTTGTTGCCTTCTGGATTTGTGTTGTAGGAAGAGGTCTCGCGAGGAGTAAAAGGTTGATGCGATGCTGCTGGTAGAATGCGGTAGAGCCATGATTGTTGATTCTCATGTCGGGGTGCGGTAAATGCTGTACCGGACAGTTTTTCGGCGTACAGGCCATAAGGAGGCTTTTGAGGAGAGTTGGCACCTATAGGAAGAGCACCTTCGACAGCTTCGGATCTGCGAAAGGATTAGGAAAATTGGGAAAAGTGATGAAGGGGTTGTGGAAATACGCTTACTCATGATATGAGCCGAAGCCATTTTGATATTTGTACTTCTCCGGTGTATGAAACTTTGTAACAGGCATTTCGAAATGCCTAGGGATGATATGTATGGAATTGTCTTAATGTATGGAATCCTTTGAACTGATCAAGAAGATATGAGAGATATTAAATTTAAAATTAAGTTTGCGAAATCCTTTTTGAATATTTATCGATCAAGTAACTCATGAATTGTTATACCGCTCATGACGAAGTGATTTTCCCCGCGTACAACCGATAGGATTCTAAAAAGTCGGGGTCACCAAATCATTTCATTCCGCATGCGGGGGTGAATGTGAACCACCAAAATTAGTCATCACATTTCATCATTTTCTTCAAGCGGAATTTATTCCGTCACATCCAGATCTGTGCAAGATGCAGGACAAAGTCAAATCGGATAATTCTAGACTAACTCAAACTTCACTCCATACAAACTTCACGATTGATCATCATGCTTTCAATTCTTTCTTCACTCTGGATCTCATCCCCATATTTTCAGGTACGGAAGGGAACCCGCGCGGAATATAAATGTCTGGGGCTGTACGATCGGGTCCCATTTCTCCACACATTCTCCCTACGAACCAATCACAATCCATTATTCTCAAACTTGAAGATGCATTCACGATTTTCTTCACGATTTCCCGATTACCTAGGTAATATCTCACAGCTCGTACGGTCAAGCCTGGGAAATGGGACTCATATCTCGCAAGGACAAGTTTGAAAAAATGGACTCGCAGATGAGACATGGAATAGAATCTGATTGCTTGGACTTCATTATATATCCACCATTTCTTCTACAATCTTACCTCCATTCAAACTGACTTTCTTACTTCACTCTTCTTCCACCTTCTCCTGCTCCTCAACAACATCTATATTATCACAATGTCTCCTCAAACCATAGGCATTGCGATTATCGCCACGGTTTTCTTCATTGTGCGATACCTCAATCGTACCGATACTCCAAAGATTAAGAATTTGCCGGAAATTCCTGGATATCCTCTCTTTGGAAGTCTGCTAGAATTTGGTGTCTCTCATGCATTGGTAGCCAAAAGATTGGCTGAGAAGTATGGTGCTGTCTTCCAAGTAAGATTAGGAAACAGGGTAAGACATGTCACTATCTCCGCGGAAATACCATACTAATTGTAAATAGCGAATTGTATTCGTCAACACTTTCGATGCTGTCCGCCATTTCTGGGTTACCAATCAATCGGCTTTGATTTCCCGTCCTACTCTTCATACTTTCCACAGTGTCGTATCTACTTCTCAAGGTTTCACCATTGGCACTTCTCCTTGGGATGAATCTTGCAAGCAACGAAGAAAGGCTGCAGCTACTGCTTTGAATCGTCCCGCTGTTCAATCTTATATGCCAATCATCGATCTTGAATCTAAGGTTTCCATCAGGGAATTACTCAACGATAGTAAGAATGGTCAAGTTGATATCGATCCTATCTCTTACTTTCAAAGATTTGCTCTCAACACCTCTTTGACATTGAACTATGGATCAAGACTTCACGAAGTTAAGGATAGAGATTTACTTCAGGAAATTTGTGATGTGGAAAGAGCTGTTAGCAACTTCAGATCTACGAGCAATAACTGGCAGGATTACATTCCATTGTTGAGATTGTTACCAAAGTCGAACACTGAGGCTATCGAATATCGCGAAAGAAGAGACAAATACTTGAATTTCTTATTGAACAAACTCAAGAAACAAATCGATGAAGGAACAGATAATCCTTGTATTACCGGAAACATTATCAAGGATCCTGACGCGAAGTTGAATGAGAGTAAGTTTATTGGGACCTGTCTATTGCGTAATATGCTAACCCGCTTTAGATGAACTCAAATCCATCTGTCTGACAATGGTTTCTGCTGGTCTCGATACAGTTCCTGGTAACTTGATCATGGGTATTGCATATCTTTCTTCTGAACACGGTCAAGAAATCCAACAACGAGCATATGAAGAAATCATGAAAGTTTACCCAGATGGAGATGCATGGGAACGTTGTCTTGTTGAAGAAAAAATTCCATATGTTACTGCTTTCGTTCGCGAAGTTCTTCGATTCTTCACTGTTATTCCTATTTGTCTCCCAAGAACCAGTATCAAAGATATTGAATACAACGGGGCTACTGTTCCAGCTGGTACTACTTTTTACATGGTAAGCTTCCTCTCTAAGTTCATAGGCTTCCAACTCATACTAACAACTATCTAGAACGCATGGGCTGCTGACTACGACTCCACCCACTTCAAATCCCCCAATACCTTCTCCGTTGAACGATACCTTGATAACCTCGAAGGAGGCGGAACACCTCACTATGCTTACGGTGCCGGCTCCCGTATGTGTGCAGGCTCACATCTTGCGAATAGAGAACTCTTCACTGCATTTATTAGATTGATCACAGCCTTTCAAATTGTGGCTCCGAAAGACCCAAAGGATAGACCGATCCTAGATGCTTTGGAATGTAATGCGGTTAAAACTGGTTTGACAACAGATCCTTATCCATTTAAGGTCGGCTTCAAGGTCAGGGATCAAGGGAAGTTAGAGAGGTGGATGAGTGAGGCGGAGGAGAGGACGAAAGATCTTCATTGAGAAAAAAGAAGTGGTAATAATTTTTGGGAAAGATGAGCCTGGCTGGAACGATGCATAATTTATCGATTTACGATGGGGGACATTATATCATGATTCATGACACGGAACGAAGCGTCATAGATATTAGCATGGCTTGGTCTTTTGTATTGCATACTGCATAGCGAGTTTTTTTTTTGGTTTTTTTTTCCGGCATCCAGTTTTAGAAAATTCAAGAGATAAAATAAATATGAGAAAGATATTATGAACCTTTTCGCCTGCGGTTGATATCATGTAAATGTTCATATTCATTGGATGGTAGTTCTACAATGTTTATTTTTTTATTCTTTTACAAGTTGGTATGAAATCAGCGAAAATCGTCGATCTTTATTTAATTTTCTTCTTTGAATTTTGGAATTGGAACATCAATTGATGGCAATTTTTAGCAAATCGTGGAGGTTAGAGAAGCAGATATCTAGCAGAAATTTGATGGATCGTAGAGATTATCGATGGTGGGTAGTTGTTGTTGTTGTTGTTGTTAGTCGGGGACGATGTGATGGTTGTGAGATGAGATTTAGAGATCGATGCTCTTATTTTTTGGAGGGGATCTGTTGGCATTACTCTTTCTCATACCTCGCGTATCATGGGTCATTCAGCATAGCAGAAGATGATGTGTGGATATATGTAAATCAATAAATCACGCTTGGCTTTCTTTTGATATCCTCCCGTTTCTCTAGTGAGGGTGAGGGTGGAGGGAACGGGATGGTCTGGTTAGGAGTGTTGTAGCTTGTGCTCTGGATTTGAAGGTTGGATGGCGGGGGGAATGAGAAGGAGTGGTTGGATGGGTTTTTGGGGGTGTGAGATGGGGGGATGGGAGTATGTTTTGTGTTTTATGTTTGCAGGGAGGTGATGAGGAGGGGGGTTGCTGTCTTATTTGGGGTTTGGGTTTGGGGTTTGTGGTTGATTTTGATTTTGATTTCGAGAATCTGAGTCGGGGTTTAGTCTTAGGATGGGAATGTCTTTTCTTAGGAAAGAGTTCTGTGGTTGCTGGTTTAGCGTTGTATTAATGTTACTTGTGGTTCTTAGGGTTTTTGTGGGATTTGTGAACATTAGGTACCTCGTTTGATCTACTAGGTTTCTTGGATGCATGTCTGTGTTGCATACACTTTTTGGGGGGGATTCATGTCATGGTTCTCGTACACTTATCGCGTGGATGATGGGTACCTAGGTAGATGATGTGCATTTGTAAGTTGATCAGTGAGCCAACTGCGCAGAATGTATGTAGTTCATGGAAATCGGGCCAGAAAAAGGGGGTTTCTATGCGGGGCAATGACGGTGACGGTAAAATATATTGGGAGTCGATATGATGCTAATAGGATATCTGTGATAGATTAATCTACCAACTGCGGTTGCGGAAGAACACAAGAATTTCTGATGCTGGATGTGAAAAGTATGGGGTTTTGGTTATTTTGGAATGTCGTCTCTACTTGGAACATCGAACATCCTGAAATCATGGGGGTATATTCGAAATGCGAGATTTGAGAATATGGAGTGCGTATTCATGTATGTAAGGTTACTTAGTTGTAGTATCTTTTCCTCATCTTCATCATTATTTTGAATAGTCACCATCGAGTCGACTCTACCTTTGTTGACTGCCATTGTTGATGGGGATGAACTCCTACTGTCACTATTCTATTATCTTATCGAAGGATATACATATGCACTGTATCTCGGATGATTAGACTTTGTGGTGAAATTCACCCCTTCTCTTAGACCTGAGAGTGGAATAGTATAGAAGCGGAAGAAAATCCTGAGAGGCTTGGTTGATGTCATATGTTAATTTGTAGTAGATCCAAAAAGCTGAGCTGGGAAGCGGGAATTATATGTACGCTTCCGGGAGGGTCATATTGGGAAATAGAGAGAGAACGAGAGCTGTGTAGATAAATTATCACTGACTTGCGGATTGGAGACAAGTGTTGATCTTACATGCAAATTACTCTTGACGCGAGATGCGGGGAGGGAAGGAAATGGAGGGAGTTATGGAGAAATAGCCGAAGAACTCTGAGTACAAAAATGAATGGATCTTGCATGGTTTTAGAGCTTCAATTGTTTCAATGGTCGTAGCCATAGAACAAATAACCATGAATGGGGAATTCGAAATGAAGAATTGTAGTCACTGGAGTGGTAACTGCCTCTTGCTTAGATTCTCGCACTAAGGCTCTGAATATGAGATATCTGAATACTTTAGAATCATGTTGTCGTTCACACGGAGCTACTGACAGTAAGTATGGAACGATATCACGACAATGATGTTTGCCGGTGGCAACGAATCTCCATTCTCCAACGCCTCGTATTGTATCCCCTCTGTCGAGAATTACAATTATCATGCATACTCGGGGAGTTGCGATTCAGTAAATAATTCCATTTCCAATCCTTGCAATCTTTTGTGCTTGGCTCTCGTTTGGCCCTTCCCACATAGAGGTTTCAGTCCATTCTTAAAAGGAAGTATCATTGTGGTTGAAGTTGGTTTGGATTTAGATTTATATACATATCCAGAGGGAATGGATGTATGCGCTTGCATTTGCATTAGATGGGTTCCAAGTGAATGGGTATCTTGGGTATAGTCTTGTATGTATGCTCATAACTATCTAAAATTTGGAGTAAACTCATCTTGACCATACATTGAGCCTTTGACCTAATTTAGATGAGATAAATGAGACTAATATGATTTGCTGGTGAGAAATTTCAAGTTATTAAATTCCAACACCGCCGCTACATATGTTTTAAAATAGTCCGACACATACGAAAGCAGGATGTATATGAGAAGAAAATCTCTTCGATTCACAATTTTCCGGTAACGGCGATCATGGATAATCCCGTAAATTCTTCTGAAAAAATGTTCAAGGTTACCAAACAACCGCTACTTCAAAATCAAAAGATCGCGATCCCAAGAATCTGAACCTTCAAAACAAATACTCCAAAACATCATCTCAGTTCCTTCTTGGCACGGGAATCGTAGCATAATAAGCCATGGCTGCCATATTAATCTCTGGCGTCAATTCCTTTCCATCTTCTATCATCTTAGCGAGGAGTTTGAAGTAATGGATGTAAAATGCCTGGGATATCGCTCTTGTTAGTCGAACTCTCTACCCATATAATTCCCGTCTCTTTTTGTGTCTTCCTATGATTTTTCATGTCCTCTCTTTTCTACTCTTTTGAGCTTCCAATGACCGTCCATCATTCTCCCCCGTTCAAGCCCATCCCCAAAACAAGAATCCCAGCTGAGGATGTGACACAAGCAAAAAAAATAAAACATACCGGAGTAAAAGTATTAACAAATTTCGCTTCCTCGTCCGTCTCATTGCTAAATGTATGAGGAGCTTTAGTAGGTACAACCACATAATCACCTACTCCTGCATCGATCCTCTTCTCGGATTCGCCGGTTGAGGGATTGGCGGGAACTTGGAAGGTTATTACTTGAGGGTGTCAGTAAAGCTGGAATGGAAGTAGTGGGTTCTGGGGAGGTGATGATTGGAAGAGAGAAGATTTAGGGAGAAAGTGGGAACAAAAGAAGTGGAAGGGAATGAGTGAGCAAGTAAACAAGAAAGCTTACCACCTTGCGTTACCAAAAAGCATTCATCATGCATCTCGTGCCAGTGCGCTGGAGGTCCCTTTAAACCCGCAGGAAGAGTGCCCTCAACGGTTGAAATTCGGTTATCTATCATTTCAGTTAATATTTCATGATGATCCTCTATCACTCTATTGACCATCTCCACATGTCTCCCATACCAATTCCCTATACGTTGAATATAAGAAAGAAAACCCAGGTAAACCGAGAAGGAACAAAAAGAATAAACACATACCAGTCCTACTTCCATCCTCCAAAATTCTCAATTTGACATTTCCCAGTGTGATAACCTCTCCTGTCTCTGCTTTGACATAGTGAACTGGAACATTTGGTTGAGGGGTAATTGGTGCTGGAGGACTCATTTTGGCAGTGATATATGTTTTCTGATGGTGTTTGTGAGAACAATTGCGATTTTCGTCGATTTGAGCGCGGTTTGTGCGTTTGCGAAATGTGATGAGTGCGTAGAAAGGATCAATGGAGGAAGTATGAGTGAATTGCGATATAAAGTGCAACGAAGAGAATCTGAAGAGGCACTGGCACTACATCTTTATATCTTCAATCTTTACTCCGACCTCTTCGAAGGATTCATTATCAGCTACTATAATAATACAAAAATAAAGCACAAGTCGGGTAATATCTCTCCGATTTTTCTGGCCTTCCAATCTTCATAGTTTGATCTGATTGGTTCGCTCGCACCAACGGGCATGAACGAACACCCTGAAAGATTTCGGAGTAAGCAGAGGACCGAAGTGCGCTTGCGAATTCTGCGCTTAGTAATGACTGCAGGATGCGGACTCTGACACTTGATCAATATGCCGAATATTAAATCCGTAGTATTGAATGCTTTATTGTATGAATATACTAATATCTCCGTCTAGTGCGGAGATAATAGATGAGAGTGATACGGGTGTATTAGTGGAAAGGCTTGCCAAAGGCGTGTGCTCTCAATGAAGTCTGTATAGATAGATAAGAGACTATGTATTCTCTTAGTTAACTAGCTATAATTAAAGTTCCCAGATGATTGTTCGAATTAGATTTAATAGTCTCCATTTCCTGATCGAGTTAAATAGAAACACACTTGACCTCCTTCATTCAAAGATACAAAGAAATATCTATTGAATCATTCCCAATCAATTCTCCAAAGATCCCCCCGCGTTTCTGAATCAACCCTGCCATTGAACCTTTCCACTTCTAACTAAATTGACCATCCCAGTGGGCAACAACCCCTTGTCCACAACAGCCAATCCACCAAATCTCTCTATCATTTCTTCCCCATAAAGCTTCACAACCCATTTCCAATATCCCATGTCCATCCCCTCAAACGCCGAAGAAAGGCCACCTTCAATTGCCTTTGCCTGAATCATATCAGACTCATCCCAATCCGCCGATTCTTTGCTTGGTTGCTTGAGTAGATTCTCAAAGACTTCAAATAGGTTTCCTTCATGAAAACTACCAGCTTTTTCTCTGTATCGGGTGAACTCTTCGAAAGACATAAAGTCTTGTAGATCAGAGAGATCGCGACCGTCGTATTGCCAATGACGCGCCATTGCCACATTGACTTGAGGAGCTCTCTTTTCGAATTTATCTTTAGCCACTCTATATGCTTCAATCTCCGACTCGAAGAAATTATCCATCAACGTTTCCGGAGCTTCATATACCCCATCTCGTAATTGTAAAAGCCCAATGAAGGGATTGTGTAACTCAAGACCGCCAAGACTAGTCGGGAAATAAAGGTATCCATCCGGGACGTTATCGATCCCAAATCTCTCTTTCAAAGTATCTTTGAGATATGAAACCACGTTTGTATTAGTGAAAATGAGATTTTGAATGTGTCGGAAACTTGATAGCATGGCGTCAACGTGTGCACGACCAAAGGAATTCGATGGTTTTCCAAAGTTCGAGGTGAAGAAGCGACCGGCATAAGTATTCCAAGCTTGGATCCACGAGAAGACACTTTTCTTATCGCGGAGCTGGGATTGAAGTTCTGAAACGTGTTGATCGACCATAGGTTGATCGATGGTAAAGTGGCCGGTGGTAGGATCTAGTTTAAGAAAGCCCCAGCGAATGTCTCCGACAGGAAGAGAAGGGTCTATGGGCTGCTTGGAATCACTAGATGTGATGCGTACAGAGCCGGTTTTACCTTTGTTAAGCGTAACTCCCATGATTTCCGAGAATTGGAGAATCGAGTTCCATCCTTTGACAACAGATTGGTGAGAAGGCGACCAAATCCAAAAGTCATCATGCATTCTGTAGAGTTGAACTCCATCTGTGCTTTGATTTACAGCGTAGTCAAGACAGAAAAGAATTGTTTCCCCGCAAACAGCAGATAAAGCGTGAGCACTGGGAACACCACGCTTCCGAATGCGAGCTTCCGCGGATATATCATCATCGACAAATCTCAGTGGAGCTTCAAGAAACTTTTGAAAGAATCTCGACCACTTTACCGACAAACCAAAGAAACCAAGAACACAGAAAATCGTGGAATGTGGCAATGATGGACCAAATGACTCAAATTCGGAGCGAGCACAGCTTATCTCGCCATGAAGCTTTGTATTAATGTTAATCTCGGTTGACAGTAAATGAAGTATGAATTGCTTGATCTCCATTGGCGTTTTCGGCAAATTATCGGAATCCCCTTCATCGGCGGTTAGAAATGAATCGAAATCAAAATCTGCAAGTGAATTTGCAGTACAATCGAATCCAGTTGCCTGTGCCTGCACCTTTGCCCTCTTTCGCTTGGGTGCAGGAGGCGGAGCTTGCTGTGTTTGCTGTGTTTGCTGTGGTTGCTGTGGTTGCTGTGGTTGCATGACGTTACGGTGAGACATAGCTGGTCCCCGCCTTAGACTCAAGCGCTGTCCGGGTAATTCAAGCATATCATAATTAGCTTCTTCGACTCCGTCCTGATCTGCTTGCTCATCTTGTTCCGAATCAGGAAGCTGAGACATGAAGTATATGGATTTGTAAAGTTCCTCTCGCTTCTTCATAACACTTCCCTGACGGTTGTATGATGGTCCCAGGTAGAATTCTCTTCTTATCAGATCAATTGGGGGAATAGGTTTGTTCATTTTTGACCATGCTCCATCGAAATTGGAGAAATCTATGAAGGCTTTTTTGAAGAAAACAGACCATTTAACGCCAATGTATTGAAGGAACAGTGCTTCTAGGAGATCTTCGTCAATGAACATATGATGCGTACCATTAAGGTGACGTCTTTGCTCAACAGCAATGTCCCTGTTCCATTCCCAGATATCAATGGATGCAAGACGCATGTTCAGAACATCTGCAACTTCTGTAAGAATGACGGGACTGGCAAGAAAATCCTTCAGCGCTGCACGCTTTTCATCTGATAAAAGACCGGAAGATATAAGGCCATCGATAGTCCAACGTAAAACAGTAGGATTAAATTGACCTGGGGCAGACAAGGTATTGCCGAATGTCTCAACTTCTTTTCGTAGAGCAATTAAGGCTTTCTTGGCTTGCCCATTCTTCCCATCCATTCCAAACAAGGTAGCCAGGTATGCCGTGATCACCTTATCATCGGTTTCGAATGGTTGAAAGACCAAATCTTCCCAATTTGCTCGACCCTCAGTCCTAGCAACACTCTCCTTCTTGACTTTTTGAAATTCTTCATGAATTTCCGAAGTGTCATTGGCAACATCGACGGCTTTCTGTTGCTGCTCTGCTGAAAGCCATTCTGTAACCAACTCTCCATACAAAGTCGCATACTGGTGTTTTGATGATTGCACATCAATGTGACGCACCAGATATTTTTCCCATTGCTCTAGAGTCTTATCAGAGATGGATGGGTCATATTCAGCTTGTGCAATAAACTTCTCGAGATTCTTGACAAGTAGTTCAAGCGGAGATAATTTAATGTCATTGTCGTGACTACGCTTCTTCGTGATTGATGTCGTAATTGCAAAGCTTTGTTTCACACCTTCCAATAATAGCTTTAGTCTTTTTCGTTGATCGAGTTCATTGCTTAATTTATTGGAGAGAGCATCCTTTTGGCTTTCAAAATGATGGCGCTTTTTGGAAAGTTCGGTAAGCTTTGTAGTAGTGATGGATTGAAGTGTCTCGGAGAAGACACCTCCAGACATGATGAAGATGGGAAGTTATGGAAGATAAGGCGTTCTTTGGAGGATAGGAGAATATGGAAGGTGCGGCCTAGGAAATCCAAAAACGAGGAAAATTTTGGAGAATGAGTAAAAGTACTGTGAGTGATGGGTATTTGAATAACGGGGGATCATGCAGTGATATTTATAATCGAAAAGCGAAGGCGACGAGGCAGTGCAGGCAGCAGTGCAAACCACCCCACGTCACGTGTTTTATGTTACACTCAAAACAAGAACCACGTGCACAAAGAAAACTTCATATCAACCAAAGCATGAAATAGAGTAGGAAAGCTCGACGGTCATGATAATCGAGTGAGCGAGCAAAAATAAATTTTGACAGAAGCAAGTTTAGAGCCAGAATCGCACCAAGCAAGGCGGGAATAAAATGCGTCACATCCAAAGGACATCTTTGCATCTACCATTCGTACGTACATCTGTGAAGTCCGACGGCTTATATGGACGTAATGGATGCGTAAATTTGCACTGGTAGTGAAACCCTCCAAATTACCACAATCCAGAACTGTACTGATGGCATATGTATGGATATATCCACAGACTTGATGACGTACACGGAAACCTTCGAAAGTCTTTACTACAATGACTTGATTTATTATCGCGTCCCCTACTCGACGGTGAAAACAATGTCTTTAAATCAGTCTGCGAAACTATTGCGCATGGCTGGTAGACGATGATGCCAGGCATGATTGGCGCAAACAATATACCATGAAATTCATACTCAAAGGCAACAGCTGGAGCCCAACTCTTTGATCACATTACACCACCTCCCGGTAAGTCTGTCATGTAACTTTATATATTGACATTAGAGAAGAGGTGTACCTAGGATTCATTCGCCTATCCGCAGCTTAACAAGTCAGAGATCGCAATACATGAGATATGAAAATGTATGTTTTCGCAGCAGGAATTCACTAAGATCTTGGAAAAGACATGAGTAGCCTGGAGGAAGAAAGTATAACATTGGGCTCCTTGCGAACATTCAAGGGGTGGCCGTGGTATTTGAGCTCAAAAGATTCGATTTGAATTTTGAGTAATTAATGTGCCAATTACAATCTTCCAGGGGGATTCTGCGTTGAGGTTTTGTCTTAGTCATCCATCTTCTTTCAATCACGAAGTGTCATATTCGGCACAACTTCGGTGATAGACAGCTCATGTCTCCAAGACCAATCAATAACCAGTATTTGAAATTTCTCGTGACCTGCTCTTTTGTTGCATATCTCATTTTTCGATTAGTATAAAAATGCTAGCCACCAAGGCAGGAAGTAGAAAGCAATGCCAGAAACACAAAGCAGGGCTTTTTCAATAAACACGAAACTTTGTACTTGGTAGATCAAGCCATCTTCGATTGCTCAATCTGGCAGCTGGAAGACAATGAGCATATACCAATAAGACGTCGCAGACTCTAAATGAGTTGAAGCAGTATATCGTATGAATGTTTCTCCTGATCTGCTTTAATATTCAATTTCCCGGCTTCCCTCGATTCATACCTCTCAGAACTAAACCAAACCAAACCGAACCGCAAACCGAACCGCAAGCCAAGTCAAGCAATCGTACATTAAATGTAATTTTCCCAATTTCCCAGGACGAGGTCATTGCACACGGCAAACCTCTGTACAGGTTTCTTCAACGCATTAACATTTATTTCACTGCAAGCTTCGAAAAAACATCGCCAACAGATTCCATGTACAGATCAGAATATAAAGACAGGCGAAAATAACAAACAATGGTCTCCAAAATGGTCCTCTTAACTTTCCACCTGGTGTAAGACCCCTCGAATACAAGAAGAACAACATCCCTATCTCATCCCCAAACATGTCTTTAAAGGTATCTAAACCATACTGATAGAAGTCTGATCCCCGGCCATATACCCAATAAGACGCGATCTCATTCGCGTCCTTAACATCACACTGGTGGTTTTGAACAAGGAGGCTCGCCAGATACTGGCGGATATCGGAAGGCGACATATTTTTGGGTCTTTTACGATGAGTTAGTCGACTTTGCCTGCCAATTTCCGTATTTGGAATGATACAAAACAAAGGGAAACACTATTTCTAGATAACCTGAACTAACATTGTGAGATATTTATCCGGGCTTGATTGGCCCCTATACTGAGGTAACGTCGCTACCATGTTGATGTCTGAAAATTGGGGGATTGTCTTTTGCTTTGGAAATTGTGGGTGCGCTATTCCCTTGAATTTGATCCAGGTAGACTAATCATTGAAGTCAATGATGAATGCTGATATACTCACATATGAACCAGCCGAGAAAAGTGTCGATATCAAAGACCTCTATTTCTTTCTCCAGCCTACAAAGAATTCACGCGCCTAAGATTTTCGCTAACAATGCCAGAAACGGCGTTCCACCTTTGTCTTTAGTTTCGTCCAATTGTGTATTCGAGCGGAATAATAGTCTATGCTAGTTTATGTCCCTCTACACAAGAGAATCTTGTCCTTCTAGATTGCTTTGTCGAATCAAATCGGGATCTCTTGAGTGATACTGGGACCCTGGCTGTCCAAACTTTATACCACTAATAAGCATCAAAGCCAGAAGGCGAAAGATATGGTCATCTAGATAATGGGGTTCCGTTTGATGAGATACGAATTGAACATTCGTGAAGTCGGTTCTCTCTGGGAAAGGGAATCTAGAATTGCCTGACATCGAGTGAAAATGCTCAACCATTTGAATGCCGAATGTCGTCCTGGATTCCCCCCATCCTGCCCCATCCCGCTTTTGTTAACCCCAGCTCTTGAAACATTCTTACACCAATATACTCATTCAGCTTATAGGCCTGATGCCCACAAACTTCGCCAATCAGAACTAACTCTATTAGTCAGGATTCATTGTTCCCTCTTAACCTCGGCTGATATATCTAACATGGCCAGTCATCTCCCACTTAGAGCCAATGAAGTTGAATTCTATGAGTTTGTTGCATACCTATGAATGCAATTTACAGGATTCATTCTGACAAGCGCAATTACCAGTTCCAGACCCATTTTCCGGAACAGGTTGCCGTTTTCATCGCTTTAGTAAAGTGGACTTTAAAAGAAAGAATGCAGATGCTTGTTGGTATCACAGTTCCTATTCAATACTATACGTAATCCAATGCCTTTTTTATACCTTCGTTCATTCTCAATCTGAGGTCTCGAACTCGAAGAAATATATTCATTCTACACATCTACCCGAGAAACTCATCAAAGTCCTCTGGTAGCAGCCGTTCTAGCCAAGCTCATGTAATGTAGATGTTGCTATGGCGATAACGAGCATTCGTCTTACTGTGATATGCCACTGATCATAACCACATAGCAGAAGGTTTTGGGTTGCTTTTGAATCCTCCCAAGCTTGGTCACCAGATTTTGCTGCAGGTATTACATATTGAGTTGTCTATTCGAATCAAGCGTTTCTCAATACTTCTCAAAATTTCCGCGTTGAGATTATGCGGAGAGAGTTAGGCTCTAGGGCATTCTGGGGTATTTGTACCCAACTATACCGTTTGAGTTTCTGCCGTTATGATCCATTATCCGCTTTTGTCTTACTATCATCAATTTCATTTCAAATCCTATCGAAGCTGTCTTTTGAACTGATACTGACTGTTTCTTCGTTGATCAGGGAGCATCTCTTGCATCTTGATACGAAGTTTATGAGCAGTGATTGTTCATTTTCCAGATCTTCGGTCTTCTTCCTCTACGTGTGAAATTTTTGTTTTTTCCACGTTATCGATCACATTCATCGTTCTAGGAGTAATCTTAGAAGACGCATCTCTACAGTAATGAACAATGAGAATCACTTCAAAAGACGTAATCAAAAATTATCATTAACTGTCTTCAATCTAGAGAATAAAACGATCTCTAATTTGAATAAACTATTTTACCATACCCTCCTTTTCATAGCCTTCATGAAATATTACATATGTCATAGCGAGCAACACTCTATAGATTTAAGTCTCGCATGCATCATCATCATCAGCACTCTCATCGCTAGTGTCCCCATCAACCGCTCTGTCCACTGCACTCGATTTTCCAGTCTCAATCGTAATAGCGGACTCAGAGGTAGTGCTCGTGGAAGCAATGCTGGTTGATGTGGAGGTGGCGTTGCTCAATGGATAGCTGGCGGAAATAGTAGCTACTGGCAGAGAATATCCAGAACTGACACCGGTAGAGATTGCGGCAATGGATACTGATGTGACTTGTGTGTAATGTCCAGTACCGTTTGTCGCACTCGATGGAGCCCCACTAATGTATGCACTCGCAGTCGCAGTGCTCGCTTTACTAACAATCGTCGAGTATGCGCCGGTCAAATTGAAGAAAGCGGATTTGGTAGGTAAGACATAAGTTGCTGTAGCATTAATAGCAACAGTCGCATTCGTGGTAATATTGCTGCTCATAACAGGATCCAAGCAGCCGTTATACAAACTATCACACATGCTCACGAGAGATTCGTCCCCGGAACTGCGGCACGTGTCGAGAATGACTCCGCAGTCATTTTTGCAGGTCGCGTAGTCAGAATTGCAGACATTTGGGGCTTCGAGACCAGCGAGTGAACAGGCGTAGTATTTCGAAGAGCAATCTTGACCGGTAGGAGTGGTATCGTTGGAGGAGAAAGATACGAGACAGGAGTCATAGAGTCGAAGGGCTTGGGATGCAGTAGTGGTTGAGTTGTCGGCAGAAGTACCAGTAATATCGTAAACGGAGCTGCACTTGTTTTTGCAGCTGGCCATTTCCTATGTTCATGTTAGTGATATTCCATAATCAAGATTTCTCACGAGAATTATTCGTACCGAAGAACAAGTATTGTCGGCCCCTCCATTATTTCTACATTCAGTGAACGAAGCCACACAATCCTCTCCAATGGCAGCAGTTGCAGATGTGAAAGAAACAAGGCAAGACTGATATTGTTTTTGACAACCTGCGGTGAGAGCTGGATCTCCAGAACTTTGACAAATATCGAGTGCCACGGAGCACGTGTTTTTGCAACTGGCTGCATCGGCAGCGCAGGAGTTTGAAGCATCGTCGCAAGAAAGGAGACTAGTAGCACAATCAGGGGTCGTAATGGTGGACTCGAAGTTGACGAGGCACGAATTATATTGCATAAGACATGGCGCTTCGAGGGATTTGTCACCGGAGCTCAGACAGGTTGAATAACTTGTAGAGCACGCACTAAGGACCAGAGAGTCAGTAACCAGAGACTTAAGATAGGCTGCCAAATAAAGTTTAGACTTACGATTTGCATTGAGCTGCCTCAGCATTGCGAGCATTGTCCTCTCCGGTAGATGACATATATTTGGAAACACAATCCTGGCCAGTAGTGGTAGTGGTTGTTTCCCAGGCAAAAGTCACAAGGCAGAAATTGTACTGTTCCAAGCAAGGAGCGTAAAGAGCTGGGTCACCTGAACTGAGACAAGTGGAATATGATGTGGAACAATCGGTCTGCATTAAGATTTTGGTGTCAGTAAGAGCCTCGGTTTATATCGAAGAATAGAAGGATTTTCAAAGAGCAAAGGGTAAGGAGCTATACAAACCTTGCAATTGGCGTTATTGCTTTGACATAAGCTGTCTTCATTTCCCTCATTTTCACATTCGGTGAATCTGGAAACACAGTCGGTATTGTTCAACAAGGTGGTAGTGTTGAATTGGACAAGAGCTGAATTGTATTGTTCTAGGCATGCCGATTCATCAGCCTGACCGCTAGAAAGACATGTGGAATAGTTGATGCTGGCCTCGTTCTTGCAAGTTGCTGATTCAGAAGCACATGTATTCGATTCGCCGCCTTCATTTCGACATGCTGTAAAATTGTAGAGTTAGCAATTGCCTATCCGGAAGAGTTGTGTTGCTAGGGCAGGAGGAAAGGATGTATGTTTGGAAGTAGAATGAATATACAAGATGTGATTTCAAAACATCTATCAGACCGGGGAATAGGTGAGTATCATGAAAGCAATAAACAGTTTAGCTTACATGTAAAGCTGCTGACACAATCCAGGGCAGTTGAAGGCGTGAAGGAGTCTAAGCAGTTATTGTACTGATTCATGCATAATGAATCATCAGCGCTTCCACTACTAAGGCAAATCCCATAAATCCCACTACACTTGTCCTATAAAAACGTAAAGTTAGTCATTGGCCATCAAAAACGTCGATTCTCAATAAGGGAGCGGCCGGGGTGAATGGAAGAGGTCATGGAACTGCTAAATTCTAATAGTTTCTCGAAATGAGAATGGAAGGGGCGTTGGCTTAAAAAACAAGAAAGGATGAGGGGTGCGAGGAGGACAACTGCCTGTGCCGCATGATTTTCCGCGATGACCGGTACCCTTCACGTCCGCACTTGATGTGAATCTTCAAATGAGATTTCTAAATAACAAGATGAAAGAACAGGAAGAAGAAGAAGATGAGGAGAACAATCAAATGTGTATTGGAATGAGAGTTTTGAGATACGCGAGGATACACAAGACTGAGAGAGAAAGAGAGTTCGCGGTAGACATCGCTCACGTAAAAGAAATGATGGTACTCACTTTACACTGTGCTGTGTAAGAATTGCATGTGTTATCGGCGGTGCCATTGGCTCTGCAAGCCGAAAATTGGGAGACACTATAAGATGAAGGAATTAGTTTTTTCTGCATACAGATTTTTTTTTAGAAACCCAAAGCCATGAGTTACGCGGCAAGATACCAAAACGTAACATGCAAGGTGGAAAATAGTCGCAAAGTCTGAAAAGGGGAATCGAAGAAGCGAGGAGAACTTTATGATGTCTGATCTGATATCACTTACCAGTCGAGGTTGGATGAAGATTCTCTAGTAGAGAATACACTGAAAGAATCGAGACAATTGTTATATTGCGTGCTGGCTGCCGAGGAGTCTGGGGATCCACTAGTAAGGGCCGTGGCATAAATTGTGCTGCATTTGTCCTTGCCTGGTTCCATTAGTCTTTTATTCCAACTACAACCTTATCATATGAAGGCACCCTACATTGAGCTGCATAGCTATTGCAAGTATTATCTGCCTCTCCCGAGTCGTGACAAGCCGAGAAAAGAGATGCACAATCCTTTCCAGCCGAATCCTCTGGTGTGGTGAATATGGTGAAGTCGTTCAAGCAAAGATTATAGGTATTCATGCATGATGATGTATCTGACGACGAAAGACAAGATCCATAGCTGTCGGCACATGAATTTTTACACCTTGCATTGTTAGATTGGCATGTGTTGTCTGCTCCGCCCTCATCCAAACACAGTTGATAAGAGGAGACACAAGATTTAGCACTGGAACTCGAGCTTTGAGCGGCAACCAGAGTCAAGAAACCCAGGTTGATAATGGAAGAGACAGTAGTCCTCATTTTGGCAAGGAACGCCGGATTATGTTAACGAAAGTAGTTGTTTTAGTTGCAATGTTCGACTGGAAACGACAGACTAGATAAGTTGGATGGAAAAAAAAAGATATAGACAGAATGACAAGAATGGACATGGGAATATTAAATAAAAATAAGAAAGTTGATGGCACTAACCACTTGAACAGGCCATCGTTGACATCGTGTATACTTTGTTTGGTGGAGCTGGTGGATATACGATAAATTCTTAAAGTTATGGAGTAACCATGCAAAATGATCATCCATAAATAGATATGTGGTCCACAACAAACCCAATCTTTTCATGTCGCCCTCAATATTGGCTATTGAGAACGATTGAGCGTTAAAGGGAAGTTCAATTACATTACTAGTTACAATTCGAAGACATCTTCAGTGCTTCATTGCAATTGAAGTTGCGGAGTTGTATAGTCGTGATCAATGAACGATGTGGGTTTGAAGTTTCAACGGTTCATCCGATCTCTCCGCTCGTGTCGTTCAATCTCCTTAATTTCCGACAACCGCCAAGATTCGCGTCCTCTTCGGCTTGGATAACCAATCTCGGGAAACTAAGCGGAGCAAGGTGTTTCCTAGAGAGAATCTCTAAGGGGAAGTGGATTCCAAATATACGAAGCCAACAAAGAAAACATGTGTTGGTGTGTGCATCAGTCCCAGGCTTGTAGTTGCTCCATTGAAACATGCCAAATATAGTTTTTTAGATAGTGTACCTGCCATGCGATTATCAATTACTGAACAGTCGAATGACGATGAGAATTGACTTGACTTCCGAGTTTCCGAGAGGCATGAAAAGCTTATCATGAATCTTATGATCCACTTGAGCAGAGAATTTCTTACAACCTCACTGTTGCATTTCCAATTCCCAAATTTCAAGGGAAACATGAATTGGGAATTTCTCTCCCATGTATATTGCACTTGCGTGTGGCTTAGATGATTTTTGATGGAGCTAAGAAGATCGCTCAAGGACTGTGAGATTTTCGTATGTGCTAGCACTATTATCACGTGTATATCACGTGAAATAATGATTCAATCGATCTCAACGCAAGAACTTGCTGGTATCTAGATATCGCCGCAAGGGGTTCTAAATCTGCACTCACGCACCTCAATCATGACTGGCATCTAAATTGTTCTTAAAAGCTCGCGACTATTCCTGCCACCAAGATTTTTACCTCTAGACGTGTAGCAAGTAAGATAACCTTGACCAAGGTTGATGGCAAGCAACATTCTCAAGAACAGAAGTTCTCAATCCAACACCATTGAAAAGTACAAGACGAAGAATGACATGTGTCTTCTCTTATAATTTCCAGATTATGGTTTAAGACATGTAAACGCACGGGCCAATTCTCAACTTAATTTCGTGAGTTAAAAGATACGTTTCTCTGTACTCTGGTAAAATTGTACGTGTCGGCAATAGATATATTGGTTTATATGAGATACACTCACGCCAACTATCCCTCCTTGCTTATTCAACACTGTCGTTGTTATATTTTGCAGTTCTAAACTTCCACTCAAAAAGTTTCTCAATGAATAACAGACTATTACATCATTAGCTCATCTCAACATCCCCAACAAAATGTCTCTTTCGAAACTTATCGGCTTCACATACTCAAAGTCTCTCATCTACTTTCTTCTTTTTACTGTCACATTCTCGATTTTTTCTTTTTCGCAACAATCTTTTGTTCTCGGAGGGAGATTCCGTCCCAGATTTTCACTCGAGTTCATAGACTTTAGAGATCAGGGGATGAGGTTGGCGAAGGAAGTTCATCTATGGAGTGTTTTACGTATGCCTGATTGACAACATTTCTTTCTTCCATGATGCAGATTGTATAATGTGTGAGGCTTGAGGTGTACAATTAATTGTATAATATTGCTACAAACATTGCAGAAGCAACTCGGATATCAAAGTGGTTGCAGCTAACATTGAATCTAGCTGCTGGAACCCTTCTCCCACTTCAGTTTCTTCCGATAGTGAGGAGAAAGTACGTGGGCTTGCATAGATATTTGGGAAGAGCCTTGTTTTTGATGCTACTGGTTGGCAACACATGTTGATGAAACCCCTATCCTTATTGTCTACTTCTGCTAATCACACAAGAAGGTGCTTTTGGGATTGCTCATAATTCCTTCGGAGGGACTCTCGAAACTAGAATCTGGGTATATACCCTTGGTGTCATGGTATCTTTTGCATTACTTAAATCCTGGGTTGCGATTAGACAGAAAAGAATTGCAGAGCATCGAGTTTGGGCTATTAGGACTTGGGGGTGGACAGGCTGTGTAAGTCAAGACTATTATTCCCTCCTCTCTGCGCTCGTTCTCAATTATGGCCGAAAATTCAATCGAGCTCATGTCTTTTATCAATCTTATATCATTGTCAGGAACTAAAAGTTCTTCAGATCTTCACTATGCGCTTGTTCATGTTCTTCCTTGCTCGATTTATTCTTTCACCACACACCCGCGATTTTTATTCCGTCACCACTTGTTCCATTCTCCATCAATTATACACCACTCATTCGCACCCCCTTGAGCTTATTTCACAAAACTATCCTGCATGTGAGAATACATTGTTGGGGCTATCAACACATGAAGTACACATTCCAGTTCAACTTGGATACTATCCACCAGAACGTATGTCGATGACTTTCGTTATGGTATTTGGGACGTCAGGATGGCTGGCAATGGTACTACATATGGTGATCGTGGAGTGGTGGTTGCACTGGAGTGCTAATGAGAGCAAGAAAGATGCCATGAAGGTGAAGAAATGACGAAACAGTGGGCAATGGAAGTTCAGTAAATTTGAAGTCTGATAACACATCTGTACTTTGAAAATGAACCTTTGGATGATTGACACGAATAATCGCTTGTTTTTAGCTATCTGCCGATAAGTTCTGCCTTCGAAGGGTTGCTGGGCTAATTGTTACCTACGGTTGAAGTGAAAGGAGGAAGTAACGCTTCACTTTGAATGTTCTTTCTTTCCACAGTCAATAGAGTGTAAAAATAACAAATTTTCTACATGAGGACCTTTTATCATGAAACACATCTCCTTCTCGACGCCAATCTTAACGAGTTAACACTGATAAAAACATTCTTCCATTGTTTCAAATACAACCATCAATTACTCTGTCATCGACTAAAGATAGCAGCCATATCAATTTCAAGACTACAAAGTCAGGCAAAGCGCTTGAATCAGAATGTAGGCCTTGATTTCTTTCATAGAACAATGTTTTCTGCTTGACCCAAGACAGAGTCTGATTTGTGTACAACGTGTCCAGGCCTCATTTTACGACTGGAAATCTAGAGAAAATCGACTCCCAGGATGGATTCTTGGGAACCGTAATGGGAAACGAAGCAGCTATCAAAAAGGTATATAGACTCGCGATACTCCAAGCCAATATACCGATACATTTCTAGAGAAAACCTAGCAAAAAACATGTTTCGGAGAATGGTCTGGATAATTCAGTGAAATTCAAAGAATTGGAAGTGAAGGAGGAAGCCCAGAGTGTAAGTTGTCATTCATTTGTTTCGAAAAGGAGGATTCAACTAATTACTTTAGTAAAGAACGGAAACACATCGATTGACTTTCATCCACCAAAACATGGACCAGAATCCATTGAATCTAAACGTGAGCGTGGGCGTTCTTCGAGCACAACGCAGCGAGCCTTACCTACAGTACGTCGTCACTCACCTGCAACACATCCTTGCTTTGAGGATTATGAAAATCATATGGCCTATCAGCCGAACCTCCCTCGCTTGCAGAAAACTCAGTTCATCTGTTTTGACTCCATAATGGAGTGGCGTGAGTCAGTGCTCGATGACTACAATACCTTCACTGAAAATAGTTTGAGGTGGGGCGTAAATGAATTGAAGGTTGGACGAATCCCAGACGATCAGTCACAGAGTCTAAATGGTGGTGCATCTGCAAAGAATCTCGAAACTATCAATCATTACGGCACTGTATTCTATTTGAATATTTACGAAGAGGAGATGATGGCGGCGTGTCTTACATTAGTTGAGTTGAGCCAGCCTAATAAAGAGAAATATTTGAATATTTCATCAGAACACGATCGAGATTTGATCTTATCGACGGAACAAGAATTGGATGCATGTTTTACATTAATCGGATTCAAAAGGGAGCGTTGCTTCTTTACTTCGGATAAAAGGGCAGACCTGTTTGGTAGAGCAAAAAAACTGCGGGGGTTTCAACGTGGATTTTGTGAGTTTATCTCTGGATGGATTTGTGATACAATGACTTACATTTTTCTAGTCGAACATACATGCGAACAGCACTCTATGAGTAATCCAAAAGCAAAGGAAACCGTCATATCTGACACCCGGTAAATGTCAAGTGATCTAGTTATTAGGAAAGAGGACGAGGAAAGGAAAAAAAATGTGGCTTGGGAGAAACAGTTGATCAATGTGATCATGAAGAACTGAGTTGACGAATTGGAGCAAAAGTCCAAGGGAGTAAACGAGGGTAGGATAATTTTACGAATGATTGAGCCTGAGGTAATTGGGCATGCGTACGACTCGCAGGATACTCACAGTGCAGTGATTATAGTCCAGGCATAAGATGTCTTGATGACCTACATCTCTCGAGGTCTTGACTTCATTGAAAGCATTCAATCTATTGTTAGCAACAAAACAGGCATAATCATGATGATATCTCTGAATGGTTTCTTTGACTTTCCCGACATTGACAATGATCGAAGCTTTGAGAAATTAGATCGGTTTGAGTTAAGATCTAGATGCGAATGTGGGCAGGTCGCAATGCCTCCTTTTTTGCATAAGAAAGAATGGGCGAGTGGAGAGATGAGTCTGTGGTACTTCCCAGAAAGTTCTGATAAATATCATATTTAAAACAAAGGAATTCATAGTGATTTGAGATGGACAATAATAATGCAGTATTGTGTCATTCAGTATATTCCTAGATTGATGTGCCCCGAAGCATCATCATGTAGTATCTCGTAATCATTAACCAGTAGCTAAATGTAACCCAGAGACCGTATGCTCCGTGTTGATAAAGAAATCGAAATGAATCAGTGTACCGTTGCTGTTCCTCCGTTGTACTACGCCATCAAAGAGAACTCCAAGGTGTACAACTACCAGAGTTGTCCACGTTATATTACTCGATTATCGATGGGTGACCTTCGTCGTCGTTGAGATCGAATTCTAGTTTGAAGAGTCAGCTGAGAGCGCAAGTAGAGGAAGATGATGTGAAATACTTCGTAGTGCGTTTTGTTTCACCTGCTGTCCCTCACTTGGCCTGGCCATCTAGAGCCCTTCCATTGTATTCATCATCATCATCATCATCATCATTAGGAAAGACAAATTCGGGATTTTGAGTAGCTTCTGCTAAAGCAACGGCCTCCTTTTCAGCCTCAATGACTACACATAATCCGTGATAGCATGAATAGGCGCGGGCGGAGAGCCCATTTCTGCTCTTGGGGACGTGCTTGTCGGGGAAATGCTCCACGTGAATAGCCTGAATAGCGTTCCATGTCATGTTCTTCGTCTTCTTTAATTCTTGAAGTGGTGCGTAATCTACATGGAAAAGAAAAATTGTATTTAGTAAATTTCTACCGATCGAGTGCCGCCAAGTAACTTTGACATGAATAGGAAAGAGGATGACTTGACAAGAAGTCATTTGACACTTACAGTTGCGGTAATAATTATAATATTCCAAAGTCTTCTCATCTTGATATAGGAAGGTTTCGGGCTCGGGAGGCTCAATCCAAGCAAGATCGCCACCTTTTGAGGATTCCTTTCCAAGAGATTCGACGGTCGTATAACTGGACTTGATTTTCTTGTTGGCGTCTTTCTTAAACTGTACCCTGACTCTGCTAATAATTGTTTGTTTACAAATATCGATGATTCTTCGAGAAGCAGCGCTCTGTGTGTATTTGCGAGGTTTGGCGGGTCTCTTGGTAGTGGCCATTCTTTGATCGGGTAGCGGGGTGCGCTTCATTGTAGTTTTAGCTTTGACTCTTGTCGTTGTGTTATTTTTTTCAGAGAATTTTGGTATTGTTTGCTTGGTGACCTAGATAAATGGGTTTCTTGTAGGGTGGAGGTGGGGTGTAAAGCTTGCTTTGGTATTCAGGGGTCGGCTAGAGAACCAATTAAAATTGGGCCTGTTTTAAAGTTATGTCTAGCTGGTTACTAGCGAAATGATTTCAATACTCTCTATTGTGCGAAACGTTAGGAGCTAAAATTCCAGTATATTTTTATTTACATGGTGAGAAGCATTCTATCACGGGGAAGAATCACAATTAAACAGGCAAAATCGGGATTCACTCACAGATTTAATCAAGATGAAGCTTCGGAAGTATTCAATACATCCAGTAGTCATTAAAAACCGTATTGTAGAGTCAGAAAGAACCATAAGTTCATTGATTTGAAGATTGTTTGCGCATTAAAACTACTCGCGATGCTCTAAACTAAACACCATGGAACCCCATTGCAACAAGATTCATATAGCGCATCGAGATATCTAAGTTGTGTTGAATCATCCTCGGCGAGCACTCTAGCCCAGCTATCATATACCATATCAACTTTGAGCTTAATATCGACGATTGCCAGTATTATTTTGTCATAACGCTATTTAGGATGAAAGATCCGTTGTCAATATCATTAAGGGCTAGGTTGCCAGTCAGTTCAGAGCTGCAGAACTGAAGCATATTATGATATTAAACTTACTTGATATCTGTATCAACCTCCAAATTGAGACGCGAGCGCACGCAACTGAGCCTCAGCAGCAAGGAGTTCGGCAGCCATAGTTTTGCATTGATCAGCAACGCTATGTAAATAAACGACAACAGCTCTAGTAGTGAACTCTTCAACAGTAATACCTTCAGCCGCAGCAGCCGCAGCAGTTTCCTCCATTTTGTTCAACTTGGCAATTACCTGAAAGAATCTGGCATATTTTAATTGAATTCCTCCGAAGCTTTGACTTGATTCTTCTGCAAAGTGAGATCTGTGGTGTTCAAGGATCTCTTCCCATTCGAGATTGTCTACGTGACGTAGATACTGGATTAGCTGAAACCCTATATTTCGAGCAAATGGAAGATTTGCTTAGCTTTGATCCCGTCAATGATGATTTGTAGCGTGTAGATTAAATTGATAAGGATTTGCTATTTTATAAGGATTTGCTATGATGAATGGCCACTTATAATCGCTGATCAATCTATAGCACTCTCTATGGTCCTCAATCAAATGTTTGATGTCTTCGGGGTCGCAATTAATGAATAGGAATGTGCTGCTGGGCTGATGAAGTTTGGATTTCGGCTCGACGTCTCCGAAGATAACAGTGCAGAGTTTCTCGATACGCTTGTTTCTGCTTTTGGTGTTGATGCTCTTAGGCTTGGGTTTCTTCACTCCAGCTTTGGGAGCCATCTTCTTTTCAAATCCAGGAAAAGATATGCCACCACTTCCTGTGGCCTTTTGCTTGCCTTTGTCCTTGGCCATGATATTTTTGCTTTGATGTTGTTGAATGATTGAGTTATTATTTGTTTTTCTGTAGAATTGCTGTGTTGTTCAACTATTTTGTGAAGTGAGGTGGAAAGGAGCTAAACGAAAAGAGCTAGGTCATTTAGGGGGACCAAAAGAGAACCACCCAGCCGTAGTAACCTGAGAACTGTCTCTTATTGATTGCTTAGAAGAGAATAAAGAGATTTAATCTATTGAATTCAAAAAATTCCAGGAACTTTTTTCGGGATGCTCACTCATTCTAAAATACAAAAAGCAAAAAGCGGAAAGTATCATTACAATTAAACACTCAGGCAGGAATCGTTCATCGTATTATTCCAGAGCTTCCTACGATAAATAACCATGATCTCTACTAGCAGACTTATCGAAGTCATGGAAAGTAACAATTTGAATTTGACTATGAAAAAAACAACTACTATCAATCGCCCATTCTGGTCATTTTTGCAATGGACGAACTAGATGGGTAACCGAAGCTGACATGTAGTTATGGCTCATCTTCTAATATGCAGTATTTTGCGAAGCTGCCTGCAAGAGCGCAGACCAAAGTCGCAGTAGTTCAGTTGAAGTTGTGACTCCTACAAGGTGAGAGCTCAGAGTTGGTGAAGAACCTACTTAACAGACATGATAGCTACTGAGAGCGGTCATCTCTATATCAACGACTGGACCACCCAAGGTTTCTTTGAAAACTTATGCCCAGACTTTCTCTAAGCATCACCCCATAAGAGATCAATAAAGTTGATTTTTCCTCCGCCAGTAGCAGCAGGCGCTGCGTTGGTCCGCGTAGTCAAACCCGTGTTTTCCTTTCTCGCAGACCTCGATTTCTCCTCCTTACACTTCTCTTCACTTTTGCGTAGTGCTTCCCGAATTCCTTGCTGATACCGTGTATTTGCGTGAGCAAAAAATGCGGCATCTTCTGCGCCCTCGTATGGATCAAGAATTCCTCTATAACGGCGTGGAGCTGGTACGTATCGTTTTTGGGGAGCCTGAACTGGAGCGTAGCTTTTCACAGGAGCTGTTACCTGGGGCGCAAGACCAGAAGATGGACGATAGATCGTGGTGTCGCCGGTGTGAGTCCCATCTGTGTAATAGTCATCGTCCATATATGTGTCTTCACTCTCAGTTATATAGCTCCAATTCTCATCAGACATAATCAAATCTTCTCCAGAGAAAGTTTTCTCTTGTTCACGGAGAATATCTCGAGAACCCGATCCGCTTTTGTGCACTTTTTCTGGAGGTAAATTTTTTGGATTGGAAATGCTTCTCGAATCGTATTTTGGTAGCTCCATTGAAGTGAAGTAAGGTATTTTATTATAAATCGACGGTACGTGAAAATTAATTCGTGGGTTACGAAGGGATCAGATCGGAGAGAAACAAGAAATCCTTGCAAAATATTTGTGAGTGCGAAGCTTATTCTTTTCGTATGAAGTCGAAAGAATGTTCATGTGCTTTTCTAGCTGAAGGAGACAGAAATGGTACAAAGAACTTCTATGAAGACCGTATGAATGCCATTATCTATCCTTGTTTTGAGGCAACTATTTTTGGAAACACCCTTTTGGCTTTTTGGTGAATTGTGAGTGAAAAAAGTGAGTGAATTTTTTGGCGTGAAATTGATAACGCACTCTCGATCTGTCGCGCCAAAGCTATCTTACCTCACCTTATCATGGGATATATGCGAGTAATTGCGTATTTCTAATGTCGAAGGTATGGAAGACGCTCTAGATAAGTTTCACAATACAGGTGTTTCTACGTTTTTGATATCGCTGTTTTCTCAAACAGCTCTAGTTGATCTCATGAATTCTTGTGAGTAATTCTTGAACGTGAGCTTACTACAATGTCACATATTCAGAAGTTCAAATGCATATGAAGCAATCCTTTGGGTGAAAGATTTGATTGAATGTTGATCATGAAACACCTACAGCATGTAATTGTAATTGCTACATGGAATATTCTTCAGGAACAATTAGAAACGGGTCATCATCCAACTTAGTTAAATTAACACCATAGAGTCTCCATCTACTCCTTCATGTGCAAAACGCACAAATATTGTAGCACTAAGAATGGAGATTCTTCGGATATCATAGAATGTACCGGCGGAAACTCAAGATTGTGCCCCGTCTCTACAGCACAACACCATAAGATTCTCATACAAAAGCAACCCAGGAACAGCAAAGAACTAATTTATCACGAACTACAACAAGACAAAAGTGACACGGTGTCTTTCTGGATACCATATCCTCATATGACTTCCCAGATCAGTGTTTCTCTGTCAAAAGCAAGGAACAGAATGTTAAAAGCTATCACGATCTTCCTGTTATCCAGCATGATTGGGCCACGGATGATAATTTGTCGATTTCAATTCTACCCATTCCTACGTACTGTTAGTTAGGTCAAATAGATCCATGATGAAACACTTTTATCATATCTGTTGTCTCACAGTATGTGGTTACTTTGAAGATTTCTTTGCCCAGAATCTATCCTCCTCGTCACTGGAATCCTCGGATGACTTTTTAAAGCTACCTGATTCTATCTCTTTAGACTTTGTGTGCAAGCTCTTGCTGCTTGGTAGTCCAGAAATTTTACTCCTAGTAGCTTGCTCCTTGCGCTCTGTGTCTGCAAGGGATAGCACACTCTGAAATCGCTCATTCATATCGTGTGAGCTGGAAGGCTGTACGTTGTTCATAACTGTGTCTTTCTCAATGGATTCGATCAAGAAAGGTCCCAGTGATGATCGTTGAGTCGCTCGTCCGCCAAACAGACGGTCATTTACCAGGGATCGGTTCCGGTATACAGGCACACGGTCTCTTGGGGGTGAACGAGAGCGTATGTTTCTGCTATTCTGTCCTTGACGTGGTCTTGGAATGCACATTCTGCCAGTTGATCTACCCCTTAGGTTATGGGAAGTTCTGAATGCTCCGTCTGATTGCGGGGCTACTTCTGGGCGAAGGAATCGGCGTTGATGTGGAGCTCCCGGTGGAGATAGCATGCGTACGCTCGGAAGGGTGTTCGGTGTGCTATTCTGCGACATCTCCTTGCGCAGAGCGATCTTTGGAGATGAAATAGGACCGGGGGTGGAGAAACTCTGCGTCTTCATGATCGCTGATCCTTTCTTGATAGGATTTTTGAGATGTTGAGAGGTTGTCAACTTGGAATCTTGATGATGCTTAATTGATGAAAGTTTATCGGCGGAAAGATTCACAAATGAAAGTTTTGTAAGGAGAATAGATAGGAGGAGAGGAGTTTCTCATTATTATATATCTACCTGGTGTCTACCAATACGATCACGGTTATGTGCGCAAGTTCATGAACGCGATCAATGATAATCAGAACACCGTAATGATTATTCTGTTGTCTTATGTCTTGTTACTATTCTTTGAATTATAAATGTTACGGTTTTTGTCATAAGAAAAAAAAAAGTGCTCCGGAAAGAGATGAGCAGAGCAGATAGACTCAAGTTTCGAGGTGGAGAGCAGATTTTGTGATTTCAAAAGAGTTTTCACAATCTTCAAAGTCACCTCAAATTCAAGGTTTTAAAGTAAAAGCTGAGTAGTGGAATTGGATTAATTGAAATGCTACATTAGAATATTGTTACAAGGTTATTTTGTGCCTGATATTATATACAGAGAGTTCCGCACCCTCAAAGAATACTAAACTTGGTATAGCGCTTTTGCAATACAAATCATTTTATGAAATTAAGCTGATTCCGTGGGAAAGAACAACTTCATTCGCTATCTTCACATGCATGGTAATCATTGATGTGATTCACTATACACCGAATTTCGACTTTGTGAAGATTGCCGAATTGACATGAGATAGGTCATAAATTAATGAGAGCAGACTTTGACTAATTCATTTATTTTATACTATTGTCAATTTTTTTGGATTTTTTTGAATTCGACATCAAATTGAGTTTAAGGCTCCCGTTGTGACATGAAAAATGAGTTTCAAATAATCAGGGATATCATCCCACGCAGCATAACAAAGGCTACGAAGTGCATTCCTGTAGACTTTAATTGAATAACGCTATAAATTGGATGATCGTTGTGATACTAGAGAGGGTAAACTGAAATGTAATGAGACCATAAAGATATATTGCATACAATTTTGATGTCCACAGATCGGTTAATCCTCCATGTATACGCATCATTGAAACATCTCTGTAACTATCACTACCAAAAGACGAATCTTCTCTATTCCATGAGACATATAGTCAGTCACTACTTAAATTAAATAGTTCTGTTTTTTCTTTGTTTCGCACGGAATCTTGAGAGAACTCTTGCACAGCTGGCTAGTAATAGCTCGTATACCTCCACAATTGTGACCGCATTGTGACGAGAAACTTTTGGTGCGATGTTAGACTCTGGAGAATGTAGAGGCTCGGCTCCAAAGCCAACTTTACCGAGTTTCTCTCCCGAGCTTACATTGCTAAGCGTGTTGCGCTTTCTCATTTCGTTGTCTGTAAGATGTGTCTCTGATTCAGCCTTTTGATTACTCGCACATTCGGATCTTTGAAGATTCTCGCTTACTCTGTTAACAGAACGATTGCGACGGGAGGTGGCGAGTATTCCCCAAAATCGTGCATTTGGATCATCAGGTCCGTAGTAAAGGGCACTCCTGTCTGCATGAATTGTGTTAGATTAGACGATACTAAATGAATTTTCTATACTTCCGGTGTAGCTTACGATGTGCGATATCTTCTTCCAGCCGATCTTTTGCTGGCTTTTCCTTTTCGATGGGACCAGACTGAGGGGTCTGTGGTGATTCCTGGGGTGCATTAGACGCACCTGAGACGCGTTTTTTGTCGTTTTCTACCCCCTGTGATGCCCTCGGCTCCGTATTATCATTGGAAATATTACTGTCTGTCATTTCGGAAATCTTTGTAACTAAAAATTTAAAAGCACTGTAGTTGCCGAATGGGTTTCAGTGGAGAATAAAGTGAGGAATTGAAGATCGACTTTATAAAGTTATGTAGTTGTGATGGCTCTGGTGTAATATCCTGTGAGCTAAAAAATCAATATAATTTATAGCATATTCTCTTCTTCTAAGGCCACAATCAGTACGGCAAGATTCCGAGGATCATGAAGGAACCGAACAAGTAATGAACAGTTCTTCAAGCTTCGCTTCATTCTTCTATTTTATGATACCGTACCCAAAAGGTAAACAGATGAGAGGCCGATAACTCAACTAGTTATAACTTTAAGATGCTTGGTAGTTTCACGTAGTAGTAAGTAGGCTACTAAAGCTTCGGGTGTCTCCATGGCAATTACCTTTGGATTTTGGAACTGTTAAATGATCGCATTATTTTTCTGCTCTCCCTCTCACCCAATATGTTATGGAAAGGATTCGAACCCCATCATTTTCGAGTAGCTACCTATCAAACACCGTTTATGAAATTATGTGATACAGCCAACTGGGACTTTGCGCCGACTATCCTTTCCAATGTTTCAAAAGACAACTAATCCCAAATCCCTGTATACCTCATACAATGGAAATTGTCAATGCCACAAGATAAAGTAATACTTAACTTGGACCGTCGGGAAATATAAATTATACTATATAGAAATAGTACTAGATGATATAGATCTCATTGAAATAACCAAAAATTAGTCTAACAGTCAGCGAGGCGTAGGTTTATCAGCGGCTAGATGGCATAGCTAGCTAATTCGGTGGTGAATTCAATAAAGCTACACTTAGCAGAGAATGAAACCTCTGATCAGGAAAGCAATCTTTTTTTAATGCAAGGATTGAGAGGAGTTTAAATACTTCGGCTGATGAAGAGTTGTTTTCGAAATTGCCACTTGCTTTTTGCAGACATTAAACTGAGTGATCATGAGGCATCAATGTCACCCTCCATCGGCGAGTTGAATTGATGATTATGTAAGAGTCTGCACATAAGTAATCTGCTGCCATCTTACCTCCTTGTATTTATTTTGTTTTCACATTCGTATTTCATTAATTTCAAATTTTGTTCTGGATATTCTGTTGTTATTTTTTTGTTTTATTATTTGCCAATGAGAGTGAGATGCAACTTCAAACTAGAGAATCATGTCCAATTCTAATTGCTTGATGAGCACCAGTGCTTCCTATCAAGATATCTATTAGCTGTCAGTACTCAAGGGAGGTAGAGAAGAGGAAGAAAATTGGAGAAGACTTAGTGTAGGCACTTTCTTATCTCGTTTTGTGAAGTTCAGTTCTCAAACTTCTTCATCAAGCCTTTCACTCTTTCACTGACTTTTCGGCTGACTTTGGTTGTACCTGCTCTGGTAAGAGGTGTGGCTGCCGTGGTGTTTGACTTGGCCAATGCGACGATTCTTTCACGGGCGGTTGGTCTTCTCTGAATTTTGATTGGTGAGTCTTCATTCAGTTCAAGCACCAAAGTGCCTTCGTTGGTTTCTGTAAACGGATAGAAGATGTGAATCTTTTCAATCTGTTTCTTGCCCAGCGTCTGAGCATGGTCCGCGCATAGCATGCCAAATGGTCTGCCATTAGCAGTTCCCATCAAGATCTTGAGCTCGAGACTCATCGATGAATCGACCGTGAACCTGGATTTCTGGCCTGCTGCAAACTCGGGAACTTCCTGGGATGTAAGTACGTCGCGGATTGTCCAAAGAGTTCCAAGATTGACAATAGGACCGCAGATGATATACTTGAGTTTTCGGAGTTGCGACTCATTCGTGGTACCATTTGCCAACTGCGCAGTGCATGCATCGCGCCATCCTTGGTAGAGGAGCTCGCTGTTATACAAACGCTGTGTATCGACGTCGGGGATATCAATATCAGCCGCTGCATTTGAGAATGTCATGATGGCAGTTCCAGCTTTCGGAGAAACGAACATCTGTGCAACACTATCATAGTCTATCAACTTATTCACATCATCTGCAGCATCGGTAGCTGCTCTAGAAAAAAACGTGAAGAAGGACCAATGAGCACCTGCGCTTTCAATTTGCAATTGTGGATCTGAGAAAACTCGGTTGAATCCTGCGAGATCTGGAAGCACTTGATTGTGAAGCCTGTGGACGTTTACGTAGCGGGTACTCCAATCTGGATATGGAACATCTCTCGCTGGGTTATTATTGATTGCTGTTTGTATAGCGTTAAGAATTGCGGTACCGCGCTCGAGGTATGTTTCTGGGGAGAGAATTTGAAACATTCCGGAGTAGTCGTTTGTCGCTGCGAGGCGAGATGGTCGGTTAATCTTGTCCATTTTGGGACAGAAACAAAGAACTTACTGGTTAAGATACTTTTACTTGAACTAGATAGGTTGGAATCTGGTTAGAGTGATGAATTCTTTGATGGATTACTACTGCAGATGCAAGAGGATGGGAAATAAAAGAGTTTACAAAGGCTTTGAGGACAGCTTTTTATAGCCGAGTGTCTTCTTTGTTTTACCTTTATTCAGTAGCTGTCCTGTGTTTATGATGTGTTTAGTTGTTGTTCTACTGGTCTTTCCTAAGACATAATAAAGGAAATCTCGAATAATATCAAATTCTCAACTTCAAGAAGAATGGGGTCTCAAAAGAGAGAAGAAGCTTCATCAATACCCTGTGGTGGCAGAATCCGTGGTTGACGAAGTGATCCTTTTGTAATTGTCATAAATTCTACAATATCTTTATTATATATTGAATAAATCGTTTTTAAAATATTAATATAATTAATCTGATTATTGTATGTAACAAAAGTTTTTTATTTTAAAGGTATTTCATCATTTTCGATAGAATTTATTATCCTTTTTTATATTCAAATTCAAATATTATTATTTTTTATTATATTTGAAATATATATTTATATATAAATCGATTATTATATTTTGAATTATATATTTATATAAAAATTTGAAAATGTATAAATTAAGATCTTATATAAATCGTAAGATTACAAATAAAAAATATGTAAAAATAGTACTATAAGTTCTATAATTAGTTTATCCCTATTTCTTCTTATTCCTTTTTATTTTTGAGATTATGATATCTTTATTATCAAATTTCTAGATTATATATTTACTCGATTTCTTTTTTGTATTTTAATATAATTATTCTTCCTTTATTTGATATCTAGGATTATCAAAATATTCTTTTGAATCTCCTTATTCTTTTAAATCAAACTTCTACTTTGATTATTTTAATTAAATATTTTAAATAAAGAAAGCTCTAATATATTATAATTTTCTTTTATTATATTATAATAACAAAAGTATATTATTCTTTAATCTCTCTTTATTCTTTTCAAGTACAAATTATTATATTCTTTTTGTATATATTTCCCTTCATTTTCAAAAGGCTTTTTATTAATACTATTTTATTCATTAATACTCTTTTATTTATTAATACTATTCTATTCATTAATACTAAATTGTTCATTAATACTCTTTTATTTATTAATATTTTCTTATCCATCAATATTATCTTGCCTTTTGATATCTAATAGATTCTTAATTTCTAGATTGCTTTCTTTGAGATTGTAAATAAGTTAGGGTTATAATAGTAAAGTCTTTAATAAAATTGGTATTGCTTTTATTAAGCTTAATATTATATTTGATTCTTGAATATTTATATTATTAATATCAAAAAGAAATGATAATTCTGTTTTAATAGAATATATAATATTTCTTCGAATATTTTGATATTGTTGATCTTTGAAATTAAGTATTAAATCTTTATTCTGTTTAAATGTTTTTATAGGATATTAGATTAAATAAAATCTGATTTCTTTTAATACAAAACTTACTTTTTGAGAAGCTTATAGAGTCTTGATTTTAATATCTTTTTTTCTTTAATATTATAAGTCTTTTCTTATTACTTTGTTTATTTTATATAATAATATTACAAATAGTATTTATAAATTATAAATTCTTGAAATTATTTAAATTAGGGAATTTATTTAGAATATTATTTCAAATATATTATTGAAAAGTAAATAATAATATTTTTTAATTATAGAAATCGTTTTGTTTTTATATATACTTTAATTGATTTTATATATAAATCTAGAAGTATATAAATATACTAAAATTATAATTATCTTTAAAATATTAAATTAGATATCCCTTTACTATATTAAAAATCACCTTGAAATCTATTATTATTCTTTTTTTATATTTAGATATTATTATATTCAATATCAAAACAATAAATAATTTATTAATAATAATTATATAAATTGAAGAATTTTATTACTCAAATTGATCTTTTCGAATTAGGGTTTGAGATAGGATTTTATTATACTTTATTAAGGTAATAGAAAATTGTAGTATATTGAATATAACTTTGTTTGATAATCTTTAAATAGATTAATAATATAAATAATATCAAACTATTATTTGAAAGAATATCTAATATTTTTAAATATATTTAGAATTATTATCATTTTGTATCTATATTCTAATACTTATTCTAATTTTATTAATATTCTTTTAATAATACTTTTGCTTATATTTAATATTCTTAATTTACAAAAATAAATAAATGAAAACAAATAAAAACAAATAAAAACAAGTAAAAACAAATAAAAACAAATAAAAATGAATTTAAAAAAAAATCAGTTTTTATATCCTCAAAAACCTTTTTGTATTATAGCAAGATTAATATTATCAATTCCTATAGCTTTTTTTAATATTTATTATAATAACCTAGTATCCCTCCCCATAATAATAATTCGTTTTGTATATTGTATTATATCCTATAAAACTATATATTTTAATATATATTTATATAAAAGAAATAAAGATTTATTATTAAAACAAATAGCTAATATTATTTTTATAACCTTTTATAGTACTTTGATTATTGAAGATTGAAATTAAAGGTTTATTCTAATTGTTTGAACTACTTATCATATAAGCCTTGTAAATACTACTCAGAATATAAGAT